AACATGAATTAGGTACTTGTCAGGGCTGGGTGGACTCCGTGACATTCTACTGACTGGACCCGGATTCAGAGGCGTTGCGAGGGGGGGGGGGGTTGTCCCCGGGAAGGGTCGCTACGCCACTGGGAAGGGGGGGTGACACCATTTATGTGGGTGACACCAAGGCAGAAAATAGCAAAATATATAGAGAAAATGAAAAACCAGTTAATTAAGTGATTAATAGTGATTAAGTGTTAAATAGTGCTTTCAGAGGTGCAAATCGAAAGTTTGAGGGGGGGGGTGCAAATCAAACGTTTGAGGTGGGGGTGGGGTGGAAATCGAAAGTTCAAAGTTTGTCCCCGGGAAGGGTCGCTACGCCTTTTTTTTTGGGGGGGGGGGGTGACATCATTAAGTGCTATACCGGGTGACACCCGACCTCGCTACGCCACTGCCCGGATTCGAAATCGTGACTATTGGGTTAGAAGCCTAGTCCTCTACCTCTAAGGCCACGCGTTCCAACAAATACATGTATACACCATTTAAAAAAATAGCAAATGATATTATAGCTACACTGCGAAATAAAATAGTAGATGTTCCGAGTTGCCATCCCCCGTAGTGTTAAGGGGAGATCACTCCCGATTTATTTTTCTTTTTATGCATTTTAGAGCGGCAAATTTATTTCAAACGAGAAGCAAAAACCTTTCCTGTGTTTTCCAAAATCACCATTATATGTATACTAAAATATAGTGTTTAGAATTCAAGTTAATATTGTTTTCGTATTTCAGACGTAGGAGATCTGTGGAGTAGAAAAATGATCTCAGTTATCGTTCTTGTCTTGGCTGTAACGGCCAGTGTCAAGACACAGACGCCTGCATGTGTTGAGTACACCAGCGACACACGTAAGTTTACTGTGACCAGTGCGACACACGTAAGTTTACTGTGACATGGGGACACACGTAAGTTGAAAGTAACTCGTGCGACACACGTAAGTTTACTGTGACCAGTGCGACCCACGTAAGTTGAAAGTAACTCGCGCGACACACGTAAGTTTACTGTGACATGGGGACACACGTAGGGTTACTGTGACCTGTGGGCACACAAAAGTTTACTACCACATGTGGACACACGTAAGTTAAAAGTAACCTGTGCGACACACGTAAGTTTACTGTTACCTGTGGACACACGTAAGTTTAGTGTGACCTTTGGACACACGTAAGTATACTGTGAACAGTGCGACACTGCCCTATCTATCTCTGTACCAACCCACCCCACTCACTACGAGTCACGTGACACTATCCTCCTCTTCCAGTGCCCGACCCCTCCCTGAGTAGCCTGAGCACAGACTTCACCGTGGACATCGAGACGGTCAACGTGGAGACGAAGCGAGTGACCAACATGATGATGTACTACAGCCAGAGTCAGAATATGATCCGTTTGACGACATTCGAGGCCAACAAAAAGTCGGATCTATATTTCATGTTTGCGGACAACGAAATATTGGCGTACGATTACACCATTGGAAGAGGTGCTTGTTTTACTTGAGCTAATTAATAACTTGTTTCTTTAGTTCTGTATTAGCTTTAAGGCGTATCAGAAGTTGTTTCAGTACCATTACCATAACTCCGTCCATTGTTCTAGCCTGGACCTTAATAAAAGTCTAAATCCCTAATCTTAACCTTAACACTCACCCTAATACTAATCCGTTAGTTGTCGTGAATCTGCCTAGCCCTAACGGGTTCCCAACTGAGTTTATAGAAAATAAAGATCGCTGAACATAGAACGTAATACAGAACGCTTTTTTAACACTAGCCCCAACTAGCTACTACAGTGATTAAAAAACTTGGAAATTATACTGTAATGCTCTCACAGTCATACATACACAATATGTGTTATAAACCTGTGTACAACCCTACCATCTCATATATGTACACACCATATTGTACACGTCTTGTTGTGTACACTCGACAGGAACCTGCCAGGTACTCTACAACCTGAACAGCAACCCGGAGACGTTCATCGTGGGCGGCTCCAAACGTGGGAAGGTGGAGGTTCCGCTGGGTGTCCTACACTTTACCGGCCAGTCGGGATTTGGGTAGGTGGTGTGAGGTGTTGTAAGGTGTTGTTGTTAGGTGTTGTTGTAAGATGTTGTTAGGTGTTGTTGTTAGGTGTTGTTATGTGTTATAAGGTGTTGTGATAATGTTACGGGTAATATCTGACAAAAGTGGGAAGGTAGAAGTTCCACTAGGTGTCCTACACTTTACCGACCAGTCGGGATTTGAGTAGGTCGTTTTTTTTTCAGATCATGACACATGGACTATTTGACACAAATTGCAGGTCATATAACATTTATAACTAGACAGATATATGTTTTATTCAATCCAGGACACACATATATTATGTATGACATAAAACACGACAAAATGTGGCCTGAAAATATTTTGACGTTTCCAGAGATCACCAGATCCGGACTGTGAAGACAGGAACTGGTTCGTCTCGCGCCATGGAGGTCATGACCTTCACATCCTGCCAGAAGTGGAGCATCGGCGCCAACACGGCCACGCTCAACGTCACTCACTCCTTCTCTAGTGAGACATTTGTCCTGCTATCGTCTGCGTAACATTGTTCTGCTTGCTCTTGTCTATTTGTTATTATCAACTTTCTGTTGTCTACTTGTTATTATCTACTTTCTGTTGTCTACTTGGTATTATCTACTTTCTGTTGTCTACTTGTTATTATCTACTTCCTGTTGTCTACATGGTATTGTCTACTTATCATTGTCTACTTGTTATTGTCTACTTGGTATTGTCTACTTGCTTTTGTCTATTTGCTGTTAACCTCTTGATCATAATACTTTTTGTGTACAGTATTTTTTCTAGTAAATTTTCTAATGTCTAGATTTTATTCCATGTTCTCTCAACATTAATCCCTCCATATTTCCTAGTTCTAGTATAATACATTTACCTGTATGTAGTATATTACCTGCTATACATATATAGTATATTACCTGCTATACATATGTAATACAGTAGCCTATATGATATACATATGTAGAACATTACCTGCTATACATATAAAGTATATTACCTGCCATACTAACCTGTTACACTGACCTGTGTACAGCCAAAGCATGGCGCCGACCTGTGAGTGGAACCATCCCAGTTACCATAGAGATCCAGGGCAACGCTGTCCTACACGGCGTCCCTACAACCATCCACCACTACTACCACTACTTCAACTACAAGACCTCTGTCAATCCAGAGGTTTTTGAGGTGGGTACCGTCAAGATAATGGGAGTAGAAGTTAACTGTTTAGTCGGCAACCATTTTAACGGGCCCTGCATGTTATGGGGTGTGTTTAAGTGACACCACCTTCATAGGCGTCGAAGGTGTACTTTTGCTTCTCCTTCTTCGCTCTTAAGTGTATTGTTGGACGGGATTTCCAACAACGTGTCAATTGTTATGCGCCATATAGGCCGTTGAATCCGATTTCAGCCTTTTTTTCGAATTTGCTTCCATAGCCTTTGTTCATCCAAGAACAAACTACAAGTCAGTAGTTTTTTTGTTGTTGTCTCTCCTAGGAGAGTTGCCGTCTTCAGTTTTCGAGCCTCATCTACTCGGGTTTTGAACTCGGGGCTTTTTGGTTTAGCAAACATGATCTTTACCGGTCCAGTCAAGGAAAGGGTGTTTTAATTTGTGACCATTTTTAATGTTCTGAATTTCTGTTTCGTAATTGAGTCGAGATAATTTGATTAAAAATGGATTTAATTTAATGACGACATTGAGGGACTAGCGCTAAACTTACTTCACAATTTTAAATTATTATCTCTCATGATAAGAAAAATATTTACCGTAAAATCGATATCAGTCAAAAAGTATGAACACATTTCTGAAAAATTCTCGAGTTGAATGTGTAAACTGTCATCCGCAGACGCCATCTGGGATTGTATGTCAAGGCCGTCTGGTCGACATGCCCTTTCCCAACCTGCCGACATACATCAAGTTTTCAGGGGAGACAATCGACCACAATGACGGCATAGTTCGATACATTGAGGTAAGAGGTCAAAGGTTGAGGTCACATCATCAAAGGTTAAGGTCACATCATGAGCATCAGTACGGCGTTACCAATTCACGAGTATATATTATAGTTTGCATGGGTATTAGCTAACTTCGTGCACATAATGAAAACATACGTGCCTAATGGTATCAAAATACAATATCTTCAACCTATACTAATACACGCACACACACAACAGAAGACCAACTTTACGTACCACAAGACACACATATAACATAGACACCAATAAACACAGATAACCCGCACACACAAACAGAAATCCATATACGTTTTTTTTTACGTTTCACACACTCCCAGTAGAAATCCATACATACATACATACATACATACATACATACATACATACATACATACATATACACAAAAATAACCCCCACACATACAACCCCACATACTCCCACACACGATTGTTTCCATTGAAACAGGAAGTGTTTGATGTGGACGACAATCTGATCGTGATGAAGATGCAAGGCATTGAGGACGTGGGTTCCAGTGGGGGAATCAATCACTACACCTACATCAGAGATTACATGACAGGTAGGATTATAGGATTATATGACAGGTAGGATTAGAGATTACATGACAGGTAGGGCATTGAGGACGTGGGTTCCAGTGGGGGAATCAATCACTACACCTACATCAGAGATTACATGACAGGTAGGATTATAGGATTATATGACAGGTAGGATTAGAGATTACATGACAGGTAGGGCATTGAGGACGTGGGGTCCAGTGGGGGAATCAATCACTACACCTACATCAGGGATTACATGACAGGTAGGCTTAGAGATGACAGGTAGGATTAGCGATTACATGACAGGTAGGGCATTGAAGACGTGGGTTCCAGTGGGGGAATCAATCACTACACCTACATCAGAGATTACATGACAGGTAGGATTAGAGATTACAAGACAGGTAGGATAAGGAGATTCCAAGACAGGTAGGGCATTGAGGACGTGGGGTCCAGTGGGGGAATCAATCACTACACCTACATCAGGGATTACATGACAGGTAGGCTTAGAGATGACAGGTAGGATTAGCGATTACATGACAGGTAGGGCATTGAAGACGTGGGTTCCAGTGGGGGAATCAATCACTACACCTACATAAGAGATTACATGACAGGTAGGATTAGATATTACAAGACAGGTAGGGCATTGAGGACGTGGGGTCCAGTGGGGGAATCAATCTCTACACCTACATCAGAGATTACATGACTGGTAGGATTAGAGTTTACAATACAGGTAGGATTAGAGATTAACACACTAGTAGGGATGAGAGATTACCGGGGTGGTAGGAATGAGTAATTATCAGACAAGTAGAACCTAAAAATTATCAGACTTATAGGGAAAAAGATCACAACAAAACTAGAGATGAGGTATTACTGGGATTAAGAGCTTACCAGACAGGCTTGCCATACAACTTGGTTCTGCCTCCCCAGACTTGTCATACAACTAGCTTCTGCCTCCCCAGACTTGTCATACAACTAGGTTCTGCCCCCCCCCCAGGCTTGTCATACAACTAGGTTCTGCCCCCCCCCCCCCCCCCAGGCTTGTCATACAACTAGGTTCTGCCTCCCCAGACTTGCCATACAACAAGGTTCTGCCTCCCCAGGCTTGTCATACAACTAGGTTCTGCCTCCCCAGGCTTGTCATACAACTAGGTTCTGCCTCCCCAGGCTTGTCATACAACTAGGTTCTGCCTCCCCCTCCCCAGGCTTGTCATACAACTAGGTTCTGCCCCCCCCCCTAAGTTTGTCATACAACTAGGTTCTGCCTCCCCAGGTTTGTCATTCAACTTCTGCCTCCCCAGGTTTGTCATACAACTAGGTTCTGCCTCCCCAGGTTTGTCATTCAACTTCTGCCTCCCCAGGCTTTTCATACAACTTCTGCCTCCCCAGGCTTGTCATTCAACTTCTGCCTCCCCAGGCTTGTCATACAACTAGGTTCTGCCTCCCCAGTCTTGCCATACAACTAGGTTCTGCCTCCTCAGGCTTGCCATACAACTAGGTTCTGCCTCCTCAGGCTTGTCATACAACTAGGTTCTGCCTCCCCAGGCTTGTCATACAACTAGGTTCTGCCTCCCCAGGTTTGTCATTCAACTTCTGCCTCCCCAGGCTTGTCATTCAACTTCTGCCTCCCCAGGCTTGTCATTCAACTTCTGCCTCCCCAGGCTTGTCATACAACTAGGTTCTGCCTCCCCAGGCTTGTCATACAACTTCTGCCTCCCCAGGCTTGTCATACAACTAGGTTCTGCCCCCCCCCCCCCCAGGCTTGCCATACAACTAGGTTCTGCGTCCCCAGGCTTGTCATATAAGATCAACAACCAGCTACAGACCTGCACGTCTTTAAATATAACGGAGGACATTGCCCTGCCCTTTGATTTTGTCACCTCGACTGGCAAGATTCAACAGCTCTCACCTGACCAGTTTTTTTACCATGCTAATGACAAGTTTGATTACCTGGGCAAGGTGAGTGACCTCAAAGTATTTTAATCATAGGTCAAGTGAGAGACCTAAACAAATTAACTAGCTGGCAAGTTGAGAAACATGATGTATCTTTTGTTTACGACAAATGAGTACACATTTATTAGGTTCAGCCTATATTTAATTATAATTAATCACATTTTCTGAATATAGTTTTAATAACTTTATCCAAGCTAAATTTATTAATCTGAAACTAACCTTTAGTCTTTCAGGCTTATTTTTTTCTTGCTACTGTGTCTTGCCTCTAAACCTAAGTAATACTATGACTAGCATAAACTTCATTGATTCTATGACTAGCCTCTAAACCTAACTGATACTATGACCAGCATAAATTTCATTGATTCTATGACTAGCCTCTAAACCTAACTGATACTATGACTAGCATAAACTTCATTGATTCTATGACTAGCCTCTAAACCTAACTGATACTATGACTAGCATAAACTTCATTGATTCTATGACTAGCCTCTAAAACAAACTGATACTATGAATAGCCTCTAAACCTACAATAATGTTGTATGTGTCTGTTATAACTTTCATTAGAGAAATGTCCGTGGTATGTCTGCTGATGTTTGGGTTACCAAGACAACCATGCTCAACAAAGCTCTCGAAGAAGTGATTGTTGAGTGGTACTTTGCACCGGTAAACTTATCCATAACGTCTGATTTTGTTTTCGCCATATAATTATGTGACAAATCACATTTTCAATAATTTTGTAAATAATCGTTACATTCTATTAAAACAAATTATCAAAGGATTTCACATTTAACGCTTCGAAATTAGTTATAAGTTTTAGTCCTATAATTACAGTAATCCCGTGTTTGTCACTTTACAAGTACTTGAATTCATACTTTCTATTTTAGCCCAATGTCCGATCATGGAACGAAGGGTCACCCTACTATAAACAAGGCAACTACAGGATACCAGTAAGGTTTCGATCCTGGAAAGGAAAAGTGAGTACATTTTAACGCTTGCGATATTTTTTAAGCTTGGTTGTCTGGCATTATTCAAATGTTTGAACTCACTGCCAGTATCGCCGTGAGCAGATCATGATTTTATAAACATTCTGCCTTAGAGATTACTATCCGTGACAGTCGTTTCCATGGTAACTGGCATGTTTCTATCTCCGCTGACAGGACACGTACAGCCTCGATCTGAACATCTTCCACGTGGACTACACCAAACTTATGTACGGCAGCATCAACATCCGCTCCTGCTACCCCAACACTCAGAGCAACTACTTCCAGCTGGTCCTTGCAGGTTAGATCTGATAGTTTTCGTCACTTAGTTCAGTGTCTAATGTAATGTTATTGGCTTAATGTAATGTTATTGGCCTAATGTAATATTATCGGACTAATCTCGATACCATCGCCTGCCACATCATAACACAAAGAAAATTTATTTATTTCATTATCGTAGGTCATAACTTCTGTTTGACGTATTGTTATATTTATTTCCCCCTTAAGTCAACACTATCATTGCATTCACAATATTTCTTATAATTTGGTCACCAATTTCTGTCATCTGATCACCATTCGTTATTTGATCACCACCTGTCTTGACGTCACCACAGGCGGCAGGGAGCTGGTGGTGAGTACCAACATTGAAGAGTTCAAATGGCGAGCAGTCCATGACTTGGCTAACACAGCGGGAGTCAGGTGGATCCGTATAGCAGACCTCAAGGTTAGGATTTTGTTATCTCGTTCTGGCCAATTCTTAGCAGTCCCTTGAGCCTATAAACACACATACAGACAGATACATACACACACAGCCATAAACAGAGACTGACACAAACATAGACACACACAAACATAGACACAGACAGTCAGATACACAGACATACACAGAAACAGACACAAACACACGCACCAAAACAAACATAGACACACAAACACACACACATATATACACAGTCATACACAGAGAAACACAGACAGACACAAACACACACACACACTGACACAAACACAGAAACAAACAGACAGACACACATACATACACAGTCATACAAACAGAAACACAGACAGAAACAAACATACACACTGACACAAACATAGACACAAACAGACAGACACACACGCAGACTCGCACGCACACACAGGCAAACACAGACACAGGCAGACACACAAACAGACATACAGACACACAGACACACAAAGACTCGCACGCACACACACTTCCAACGCAGACACACAGTCATACATATAGACTAGGGCCTACGCTCATAAACACAAACACAGAAACACACACATGGATACAACGCATATATACACGCCATATTAACTCACCTGTCCCACTGTTGCAGGTGTACTACGAGCAGAACGACGCCATCATTGAGTTCGAGATGCTAGACGCGCCCAAGTACGCTGTTGATATCGACACCCCACTCGTGGCCCCCCTCACCCTACAGCAGGCGGCCAAGAATCTGCTGGATGCTGCAGCTAGTGGCACTCTGTCGCTCAAAGTGTACGACCCTTTCACCAACAGCATCAGTAAAGTAAGGACAATCTCTCACTATAAGTAAAGTAGGAAAACTCTTCTATTATATACATAAGGCTATCAAGAGTAAGGGAAATTTTTCACTATACGTTTGGACAATCTCTCACTATCAGTAAAGTAGGAAAACTCTTCTATCATATACATAAAGCTAGCAAGGGTCAGGGGAATCTTGGATCTATCGAGTGCTATACAATTCGTCTGTAGTTATAGTCAAACTGCTGGCACATTTCCATATTGTTTAATGCCAGAAAGAATAAGGAATCTGCTGTTCTTCTATAGCTACTACTAAGCTATTCTGCCCACAATTCCTAACTTTGCATGTAGACTGCGAGTGTTCTACCACAGACGTTAGTTGTCAGTGTATGGTAAAGGTTGACTGTATTTTTCTTATGTAAACTTTTCTTGAGTAAACTGCAATAATTTTTTTGTTTTTTTCCTCTTCCAGAATTTGCCAGTGACGTCAGCACAAAACACTGGCACCAACAACGACCCAGGTGTAAACATTGACAACGGTTTTTCTGCAGGTAAAAAAAGTTGTGTCATGTAATTAAAAACAAAAATAAAATTAAAAAAAACCTTGAAATGATGCGTTGTTTATTTATGCGACTGTTTTTTTTATCAAAGATACTATTATATTTATTAAAGTAGTGTACCATTTGAGTCAAGCGTTTCCAAAACCGTTTCTATTCTAACATGGTGTTCTTTTATTTTTTTATCACAGGAGCATTGGCCGGTCTTGGGGTTGCCATGGCAATTGTAGGGGGCGCTGGTGGCGGTGTTGGTGCCTACTTTTTGATGCGATAATTTATCAACACCTGAGCTGTCCTTTGTTTACTGTTTGAAGTATACTCATCTGTATGATTGAGGAAAATGTTCGATTACTAAATCGGTTAATCGATCGGTGATTTGGATGAATGTTTTAGTTTATTACTTGCCAAATTTGTTTGTAGTGGAGATTTGTACAAATTAAAGAATATATTTATGTGATCATTTTTATGTTAATTCTTATTACAACACTAACAAAGCAGCAAGGGTGTTAAAACTTTTGTCTAAAATAACATCCAAAGTTCATTTTGTTTACGTTGGATGTTTGCACGTTGTTTCTGCTTGAGTGGAATCTAAAAGCATCGTCTAGACCTAGAATGCTATGTGCCCTTAAGATTTTGTGTCAGTCTACATATAAGAAGAGGGGTGGGACTTAGAGAGAACACTTCATACTGGTCATAAAGTTATATGCTACTGTTGTATGTATATTATTTTTTAATAAAAACTATTTTTAAAAACAAGAGGTAACACAAAGCCCACAATTTTATTTTATTCACCTGCATTAGCTTGATGTGGGAGAAATGTGTACATAACACTTTAAAAAAAAATCTCATTGATTGAGTTATTGGTTCCAGCCATTAAAGAGTTCAGTGACAATACAACGCTTTCATAAACACTGGCAACATAGCAATCAGCCGCTCACAATACCAAGTGATAGAGGGGAAAACTCTGACACCATGTTATGTCACTCAGCTCGTCATAAATGTTTATAATGATGTGTCATCTCACACCCCCCTCCCCAGCACCACACATACATACACACCCATCTGGTTTTATAGCATGATATAAAGAATCAAATGACCCTGTATGATGTTACTTTAGCTGGTAGAAATATAACGCTGTATTTCTGTAGAATGATAGGAAGTTGTACAAGGGGACATAACTGTGGGGACTGTTGTAGTCTGGGACACAGTGATCGAGGAAATAACTAACTGGGACATAACGGTCTTTTAGGAAACCTTCGTTCAATCATTTTTAAACCTCACGTCAGAGACATTAGTGCTGGGTCATAACTATCTGTGCATACCTCGCTGGGGAATAATGTTTTAGCAATGAAAGGCCTGCCTTATGTGTTTGGGGCATAAAAGGGAAAAACTGAATGAAAGGCTTGAAGTTTTAGTAGAGAACATTAGGGGTCTAAATTACTTTTTCGTGGTGGCCTGGGCATAATAGTCTAAGGAGTAGCATGTTGACGTAATGTTACATAAGCATAACGGACTAGGGCAGGGGTCGGCAACCTGCGGCTCGCGAGCCGCATGCGGCTCTTTTTATATCAAGATGCGGCTCTCCAGCTCCTTGCAAAAAATATTAATAATCTTAATAAAAAAAAAATATTTGAAATAAAAAAAATTTAGTGGCTCTTTAAAACCAGGGAAATTTTGAAAATTGTAACTTTTGGCTCTTCCGCTTCAAAAGGTTGCCGACCCCTGGACTAGGGGATAACAGTCTGAGGCATAACGGTCTGGGACATAACAATCATGGGCATAACAATCATGGGCATAACGGTCCGTTTGTTTATTGAATAATTATACACAATATTGCTCCTCGTAAAACGGACACAGCGCTAAGGTTGCACATCAACATCATGTAAAAGGATCGCGATACGGGTGTAACTCATAACATCATATATAACGTAGTATCTAGCAATAAATTCGTCGGGTAAAATATTGCTAGCAGACCGAGTGTAGACATAATTGGCCCTCAGCAGAAGAAACATGTTTGTTTATGATAATGTTATTACACTGATTGATTAGTCTGAGTCGATAATGGAACTGGAATTTACGCCATGGCTAGGTCAACGATCGTTCAGGTCAGAGTGAGACGCTATTGGTTGTAACTCACATTCTGATCATTTAGGCTCTGTGGCGTAGCAAGGGGGGGGGGGCGGGGTGCGGACCGCACCGGGTGACACCATTTATGGGGGTGACACCAAGGCAAAAAATAGTAAAAATATATAGAGAAAAATCTGAGGAGGGGGGGGGGGGGATGTAAATCGAAAGTTTGAAGGGGTGCAAATCGAAAGTTTGAGGGAGGGGGTGCAAATCGAAATTTTGAGCGGGGGGGGGGGGGTGCATATCGAAAATTGAAAGTTTGTCCACCATTAAGTGCCGCACCGAGTGACACCGGACCTCGCTACGCCACTATTTAGGCTGTGTGGGGTTTCAAATACACGCACGATCATACACACCCGTAAACACACAGTCAAGAGTAGAGGTGTAGCTAAGGGAGGGTGGGTGGGGAGGCCGCTCTGGGTGCCTGTCCTATGGGGGCGCGAAACTGGTTTAAAAAAGTATTACTGAGCTGCAGTAAGCGAAGTTAAGAATAAAGAAGTATTTAACTGTTTTCTACATCTGTTGTGGAATGCCAAAAATAGCAACTGTTAAGGTACGGTGATTGTTAAAAAAATAATATAATACTATAATAATAACTATAAATATACGGAAGGTGGGCGCATAATTGATAGTACGCCCCGGGCGTCAGAATGGATCGCTACGCCTCTGACTCACAGTCAAAGACAAACACATACATTCTGTTACGCACGCACGCAAGCACATACACAGTTTATATCTCTCAATATATATATATATATATATATATATATATATATATATATATATATATATATATATATATATATATATATATATGTGTGTGTGTGTGTGTCTGTGTGTATACATACATATAACAACTGTGCAATCAATAAAATCAAGTGTTTATGCAGAATTTTGTATATGAATAAACTTATGTTTATAATTAACTTTATTCTAATACTAATCAAAATAATTTCCTTCTCTATCGCAAATAATTATTAATTCTAATATCATCGCTATCAAATAGATACACATTAGATGTGTTAAATTAAACTTGTATAGTAAAATGCAAATCCTGACAACAACAGATAAACTCTACTTGACCTGTACTTTGGTCAATCAGATTCAGAAATTATATTTTTACTTTTTACTTTTATCACAGAAAGTGATTATGCTGATGGATTACATTCATTGTTTATACATTGTTTCGCAAACATTTTTTTCTTAAAAAACTAATTGTTTTCGAAATTCCGTTGTCCTACGCCAATTTATTATTTCAAAACAACTGTGCAAACAGTTTGTAATTATATTTTTGAAAACGATTAGTAAAATCGCCATCTTTGAGAAGTATCGGAACAAGAAAAAAACTTAAGAGAAGAATGTGATTTTGTTATCTGCCATCTCTTGGATACACACCTACCGTGAAGTGGACGGATATCTTCTCGATAACTTCTTTATCAGGGAGATAACTCCTACAGATTTCATCCTACTGTGGCGTCCTATGGTTTTTGATGTGCACAGTCCTGCCCACTGAACAATAAAGTTTTTGTTGTGATCCCAGCCCAGGTGACTTTTAAATGCATCATTAGTAGAGGTAAGCGTTAATTAAATAGTTAAATTAATTAAAATTATGTGCATTTTAATAATATTTAATTTGGTAATTGAGATTATAGAAGATCCTCGAAATCATGGAAACAACTTTATAATTATTATTTTAGAAGGTTTTTTTCGTACGTCGCATTGATTTACTTGAAGAAATTTGAGCATTAATTGTCTTGTGATAAATAGTACTTTTTGTGTACGTTTTATTTCATTTTATGCTTGGGTATTTTTGTCTGTGTGATTTCAGATTTGAATTAATAACTTTATACATTTATATAAGCTGTAGGTGTGATTTACTTTACGTATTTAATTATTGTTTTATGTTAAGTAGTATTAACATAATCGTGTTATTATATAGTCAAATCTGTGTACACATTGTTGTATGTACTTGTATTGTATTGGTATGTATTCACAATTTATAACAAAGTACTTCATACCAAGCATCAATACTACTATCTATTTACCTTTTATCGAGTGAACTATCAGTCGTCTGCCGGCCCACATACGCCTACTACACATGTGTCGATTATCAAAAGTCTATTCTCTAGACCTTTTATCTTTTTTTCTTTACTCAATCAGATACACACGCTCCCACCTACACTATCAATCTAGACTTGATTTGTTCAGACTATTTTAGTTCAATGCATGTTAGCGCTCGACTGCTAACCCGAAAGTCACAAGTTCGAATCCGGTTCAAGTCAGTAGAATGTCCCTAAGTCAACAAAGCTCTGATGGGTACCTAACTCCCCGTAAAGTAAAGGCGGTGGGTATAGTGCTGACCAAACTATCCCTTCATTGCCGAGGCAACAGAAACTAGTGAACTCTACTTCACTTGCCCCATGGACCGTCAGGTTCAAAAAGGGAACTTTACTATTACAGGTTAACTAAAATTATTGGGTTATTTCTCTTTAATTTGTTAAGTGTTTGTTTGAACTCATAAACGCACGATTGTTTTATTCAAACAACACTTCTGATTCTTACTCATCATATACCATTACAATATTTATTTATCAAGATTAAACATGGATTAAGCATACTATATATTCATAGTGAGAGTTTTGAAGATTACCATATTTTAACGTTATATTTAAAACGCTCCATACTCTAATCTTAACAAGGTAATACCTGTCAACATCAATACGTGTACTACACAGTAACAGTTTCCAATGTAATAAAAGTTTGAGTGTTTCCTATTATTTCCAGCGTTTCAGTACCACTGAGCAGACGATTGGCTAACCCCAAGCAGACGATTTGCTGACCTCAGCAGTCAATTACTTGACTTCACGCGACAGCAACAATGCTGCTCAAGCTCTGTCTTCTGCTGTCGGTGGCCGTTAGCGTCTTGTCACAGATGCCATCTAATGGCCCAGCATGCCAGGAAATCACATCAGGTGGGTGTAAGACACAGACAACACATCAGGTGGGTGTAAGACACAGACAACACATCAGGTGGGTGTAAGACACAGACAACACATCAGGTGGGTGTAAGACACAGACAACACATCAGGTGGGTGTAAGACACAGACAACACATCAGGTGGGTGTAAGACACAGACAACACATCAGGTGGGTGTAAGACACAGACAACACATCAGGTGGGTGTAAGACACAGACAGCAGAACAGACACAGACACAGACAACACATCAGGTGGGTGTAAGACACAGACAGCAGAACAGACACAGACACAGACAACACATCAGGTGGGTGTAAGACACAGACAGCAGAACATACACAGACAACACATCAGGTGGGTGTAAGGCACAGACAACACATCAGGTGGGTGTAAGGCACAGACAGCAGAACAGACACAGACAACACATCAGGTGGGTGTAAGACACAGACAGCACATCAGGTGGGTGTAAGACACAGACAGCAGAACAGACACAGACACAGACAACACATCAGGTGGGTGTAAGACACAGACAGCAGAACATACACAGACAACACATCAGGTGGGTGTAAGGCACAGACAACACATCAGGTGGGTGTAAGGCACAGACAGCAGAACAGACACAGACAACACATCAGGTGGGTGTAAGACACAGACAGCACATCAGGTGGGTGTAAGACAACACAGACAACACATCAGGTGGGTGTAAGACACAGACAGCACATCAGGTGGGTGTAAGACAACACAGACAACACATCAGGTGGGTGTAAGACACAGACAGCAGAACACGCAGACAACAGAACATACACATACAACACATCAGGTGGGTGTAAGACACAGACAGCAGAACAGACACAGACAACACATCAGGTGGGTGTAAGACACAGACAGCACATCAGGTGGGTGTAAGACAACACAGACAACACATCAGGTGGGTGTAAGACACAGACAGCAGAACACACAGACAACAGAACATACACATACAACACATCAGGTGGGTGTAAGACACAGACAGCAGAACAACACACACAACACATCAGGTGGGTGTAAGACACAGACAGCAGAACAGACACAGACAACACATCAGACACAGACAACACATCAGACAACACATCAGTCAACACATCAGACAACACAGACAAAACATCAGACAGAGACAACACATCAGACAACACATCAGACAGAGACAACACATCAGACAACACATCAGACAACACATCAGACAACACATCAGACAACACAGACAAAACATCAGACAGAGACAACACATCAGACAACACATCAGACAGAGACAACACATCAGACAACACATCAGACAACACATCAGACAACACATCAGACAACACATCAGACACAGACAACACATCAGACAACACATCAGACAACACATCAGACAACACATCAGACAACACGTCAGACAACACATCAGACAACACATCAGACAACACATCAGACAACACATCAGACACAGACAACACATCAGACAACACATCAGACAACACATCAGACAACACATCAGACAACACATCAGACAACACATCAGACAACACATCAGACACAGACAACACATCAGACAACACATCAGAAAACACATCAGACAACACATCAGACAACACATCAGACAGAGACAACACATCAGACAACACATCAGACAGAGACAACACATCAGACAACACATCAGACAACACATCAGACACAGACAACACTTCAGACAACACATCAGACAACACATCAGACAACACATCAGACAACACATCAGACAACACATCAGACAACACATCAGACACAGAAAACACACCTTGCATACACAAAACATCTGACACACGCACTACATCAGACATCTGGTGACTTAGATCACAGACGACACAAAGCTTTAGCATGCAGACAATACAACACACTTCTGTTATAACTATCAACAACTCCATATAATTGAGTTATCAAGATTGATCAAAGGGTTTTAATGGTAGGGCCTACTGTTAAATTAACGGTACTCTAAATGGTAGAAATATTAATTCATTTTAGCATTCCATGTTGTTTCAATGAAATTTTATAGCTGGGTCTAGAGTGGCTAGACTATACTAATGAGTTGGAAACTGGTAAAGGGGAACAAGCAAGGAAATAACGAACACAGAACAAAGCAAGAGGATTAACAGTGGAAATGGGAAACAAAAAATACAATAATTTTCGTACATTTCTGATCTCTTTCAGGCAGCCCTCCCGAGTTTGTGCAGGTGAGTAACGACTTCTCAGTGGACATTGAGACTGTGAGCGTGGAGACCAACAGAGTGACCAACATGAGGATGTTCTACAGCCTCAGTCAGAACATGATCCGGCTCAACATCTTTGACGCTGGTGTCAGGTCGGATTTGTACTACTACTTCGCTGATGGCGAGATCCTGGCTTTTGAGTACAGTGTAGGCAGAGGTAAGGGCATCTGGTCATTACATTAGTGGTAGAGGTAAGGACATCTGGTCATTTCATTTGTGGTAGAGGTAAGGGCATCTGGTCATTTCATTAGTGGTAGAGGTAAGGGCATCTGGTCATGTCATTAGTGGTAGAGGTAAGGGCATCTGGTCATTTCATTAGTGGTAGAGGTAAGGACATCTGGTCATTTCATTTGTGGTAGAGGTAAGGACATCTGGTCATTTCATTAGTGGTAGAGGTAAGGGCATCTGGTCATTACATTAGTGGTAGAGGTAAGGACATCTGGTCATTTCATTTGTGGTAGAGGTAAGGACATCTGGTCATTTCATTAGTGGTAGAGGTAAGGGCATCTGGTCATTTCATTAGTGGTAGAGGTAAGGGCATCTGGTCATTACATTAGTGGTAGAGGTAAGGACATCTGGTCATTTCATTAGTGGTAGAGGTAAGGGCATCTGGTCATTTCATTAGTGGTAGAGGTAAGGACATTCTGGTGATTACAGTGTAAGTAGAGGTAATGACATCTGGTCATTACATCGTGTGTAGGGGTAAGGAAATCTTTTGATTATACCTTTAGAAATGAATTGTTACATTGTTATGAAGTGCTAATTGTTAGATGTAAGAACAACTTTTAATTTCACAATTAGTAGAATAAAAAAACATCTCTTCAGTGCACTTTAGTAAAACAATATATGTATACTATCAGTTAAATGTAACATCTAGAGTAGATTTGACAGAACTTAAACTATATACGTACACTGTCAATATGTGTATATTTTCAATATATGTAAAAACTAGCGTAGATTTGACAAGACTTTGACTGGTCACCTACACTTGCTATGGTCAGGTAAATAGTATACATGTGTCACGTGATAATCTCCACAGGTAGCTGCCAGGTTATAACTAACATAACAACAAGTCCAGAAATCTTCCTGGTGGGCGGGGTTAAGGATGGCACCAAGGTTCAAGTTCCTTTAGGTGTGCTACACTTGACTGGACAGTCGGGGTTTGGGTAAGTAGACTTGTGTTAGTAGGCCTATGGTCAGTGTTTGGGTAAGTAGACTTGTGTTAGTAGGCCTATGGTCAGGGTTTGGGTAAGTGTGTAAGTAGGCCTATGGTCAGGGTTTGGGTAAATGTGTAAGTAGGTCTATGGTCAGGGTTTGGGTAAGTAGAGTTGTGTAAGTAGGTCTATGGTCAGGGTTTGAGTAAGTAGAGTTGTGTAAGTAGGCCTATGGTCAGGGTTTGGGTAAGTAGAGTTGTGTAAGTAGGTCTATGGTCAGTGTTTGAGTAAGTAGAGTTGTGTAAGTAGGTCTATGGTCAGGGTTTGGGTAAGTAGAGTTGTGTAAGTAGGTCTATGGTCAGTGTTTGAGTAAGTAGAGTTGTGTAAGTAGGTCTATGGTCAGTGTTTGGGTAAGTAGAGTTGTGTAAGTAGGTCTATGGTCAGTGTTTGAGTAAGTAGAGTTGTGTAAGTAGGCCTATGGTCAGGGTTTGGGTAAATGTGTAAGTAGGTCTATGGTCAGGGTTTGGGTAAGTAGAGTTGTGTAAGTAGGTCTATGGTCAGTGTTTGGGTAAGTAGAGTTGTGTAAGTAGGTCTATGGTCAGTGTTTGAGTAAGTGTGTAAGTAGGTCTATGGTCAGGGTTTGGGTAAGTAGAGTTGTGTAAGTAGGTCTATGGTCAGTGTTTGGGTAAGTAGAGTTGTGTAAGTAGGTCTATGGTCAGTGTTTGAGTAAGTGTGTAAGTAGGTCTATGGTCAGGGTTTGGGTAAGTAGAGTTGTGTAAGTAGGTCTATGGTCAGTGTTTGGGTAAGTGTGTAAGTAGGTCTATGGTCAGGGTTTGGGTAAGTGTGTAAGTAGGTCTATGGTCAGGGTTTGGGTAAATGTGTAAGTAGGTCTATGGTCAGTGTTTGGGTAAGTAGAGTTGTGTAAGTAGGTCTATGGTCAGGGTTTGGGTAAGTGTGCAAGTAGGTCTATGGTCAGTGTTTGGGTAAGTAGAGTTGTGTAAGTAGGTCTATGGTCAGGGTTTGGGTAAATGTGTAAGTAGGTCTATGGTCAGGGTTTGGGTAAATGTGCAAGTAGGTCTATGGTCAGGTTTTGGGAAAGTAGACTAGTGCAAGTAGGTCTATGGTCAGGGTTTGTGTAAGCGTGTCCGTAGGTCTATGGTCAGGGTTTGGGTAAGTGTGCAAGTAGGTCTATGGTCAGGGTTTGGGAAAGTAGACTAGTGCAAGTAGGTCTATGGTCAGGGTTTGGGAAAGTAGACTAGTGCAAGTAGGTCTATGGTCAGGGTTTGGGAAAGTAGACTAGTGCAAGTAGGCCTTTGGTCAGGGTTTTGATAAGTGTATAAGTAGGCCTATGATCAGGTTTGAGAAATTAGACTTGTGCAAGTAGGTCTATGGTCAGGGTTTGGGTAAGTGTGCAAGTAGGTCTATGGTCAGGGTTTGGGAAAGTAGACTATTGCAAGTAGGTCTATGGTCAGGTTCGAGAAATTAGACTTGTGCAAGTAGGCGTATGGTCAGGGTTTGTCCCGGCTTTTAAAGTCCACCAGAGATCTGCACACCACAGCTACGTATCACTGTTTATAGTTTAAACGTGTCATTAAACTCCTCGTCATCCTGCTAGGAAAAGCTGACCTATTCAATTATTTCCGCGGTGAAAAACTTGATTTTAAAACTAATTTAAAACAGTTTGACATACTTTTTTACAACTTGTTACCAGTGACAACCAGATTGTGTCCCAGCCAATCCAAAAGACAACAGTTCGAGGTATGGAGGTTGTGGGCTTCAACTCGTGCCAAAAATGGAGTTTTGGCCCCCACAGTGCCGTGTTAAACGTTACCCACTACTTCTCATGTAAGTTTCTCAACAGATTGCAGCTTAAAGCAATCTTGTATATTACAAAAGTAAATGTATTCCAATATCTGCCGGGCCGGAAATTTCTTCACCAAATGTTTAATAATTCCTTACCCAAACAAAAGAGATAGTAAATTAAATTTTAATTTCATTGTCAGAGGTAACTTTATGTTTACTCAAAAAAGTATGAATATAAGTTTCATACGAACAAATATTATAAAAATGTATTAACAGTGGCCTGTTGTAATAAAAATTCATAAACTATACAGAACTAATTAATGATTATGTGTAAATAATTATGTGACCAGGGTTTCTTTCAGACATTTTTCTCCGGGATGCTCTTATAATTTCGAGGAAGCGGCGGGGTGTGGGGTGCATTTTCTGGTTATAGTACATATTCTCTATATGAATTATTTATTTTTTTCTTATATTTTGCCGTTTGGGAAGGAGTATGAATGATGCCGCCCCCCCCCCCCCTCCCAAAAGAGATGCCTGAATGAAACATTGCTATGATTGGTGGGCTCAATGTTAGCCTTAAATTGACTTTATAAGAAGCTCGACTATGGTAATTAAAGCACCCCATTAATAATTCAATTACTTCTGTGCTCAGTTAAATCATGGCTGCGTCCAAACAGTGGTACTGTGCCCGTAATGATAGAAGTTCAAGGGTCAGGGGTTATTCACGGAGTTCAAACCAATATCCACCACTACTACAACTATTTCAACTTCAAAGAGTCGGTGGAGCCGTTCGCTTTTGAGGTTTGAAAGTTGTTTTTTTGTAATTTCTTCTCCCACTGCCTATTATATTCGTGACTAAAATACTGAGTGAGATGACAGCACTGTGTTTTGACATATATATATATATATATATATATATATATATATATATATATATATATATATATATATATATAATTTTATCAAAACTTTCTCTATTTTAACTAATATAACCTTATATATTTTATTAGAACTTTCTCTATTTTACCTAATATATTACTTATATATTTTATTTGAACTTTTTCTATTTTAACTAATATATTATTTGTATATTACATCAGACATTTCAAAACTTTCTCTATTTTACCTAATTCCAGACTCCCTCAGGTATCGTCTGCTCCGGTCGAACTGTGGACATGCCCTTTCCAAATTCTCCACCTTACATCCGGTTCGCAGGGGAAGTAATCGACCCAAACAGCAAATTCGTTCTTTACGTTGAGGTTTGTTAGTAAACATCTCTCTACAGAGCTACTGATTGAAGTTAAGGTTCAAAATGTATAACAAAACGATTTGATTCTGTTCTATGATCTCTAAGTAAAAGGTGAAACAAAACCCAGCTAGATTCAAATTTTATCACTTATCGCATTAGACGAAGTTGCCCCATGCAGTTGGCCTATATTGTGACTCACAAAAAAAAACAACTATATTTCCATGCAGTATTTTGTTTTACTTTCACAACAAAACTATATTTCCATTCAATATTTTGTAACTATCCCATCCTCAACTTAATCCCATTTGCAGGAGCTCTTTGACGTGACTGATGGGGTGGTGGTCATGAGGACTCAAGCCCCTGGTGACGTCAGCACTAATGGCGGCATGAACCACATCACAACGATACGAGACTACGTCACAGGTAAACACATACAGGCCTTCATTGTGATATTCATCGTCAGCTAGTTGTCAAGGCACATTGTTTGTTAATTTTAACACCGTGGTGGTACGTCCCTCAACCACAGGTGAGAGCTTCGGTCATAATGGGACTTAGTGGAGTCTCATTATGTGAGTCATTATGAGTTGGCGTCTGGCCTAGGGGCGTTAACTCTGCCGACAAAAGTTGAATATAGTAAAAGACTAGTAACAACAGTAGTACTTGTGTTTATGTTTGTTAAGTACATCGGCAAATATATTTAGCAGCCTAAGGTGTTATCTTACCACGAGTATCTGCCTTAGTTTTCGGTGTATCCTGTTCTCATCCCACAAAATATATATCTTAATTTATGTCTGTCTTGTTGTATCCCACAACTATTAGCCTGTATTATTTCTGTATTGTTTTTATCCCATTAATATAAACATGTATTAGGTTAGACCCGTTTTTACCCCACGTGTATCATCCCAAGTTTTATATCTGTCCTGTTTTTATCCAACGTGTATCATCCCAAGTTTTTTATCTGTCCTGTTTTTATCCAACGTGTATCAGCCCAAATTTAAAGTCTGTCCTGTTTTTACCCTACGTGTATCATCCCAAATTTTAAGTCTGTCCTGTTTTTATCCAACGTGTTCTGCCCAAGTTTTATATCTGTCCTGTTTTTACCCCACATGTATCTGCCCAAGTTTTATATCTGTCCTGTTTTTACCCGAACATCTGTCAGGTCTGTCGTATAGGATAGACAACCAGATGCAGTCGTGTGTCACTTTAAACATAACTGACGACACGGTTCTACCATTCGACTTCATCACGCAAGATGGCCGCATCAAACAGCTGACCGCTGACCAGTTCTTCTACAAACAAGGCACCAACTTCGAATACCTGGGCTGGGTAAGTGAAATACATGAACAATGGCGTCATGCCAGACATCCCCCTCCCAGCCCCCCCCCTCCCTTTTAAAAAGACGCTACTAAGCTTGTGATTCCCGCATCCTAAAATACAATAAATCTAAGGAGAGAAAAAAAACACATTGTCATACTTTCCATCTGTTTTGTTTTTAAGAAATAAATTATAATGCACATTTAACAACCCATCTTACCCTTGCCCTTGGGTGCGTTACGTGATTTTCGTACGATTACTAAATCGAATTAAAGTTTACGTAAAGTACTCTCATTTTATTGTATTGTTTAAAATATGATCCTCCCCTCCCCCTGTAGAGAAACGCACGAGGGCTGTCGTCCCAAGTTTGGGTAGGCAAAACCAAGCTCAACACAATGCCGAATCAGGACATCATTGTCGAGTGGTATTTTGCTGAGGTATGACATGCAATACGTACATACATTGCTTATGCTAAAGATACTAATTTTAAATTATACAAGCACATTTGTGAACAGCAACTTAGTTCATTATTCAACGAATCTTAAGGTTTCTTTACTCGTCGTTATTTATCCAGCAGCTTCATCACTTGACAATTTGATTGTTAACTTGGTCACCTTGTCATTTGGTCACCTATTCATTTGGTCACTTAGTCACTTGGTCACCTAGTCACTTAGTCACGTAGTCACTTGGTCAACTAGTAACTTAGTCACCTATTCACTTGGTCACCTAGTTACTTGGTCAAGTAGTCACTTGGTCACCTCGCCACTTGGTCACCTAGTCACTTGGTCAAGTAGTCACTTGGTCACCTAGCCACTTGGTCACCTAGATACTTAGTCACCTAGTCACTTGGTCACCTAACCACTTGGTCACCTAGCCACTTGGTCACCTAGATACTTAGTCACCTAGTCACTTGGTCACCTAGCCACAAGTCATTAGCAACATGATTACCAAAATAGCTCAAATATTCTACCTTCACCCCCGCTGCTAACAATAGTCGTGTCTGATTTCTCCGCAGAGTGACGTCAAATCCTGGAACGATGGATCAACCTATTACACTGAAGGGAAGTACAGGATCCCGGTCAGGTTTAGGATGTGGAACAATAATGTAAGTGGTATCATTCACTTTAATCTGATCTAGTCTTTCACATGTTGGGGCCTACGATCATTCACTTCCCTCATGTTGATCTATTTCCCTCATTTTGACCTACTTCAATCATGTTGACCTACATCCAGAACGCTCGGAGCGTGGACATGAACATCTACCATGTTGACTTCACCAGGATTATGTACGGGGAGCTAGACGTTCGCTCCTGCTATCCCAACAGGCAAAGCAACTACTTCCAGTTCGTGGTGCCAGGTCAGTTTAACTGGTGCCTAATTTTGGCACTAAATATACATCAATACATCAATGTATATCTGTCAAGCTACATTCGTTAGCTTAACTACCATGGAGAGACATTTGTCCCTCTACATTCATACAACACTGAAGCTCTTAACGACTTTGGCGGGCTTTATCAACTTGTTCCATTTTGACTTTGCTGTTTTCTTCTTTAAAGTTAGCATTAAATACACGGCATATCTAAGTTAAGTAGAGTGTTTGACTGGTAACAGGGACAGAGTTTATTTCAGGCATCTCTTTGTGTTCTTTCTTTATAAACACTTTGTTTCACCTGTGTTCTTTCTTTATAAACACTTTGTTTCACCTGTGATCTTTGTTTATAAACACTTTATTTCACTTGTGTTCTTTGTTTATAAACCCTTTGTTTCGCCTGTTCTTTGTTTATAAACACTTTGTTTCACCTGTGGCAGGTGGGAAGGAGAGCGTGATGAACACAAATCTGGAACAATTCAAGTGGACCAACGTCATGAACATGGCGAACTATGCCAAGGTCCGGTGGATCAGAATTGCTGATTTTCAGGTAAGGATTTCTGATTTTCAGGTAAGGATTTCTGATTTTGTCAGGTAAGGATTTCTGATTTTGTCAGGTAAGGATTTCTGATTTTGTCAGATAAGGATTTCTGATTTTGTCAGGTAAGGATTTCTGATTTTCAGGTACGGATTTCTGATTTTGTCAGGTAAGGATTTCTGATTTTGTCAGGTAAGGCTTTTCTGATTTTGTCAGGTAAGGATTTCTGATTTTCAGGTAAGGATTTCTGATTTTGTCAGGTAAGGATTTCTGATTTTGTCAGGTAAGGATTTCTGATTTTCAGGTAAGGCTTTTCTGATTTTGTCAGGTAAGGATTTCTGATTTTCAGGTACGGATTTCTGATTTTGTCAGGTAAGGATTTCTGATTTTGTCAGGTAAGGCTTTTCTGATTTTGTCAGGTAAGGATTTCTGATTTTCAGGTAAGGATTTCTGATTTTGTCAGGTAAGGATTTCTGATTTTCAGGTAAGGCTATATAAAGTTTTTTAACGCAGTATAAAGGGTTTTATTATATTGTTATTTGACCAAAATATGTTAGAATTTATACTTTTGTGTATTTTACTGACATTTGAAAGTACGCTGAATTTTTACGAAACCTTTTGACAACGCTATCAAATTGTGAAATGTTTGCCAACCTCATAAGAAACCTACCGTAATCAGTGTTTCTTCCAGACATTTTTCTCTGGGGGTGGGGGGGGGGCACTTGAAATTTTCGGGGGGGCTGTAGACTTTCTTGGGGGGGGGGGCGGACACTGTTAAAAGTATATATTTTCTATATAAATTATATACATTTCATTTTGTTCGGGGGTGGGGGGGGGGGGGGGGGGTTAGAATTTTTTCGAGGGGGGGGGGGCTTAGCCCCCCGAAGAGATGTCTGGAAGAAACTCTGACCGTAATATCACAGGTTTGTCAAGCCCTTAACAACCCTAATGTAAAATACCGTGTTAACCAACTAACAAAACAACCATAATTTTATGTATCATGTATATCAACGCAATAGCAACCCTACTGTTATAACGTTATGTTTCATATCACGTGACCAGGTCTACTACGAACAAAGCGACGCCATTATAGAGTTCGAGCTGTTGGACGCCCCGCCCTACGCTGGTGACGTAGACGGGCCGCCATTTGCTGATCTAACTTTAGCACAAGCCACGGCCAACCTTCAGAAAGCTGCGGGGGACGGCACTCTACAGATCAATGTTTACAGTCCGTCTACCAACAAGCTCGATCAGGTTTGTGAGACTGTTTGTGTCCTAGTGTGTCCTCCTTAGACTAGGGTGATAGGACTGTTTGTGTCCAAGTGTGTCCATAGACTAGGGAGGTAGGACAAGAGGCGTAACGAGGGGGGGGGGGGGGCGGGGGACATATGCCCCCGGGCGCCGACCTTAGGGGGCGCCAAAATCCTAGGACTGTTTGTGTCCAAGTGTGTCCTCCATAGACTAGGGTGCTAGGACTGTTTGTGTCCAAGTGTGTCCTTAGACTAGGGTGCTAGGACTGTTTGTGTCCAAGTGTGTCCTTAGACTAGGGTGCTAGGACTGTTTGTGTCCAAGTGTGTCCTCCTTAGACTAGGGTGCTAGGACTGTTTGTGTCCAAGTGTGTCCTCCATAGACTAGGGTGGTAGGACTATTTGTGTCCAAGTGTGTCCTCCATAGACTAGGGTGGTAGGACTGTTTGTGTCCAAGTGTGTCCTCCTTAGACTAGGGTGCTAGGACTGTTTGTGTCCAAGTGTGTCCTCCATAGACTAGGGTGCTAGGACTGTTTGTGTCCAAGTGTGTGCTCTATAGACTAGTATTTTAGAACTCTTTGTTACAAGTTTGTCTATAGACTAGGGTGGTAGGACTGTTTGTGTTCAAGTATGTCCTCCTTAGACTAGTGGTTTAGAACTCTTTATGTCCAAGTGTGTCCATGGCGAGACTTATAAATCTTACATTTCTGCGACCTTTTCTCGAACATCCGCAACGTATCCCTCAAATAACCAACGTCCCCTCACTCTACAGTACGTGTCAGTGAAGCCGATCCCCAAAGTTGTGCCCAACACAAACCCTGGCACGGGCACCACCCGGACCCCTCCCTACACCCCTCCCTACACCAACCCAGGCTGGGGGACGACCCCCAACTCCGGGCCTGTGGGCGTGGGGACAACAGCCGCTGGTTACGTCACAGTCCCCTCGGGAAAACAACAGTCCAGTGATGACGGGTACTCAGCAGGTAAGTGATTTGCTCAATTTGTCTAAGAGTTAACTGCAGCTATTTGGTATCAACACAAATGTTAGTGTTTTTTCACTTTTTTCTCTGGGGACGGGGGGAAAGGGGGGAATAAATTTTCCGGGCTGTGGGGGGTGGACACCGGAAAAAGTGTATATTTTCTTTATACATTATATTTCCGACCTAGCAACGCCACTGACTTTCTACAATTTAGACCCAGCTACTTCAAAAGGCGTTTTTCTCAACATATAAGGAACCACAATAAACATTTCTAACCCTCCAAATGACAAAGAATCAAACAAGTATTTCCCCTATCTAAATGACCAACTGACCACATTTTAAAAGACTTATTCCATGTAAACTAAATGGCCAACTGACCTAATATTACTGAAACAGTTCCTCAAACTAAACGACAATTGATTATATTTTACCAAATAGTCCTCCAAACTCTATCATCAATCTTTAAATTTATTCCTCCCAACTGACCGCATAACAAAATGACTTACCACAAAACTGAGTGACTAACTGATCACAGAACAATATGACCAACTGACCACATAAATAAATGAACAACTGACCACACTACTCAAAAACTAACTGACCAAAATGACAACATAACTCAATAACGAACTGATCACTTTCTGAAATGAACAACTGACCACACAACTCAATGACAAACTGACCACACAACTCAATAACCAACTGACCAAAATGACCACATAACCCAATAACCAACTGACCACACACCAAAATGACCAACTGACCATACACCTAATCTATTTCTCAGGGTCCATGGCTGGTCTAGGTGTTGCTATGCTTATCATTGGAGCAGCAGGCGGTGGTGCTGGGGGCTTTTTTCTCATCAAGTAAAGCCACGTCAACAAACACTTTATCATCTTGTTAACTGACACAAACTTAACATTTTATCACCTTTTTTCTCATCAAGTAAAGCCACGTCAACAAACACTTTATCATCTTGTTAACTGACACAAACTTAACATTTTATCACCTTTTTTCTCATCAAGTAAAGCCACGTCAACAAACACTTTATTAACTTGTTAACTGACACAAAGTTAACATTTTATCACCTTTTTTCTCATCAAGTAAAGCCAAGCCAACTAACACTTTATCACCTTGTTAACTGACACAAAGTTAACATTTTATCACCTTCTTTCTCATCAAGTAAAGCCATGTCAACAAACACTTTATCACATTGTTAACTGACACAAAGTTAACATTATATCACCTTTTTTCTCATCAAGTAAAGCCACGTCAACAAACACTTCATTACATTGTTAACTGACACAAAGTTAACATTTTATCACCTTTTTTCTCATCAAGTAAAGCCACGTCAACAAACACTTTATTAACTTGTTAACTGACACAAAGTTAACATTTTATCACCTTTTTTCTCATCAAGTAAAGCCAAGTCAACAAACACTTTATTAACTTGTTAACTGACACAAAGTTAACACTTTATCACCTTTTTTCTCATCAAGTAAAGCCAAGCCAACTAACACTTTATCACCTTGTTAACTGACACAAAGTTAACATTTTATCACCTTCTTTCTCATCAAGTAAAGCCATGTCAACAAACACTTTATCACATTGTTAACTGACACAAAGTTAACATTATATCACCTTTTTTCTCATCAAATAAAGCCACGTCAACAAACACTTTATCAACTTATTAACTGACACAAAGTTAACATTTTATCACCTTTTTCTCATCAAGTAAAGCCAAGCCAACAAACACTTTATTAACTTGTTAATTGACACAAAGTTAACATTTTATCACCTCATTTGGTCAATCCCAATAGAATTGAACATCAGTCATAAATTATTGTATCATACATTCATCAAAACTGTCCATTCTTTTTGTTGTCTTAACAAAATATTTTAAATTAAATAGCCGTTTGTTCTAGAATAAACAATGTTTACATTAAAATACTTTTTTAAAAAGTTTCTTTTGCAGTTTTAGCTTTCACCAGAACTTCTTACAGACCTTAATGTTGGATAATGTGTTAGCTCCCTTTCTCTGTCTATTGCTACAAAATCACACATTTACAAAAAAATGGAAACAGTTTATGTAAAGAAAATATATGAATATTTATTATCTCAATTCCCATGCAATGCACCATTTTTATGACAAAACAATGTGGCAAGCTAAACTATGGAATGAAAAGCGCACATCATTTTTTTAAACTGCACACTCAAAAGTAAAGACACACCTAAGCAAAATGTATTTAGTAAACACAATTTGATGATGGGTTTCAATAATTATTTAGATATCAATCAAAAATAAGGAAATGTAATTCAGACATACTCAATCTTCATATAAATGAATTAAGTTTTAATTGACTGATTCATGTTAGATTTATAATGAATTTATAATGCTTTCCAAAAAAAAATAAAACAATTTAGTACTTATAAGATTTGCTAAAAATAGACAACTATTGAACAAATGCATAACAGATCATTTAAATCAGCAGATATAATCTTTTTTTTTTGCATGGACTTATCCAATTTAATGCAGAGAATATTTCAGATGAAAATGTATTAATAGCCTTGGTAAAAATGACCTTAATGGTTATTTCCGAATCAAGACTTAATAAATCAGGAAACCTATAAAGAAGCATCTTTATAAAGTTGAACAAATTAATGCATGTTGATGTTTAAAATTAAAAGGAAACTAAGTACAATAATTAGATTTTTGTATGTAACAATATCTACAGTAGTGAGATTCATTATTAAATGAATTAATATTTTAACATAATCTCAAATTTAACACAGAAAATTATCTTGTTTTGTGCACAATATTTTCTTAGTACAATATACTTGTAAATGCTTTCATTTTAATATAGAAGGTGTGTAAAATGTCAATAATACAACAAAATGTAAAATATAAACTAGATTAACAAAAGCCTTAAGTTTAAAAACAGCTGATGTTCATCATGTATTGACTTCCTGAAGACATTGACTATGGTTACTGCATATTCTATAGTAATCACAGTACACCTTTTTGTATTCGTTGAAGTAAAATTAGAGTAAAAAGTAATCTGTAAAATTATTGGAGTGTCAGGGCAATTAAATCTAATACTATGGTTGTATAGACCATGTATTCCATGCCTTGCACAAATACTAGTGTTTTGTGCTCAACATATTTTACAATTTATTTAACCTGCTATATTAATAAGATACTTGGTCCTAGTTCTAGTATAAACAAATATTTACATAAACCATGCTAACATATCCTAACACATGTATAAAGAATAACATATACATAGGTCAGATTTTTCTTTGTAAATCAAAAGTTTCTTTTTTTTTTTAAATCATAGGTCATCTTTTAATTTTAAAAGAATTAGAAAGGTTTCCTTTTCAAAAAATCTAAAGTTTTATGTATTTATATTTAAAAAATGTGAACAAATGTGGATTTCTGAGCTTTCTTAAGATACTTAAGAATTGTAGAACAAAACTATTGGGGAAAAATTTACAAAAATATGTATATGCAGTATAACATTACTATAATGAAATTGACTCTCAAAAATGATGAGTATCCTACAAAATACATAGATACAATCATTTATAAATGAGTAAAACAAATCATTTTAAACAACTATGGTAAAGCTACATAAAAACTAAATTATTTTAAAAATATATACAAAAGAATAAAATAAACATCCAATAATTTAAGTATTACAGAAACAGTATCAGAGATAAGTTAAAATAATATAAACATCAAAACTTAATGCCTAATTTCATTGTCCATTTTAAAAATTCAGGTAATTATTTTCTAGAATATACCCTGTGTTTAACAAAAATAAAGGTACAGTTGAATGATCTTTGTGATCAGGAAAATTTAAATCAGCCAACACATTTGGGGTATTCATTGTTAGCTGGGTGAGTAAGAATTCTGTAGGGCTGAATCGTAATGTTCTCCATGTTTTAATATCCAGAGTGAGTAGTTCAAATGTTTAAGCCAGAGCTTTCCCATCCTTCAGCATTTTGTCCCCCTCACCATCAACATTCAACTCAAATTGGGATTTATCCTCCCCTTGTTCCACCCTTGACCAAGGTTGGAGCTCTCCAGAAGCAAAGATAATAAAGAACACAGCACCAAACAAATAGATTGCTGCAGCGATGTAGAACACAATCTGCCATTCTGCTCTTGTTTGTTTCTGGTAGAAAAAATAAAATATTAAAATAATGATACTTAAAATTAAAACTAGATTTGACATAAAAATATAGTAGTATTTAAAACACTGGCTCAGTTAATGTGTTGTGGATCTCTAATTATTGTACTGTTAGAAATAAAAACATTTAGATTATATAATTAGGAATAGTTAGGTCAAGATAAGAAGCATATGAAGAGAATACAGAATAAACCACAGGTGTCCACTTTTTTAAATTTTTGAGTTAGTGCCAAATTCATCTAGTACCTAGAGTGTATTTATCACATTAAACAATACACAAGCGTAAAACCACCTTGATCCCCTCAATATTTTGGATTTTAAAATCATGCCACATACAAACAGCAAATGATCTGAAACACAAAATCTCATTTTTCTCAAAGGAGAAAACTGTGACAACTATGGTCTTCATATACGTTCTATGGACGTTGAACACTACAAATGTAACAAATGGCTGTAAAAATGTTACAAAGCTTTTGAACCTGCAGATCTATGGGGCAGGTGAAGTGGAGTTCATGTGTTTCTGTGAATTGGTGCAGTACTATGCCCAGCCACCTTAATTTTCCCTAACACAAGTCAGGTACTCAACAGAACTGGGTGGACTGGGACATTTGAATGACTTTTAGGTTAGAAGTCGTACGCCCAACTTAGTCTCATGATAAATGGTTGTGTACATAAATTAACTACAGCTTAAATAGAAAGACACTGAAATTCTTCATTAAAAGGTATGTAAATAACAGATAGCGGAGCCTCACCTCATTTGTGATGACCCCAACAATGACAGGGGAGATAAATCCAGTCACAGCAGCTAGAGAGTTACTGATCCCAAACAAGATGCCAGCAAATGCCGGAGCAATGTCCACATGGTTGACCAGGAAGCCGCTGTACTGAATGCCAGTCAGTGACACGGACAGCACCAGCAGGATTATGGCCAGGGTGGGCTGGGAGCAGCTGACATACCCCAGGCCAACGAGCATGACCGCAGGGAGGAGTTTACCTGCAGATGGAAAAGTTGAACCATCAAAACATGAAACAATTATTTTTTCTTAATTCCCACACATAATTGAAAATAAATCCAGCCATGCACTTATAAGAGGTAAAGTTTGTTCACACCTATGCATATAAAAAATTAATGGGTAATTCAAACACTTTTACTTTATCATGCAAAATGACATACTCAAGATTCTTCATAAAGTAAAAATGATATGCCGTATCGTTCTGTTATTACAGCAATTACACTCTAGGTCAGTTTTCAATTTTAGCAAAAATAAATATATAAAATGTACAGATTACTTGACTAAAAATATTTGACATTCCTTTTCACAGACTCTCTATACATATTATAATCCTAATGTTAGCTGTTTACAAGACCACAACACAGAGAACATCAAATGCACATACAAAATATGAAGTGTAGACGTAATATCTTTACCCAAGGCAGTGAAGACCTTCCTTGTGACACCGGTAGACAGTACGTGCTTGTCACGTATGAGATCTGCCACCCATCCCCCTATGTTGATCACCAGCCAGAACAGAATATATGGCAAGGCTGACACCGCTCCATTCTGAGGGGGAAATAAAAACAATTGGATATTTAATAAAGGCATAATTTCATTTGTTTTCTTGCTACAGTTGTTCATCCATGGTAGATTGGTAGGGTGAATTTAGTGAGGGTAGGTTTAAACTGAAGGATTAAACTGAAGGGGGATTATTTAGGTACAGTTAAGTATGTGTGTGTGTGTGTGGGGGGGGGGGGGGGGGGGGGGGGGTTTAGGTAGCAGTAAGTGTGGGTGGGTTAAGTAAGGTTTGTTTGGTAAGGGTAGGTTAATTTAGGTTAGGTTAAGTTGGGTTAAATAAGGGTAGGTTAAGTGAGGCTGATTAGATTGGGTTAAGTAAGGTTTGGTTAAATTAGGGTGTTTTGAGTGATGTTGGTTGGGTTAGGTTGGGTTAAGTACAGTTGGGTTGGGTGAAGTTAGGTTGCCTGCTTGCCATATCAGCCTACAAGTCTAGATGTCTGTCTCAACTCACATCTGTGATGTCAAACTTGAGCACTTCATTGATGTATGTGGGGATGTTGGTGAGCAGCGTGTAGGCTCCCCAGTCCGATGTAACATTGGCCACAATGATGGCCCACACTGGCAGGGATGTAACTATCTTTAACCACGGCACTTTGAAAGACTGGAGACATTAAACAAGAGTTAGAAACATATCAAGTGGTATGGTAGGAGTATAGTGGTGACAGGATTAAACTGCATATGATATCAGGGGTCTGCAGTTAATCCACACAAACCTTCTTGGTGACAGCACAAGATTTGAGTGAGCGTGTGATGTAATCTCTCTCTACCTCACTGATACGCTTGTGGTCAAGCGGGTCATCAGACACCAGCAAAATCCACACAATGGTCCAGACAAAACAGCACACACCTAATCAAGGGAAGCAATTTTAACAACAAATTATACAACACGAGAGGCATCTAATCAAGGGAAGCAATTTTAACAATAGTTAATACAAAACAAGAGGCATCTAACCAAGGGAGGCAATTTTAACAAGTTAACACAAAAATCTAGGAAGGTAATTTTAAAATAAAATTTTTTGATAGGGTACCAATCTATATGCTGAGTTTCAAGCAGACAATTATGAAACATAAAACTAGTTAATTAGTTTATAGAATCCTCAAGAAAATGATGTTTACAAATGAGAAATGTGTTTTATTCAAACAATATTTAAATAACCAAAATCACAAAGATTTATGGAAAAAAATGAAATGGTATTTTTAATCACATTGGGGGGGAGAAGCCCATTATTTTTTACAATTTAAGATCTAAGCCAGGGGTGGCAACCTTTTGAAGCGGAAGAGCCAAAAGTTACAATTTTCAAAATTTCCCTGGTTTTAAAGAGCCACTAACATTTATTTTTATTTAAAATATTTTATTTTTTATTAAGATTATTAGTATTTGTTCAAGGAGATGGAGAGCCGCATCTTGATATCAAAAGAGCCGCATGCGGCTCGGTTGCCGACCCCTGATCTAAGCCTTTTGAATACCTTTATCATGTTTGGCACATAAAAGTAAGTATTAAACAGCAAAAAATTTGTATTTTTGTATGAAGGATAATTACTGAAAATATGGTGGGAATTGTTTAATAAATAAAAAAGTAGAAGGCTTTTTAGTGTTAAAAACCTGCAAACTGAGAAAAACAGCCAAAAGTAACGAAAAGTAGGTCACAAAAATACCATATCTGCAAAGCCGATTGTAAGCTTTGCGTGTTTCCGAGATGATGAAAATTAAGATTATCAAATAAAGAAGAAATCCAGCTTTCCAATGATGCCAAATACAATATGATGACAGATATAATATAAAACTTTTCATAGAGAGCTTGTAGGATTGGGAAAAATTGATTATTATTCAATTAATAGGGTCATAAAAATGGTAATTTAAACACACAATTTTTTTCTCTTTAAAGTTATTATTTCATAATACAAAAATGGACACGGTATCCAAAAGAAACCCATCATGACGAAAAAGAAGAAATTTTGTGATTTTTTTGCCGCGCAGATCCCCTTAAAATTTGATTCACCAAATAAAAACATATTGACTACCTGTGACATAGAACACAGAGGGCCAACCTCCAGCAAAGCCATATTTACACAAGTAACCAGAGAGGGGGAAGGTGACCACTATGCCAACCTGTGCTCCTGAAAATAAGATGTTCTGTTAGATCACTTGACCACATCATGACATTAGATTACAGCAGTAAATTAACCACATGACATGAGATTACAGCAATAAGTTGACCACATGACATGATGAGATTACAGCAGTAAATTAACCACATGACATGAGATTACAGCAATAAGTTGACCACATGACATGAGATTACAGCAATAAGTTGACATCATGACATGAGATTACAGCAATAAGTTGACATCATGACATAAGATTACAGCAATAAGTTGACATCATGACATGAGATTACAGCAATAAGTTGACATCATGACATGAGATTACAGCAATAAGTTGACATCATGACATGAGATTACAGCAACAAGTTGACCACATGACATTAGATTACAGCAATAAGTTGACCACATGACATGAGATTACAGCAACAAGTTGACCACATGACATGAGATTACAGCAATATGTTGACCACATGACATGAGATTACAGCAACAAGTTGACCACATGACATGAGATTACAGCAACAAGTTGACCACATGACATGAGATTACAGCAATATGTTGACCACATGACATGAGATTACAGCAACAAGTTGACCGCATGACATGAGATTACAGCAATAAGTTGACATCATGACATAAGACAGTTATCATGAATAAACTGGAATAACATAATAAGAAGTCAATTCAGTTAAGTCAGTGAATAAATTTCATAAAAGAGCATAAATAGCAACATAAATAAAACAGCTTGTAGACAATAAATGTTTTACGATAAAAAACAAATTATATAATTTAAAAATTACTTTCTTTGAACATTTTAATTTGATTTATGTAAGTTAAGTGTTTCAAAGTTTACTTTTCTCAACATATATGAATTTACATCTAAATATTTTTCTTTTATTTCATCCACTAGCTACAATTCTAAACATTACATTTATTTAAATGTGTGTTTATACAGCAACATTCTATTCTTGACTAAAAATTTAATGTAATTGATTCAACTTATTCCATTTTCAACTCTTACATTACACTTTCAAAAAATTACTCATTACCAACATTAGATTTACGAGAAAAATGGCCCGTTGAGGAAGGATACAACGGGCGCTAGGTTGATAGTGTTGTCTCTTTTCTTTAAACAAAAAAAAAACGCAACCACCTTTACCTCAAATTGAATATGAAATGAAAAATGACATTGAAAACGGATTTTTATCAAGAATCGAGATTTTAATCGGATTTAAGCTTGATCTACACGTAGTTATCGCGCATTTATACAAAATAGAGTGATAGGCATATCCCTAAACCATGCACGTAATCTCATTCATGACAAAAATAGCATTTAGAGTTTCTTTCAGGCAACTCTACTTGGGATTAGGGGGCTCCGCCTCCCCCCCCCCCCACACACACCCCCCGTCCCATTCAACGAAACATAATTATATACTTTTTCCAGTGTCCGCCCCCTCCCAGAAATTCCACACCCACCCCCGAAAATTTCAAGTACCCCCACCACTCTCCGGGGAGGAAAAAGTCTGAAAGAAACACTGGTCGCATTTGTAGATCATATAAACTAAAGGAAGAACCTGGGCGGGGCTTCGCTCCTACCGGAAGAGATGCATGAAAAAACTGTGCACGCAAAACACTTTTTAGATTAGAAAAAGTTCCCCCTCTGGGGAGGAAAAAGTCTGAAAGAAACACTGGTGTCGCGCTTAGCCACTACCCGAAGAATTGCACGGAAGAAACTCTACACGCAAAACGCTTATAAGATTCGTTCTTACGCTGAGGTGGGGCTTCGCCCCTACCCGAAAAATTGCATGAAAGAAACTCTGCACGCAAGCCACTTTTAAGATTAAACAAAATTGGCTTTTTAATTCAATGTTTACTCAAGAATCAATGACGTCATACTATTCTATGCACTTTCCCGGCTTGAGACAATTTTTTGCTATATACTCAATTTGACGTTATGTTTCGTTTCCGTTTTACTATGCATGTTTTTATTTTGCTTGTGTTTTCTCTACAGCGTTCTTGTCAGACAGATAGATACACAGACAGCGAAACTATTAGTTTCAACATTCTCTTGTCATAATAAATATATCTGTGTTGCTGTAGACTCATGTTTACAACAAAACATTTATTTCACACAATTATGCATTTCAGGCTTATCCTTTCAACAACTCCCAACAGAAAACAGCATTCAGTACAAAATGATCTGGCCAATGTCCCACTTGCTGACCCACACAAATATCAGCTGTTCTTACCTGCATAGGTGAAGGTAATTAGCTTTGTTCTCTCTAGAGGTGGAGCCCACTTGCCCCAGATTGTATGCATAGCTGGAAAGGTCATACCCTGAGGTCAAAGATCATGTGGGTTATAAAAAAAGTCATACTATTAGAACAAAACAAACTACCCCAATACTACAATAATTGCTGTATAAAATAGAAATTCCTTAAAATAATGTCACTCAGCCGAACACACACACCCCAGCAGAGGTTTTGTTTTTCAAATAGCGCACATTCTATCTACTTTATTAAGTGGGTTGGGTTAAGATAAGGGACACATATTTTATTTTACAAACAATATACCAAACATAATATTCAAAATGCAAAATTCAGTTTAAAAAATTACAGTTTAACATACTACAGTTTGACTTCACACTTCCTTCAACCCCCCCTCCCCCCTTTGTGACACAAGTCCCCCTTCCCTTCACCATGAGTGTGACATCACTAATGGCCCACCCCCTTAAGCATGAGATTTATGTATATCTAATACATTTATTATTTACTATTTGTAACTTTTTAAATGAAGAGTGTTGGTAGGGAGATATAAAAATAAAATTCTTCTTTAATCAGAAATAAAGTCCATCAATTAGTGATAGGTTCACTAGTAGGTCAAAATAACATGACTGATCCCAATTAATTAAATGAGACAGTAGGATCAGACATATGTGGACCAAAAAATTTGTGACCGTCAAGGTGGTTAACTGGGTTATGGGAACTGCACATATGTTTAGATAGACACCCAGACCTCAAGCTAAGATATACACAGATCACAACATAATGAAATGAGATATTGTAACGTAACAAGATACTCACCGTGACAACACAACATAATGAAATGAGATATTGTAACGTAACGAGATACTCACCGTGACAACACAACATAATGAAATGAGATATTGTAACGTAACAAGATACTCAGTGTGACAACACAACATAATGAAATGAGATATTGTAACGTAACAAGATACTCAGTGTGACAACACAACATAATGAAATGAGATATTGTAACGTAATGAGATACTCACCGTAACAACACAACATAATGAAATGAGATATTGTAACGTAACAAGATACTCACCGTGACAACACAACATAATGAAATGAGATATTGTAACGTAACAAGATACTCACTGTGACAACACAACATAATGAAATGAGATATTGTAACGTAATGAGTACTCACCGTGACAACACAACATAATGAAATGAGATATTGTAACGTAACAAGATACTCACCGTGACAACACAACATAATGAAATGAGATATCGTAACGTAACGAGTACTCACCGTGACAACACAACATAATGAAATGAGATATTGTAACGTAACAAGATACTCACCGTGACAACACAACATAATGAAATGAGATATTGTAACGTAACAAGATACTCACCGTGACAACACAACATAATGAAATGAGATATTGTAACGTAATGAGATACTCACCGTAACAACACAACATAATGAAATGAGATATTGTAACGTAACAAGATACTCACCGTGACAACACAACATAATGAAATGAGATATTGTAACGTAACAAGATACTCACTGTGACAACACAACATAATGAAATGAGATATTGTAACGTAATGAGTACTCACCGTGACAACACAACATAATGAAATGAGATATTGTAACGTAACAAGATACTCACCGTGACAACACAACATAATGAAATGAGATATCGTAACGTAACGAGTACTCACCGTGACAACACAACATAATGAAATGAGATATTGTAACATAACAAGATACTCACCGTGACAACACAACATAATGAAATGAGATATTGTAACATAACAAGAAACTCACCATGACAACACAACATAATGAAATGAGATATTGTAACATAACAAGATACTCACCGTGACAACACAACATAATGAAATGAGATATTGTAACGTAACAAGATACTCACCGTGACAACACAACATAATGAAATGAGATATTGTAACGTAACAAGATACTCACTGTGACAACACAACATAATGAAATGAGATATTGTAACGTAATGAGTACTCACCGTGACAACACAACATAATGAAATGAGATATTGTAACGTAACAAGATACTCACCGTGACAACACAACATAATGAAATGAGATATCGTAACGTAACGAGTACTCACCGTGACAACACAACATAATGAAATGAGATATTGTAACATAACAAGATACTCACCGTGACAACACAACATAATGAAATGAGATATTGTAACGTAACGAGATACTCACCGTGACAACACAACATAATGAAATGAGATATTGTAACATAACAAGATACTCACCGTGACAACACAACATAATGAAATGAGATATTGTAACATAACAAGAAACTCACCATGACAACACAACATAATGAAATGAGATATTGTAACATAACAAGATACTCACCGTGACAACACAACATAATGAAATGAGATATTGTAACATAACAAGAAACTCACCATGACAACACAACATAATGAAATGAGATATTGTAACATAACAAGATACTCACCGTGACAACACAACATAATGAAATGAGATATTGTAACATAACAAGAAACTCACCATGACAACACAACATAATGAAATGAGATATTGTAACGTAACAAGATACTCACCGTGACAACACAACATAATGAAATGAGATATTGTAACATAACAAGATACTCACCGTGACAACACAACATAATGAAATGAGATATTGTAACATAAGATACTCACCGTGACAACACCCAAGACAACACGTACAAAGATGAGGGCGTACTCGCTAGCCTGGGCCAGGACAGGGGTCAGCAGGGTGCAGATGGACGAGATCAACATGGTGACCCCAAAGATCCATTTGCCACCAAACCTCGTGGCCAGCCAACCTGCTGGGATCTGACCCACAAGGTAGCCCCAGAAGAAAGACCCCAGTATTGTCCCTTGAAGGGTTTTAGTCCAGTCTAGAGTCCCACCCTGAAATATACAATGATCGTTAGGACCTAAAAATTAATATTTAAAATCCAGTAATTAAATTACAGAATATAAAGTACTCAGCAACATAATGCTTAGCAATAAAATATTAAATAGTTAAAATAATAATTACTTTAAAAAACCTGTTATGCGATAATTATTTAATGTACCATTTATTGATGTTTAGTATTTAAAAATTCTATCTACGCTCAGCTACAAGATATTCAGTAACTAAATAAGTCAATAATTTTACTAAACATTGATAATTACAGTGATTTACAATAAACAATGATTAAAAATACCTAATAAATAGTATTTAAAATTAATAAATAGTACTTAAAGTACAAAACCTACAACCAAGACATCACCTTAGTACTACACAACACCTGAATGTGCTGGAAACATGTATGCCCATGTTTCTCAAAATATTATGTTAATATATTTAATTTACATAATCAATTTATAGTTACCAAATCATCATCCTCCCTTGTGCTGTTGTGTGAGGCAACACACTCAGAATCTGACGAGGTGCTGTTCATTAGACTGACTGAGGTGTTGCGGCTGACCATGCAGACTATGGCCATACTCAGGTTGACCCTGACGGCGTACACGTTGATGAAACCAAAGAAACCTATGACTGCTAGGGCCAGTCTGGCTGACAACCAGAATGGTACTGGACAGGAAAGTACAAGGTAAGTAGGTTTTCAATAACATGTCATAGTTACTCTTTAAGCAAAATATCATAGGTTTATTATCAAATGTTATAGATGGTAATTCAAGGGTGTAATGGAGTGGTATAGCGTTTAGCTACTAGCCTGAATGTCTCAAGTTCAGATATTGGTCCAAACTCATGACTGTAGATTGTACTCCATCTACCAGACTCATTTTAGTAAAGGCAGCTGGGCATAGTGCTGACCACACAATCCCTTCATATGCAGAGCTCAAGAAACATGTGAACTGTAATTCATCTGCCCTATGGATCATTAGGTCTGAGAGGGTAGCTTTACTTTAATAACCATGTGTTTTACAATGGGTTGTGCGGCTGCATGGTAGAGTGCATGACTGCTAACTCAAAAATCTCGGGTTCGGATCCCAAACTCGGAAAATAAATGCAGCTGGGCTATCCCTTCGTATGCTGAGCTCACATAACAAAATAACTCTACTTTGCCTACTCCATAAAGCAAAAAAAAAAGGGGGGGGGGGGCTACTTTTTAGAGATATTTTAATATCACAGCAAGATTTATGACAAATGAACAGATAAAAAAATATGTGGTTTTCAAAATCAGCTAACAAATTAACTTCTATATTTGTTTGATGTGCAACATACAGCGACCAATTAGATCTAAAAGAATTATTTTCAGCACAAGATAGTACTGGGGGCTGTCAGCTTTTTGTTGGCCACACACATACACGAGTGAGGTGTATGGGTATAGTGTTTGCTTCTGTATAGAAAAAAAAATTTCCACATCAGACCGTTTTGATCAGCTACAATAACGTTGACTTGGCAGGTGAAGGCCCAATGCATATATATATTTAGTGTGGATAGCCGTGTATAAAGCAGAGCTACAAAAACAAGTGGAGATCTAGATCGAGAGATACACTTCACAGCTCCCAACATGACGGATCTAACTCGCATCCGGCCAAGTGTTTATTGTTTACCTAAACCAATACGTTGACAAAGTGCTCATTTCTTCTAGAAAAAGAAAGTCCACCCCCCCCCCCCTCCCTAAAAAAAAAATCCATAGTTCAGAGATGTTCGTTCTGTTGTAGCATGCAACAAGTGTTACTATGACAACTATACGAGACTGAACGCCTTAAACATACGTAACACATCTTGTCATAAGTTCATCCGTGTATGAATGGAGTGGCTAAATCTGTAGTGAGTTGGGCAGAGGCGTAGCGATGGGGGGCAGGGGAGAACATAAGTCCCCGGGCGCCGACCTTAGGGGGCGCCAAAATGGGTTGTAAAAACAAATTAAAATGTCATTTTTGCTGCCTTTTTGCAGTTTGGGAGGGGGGGGGGGTGCAACTCGGAAGTTTGAAGGGGGGTGCAAATCGGAAGTTTGAGGATGGAGGTGCAAATCGAAAAGTTGAGGGAGGCGCAAAATTGTAAGTATGTCCCCGGGCGCCGGGAAGGGTCGCTACGCCTCTGGAGTTGGGATGGAGAGAAAGAGATATAGTGAATCTCGGGATATTTCCATGTAGCCATCCATTAAACCACGCGTATTTCGGCTTGTCAGAGTACAGTGTGCACGACGTGCAATGTTTACCGCTACATGCCTCAAGCCAACCACAGCAGACGTGTTGACCCTGTAATGGATCGTGCACACGACCCTGACAATTTAAAAACGAAACCTGCGCAAATCATAAAGTATTTTTTTTTACAGCAGAGAGTGATTAGCTTTCGAACTACGCAGTCTCCGTCGCCGGTAAATGAACAGATTTTTTTTCCCTGGCAGACGATATAGAATTAGAAATGCTGTATCGAGGACACGATTTTTTCTTAGCTAGAACAGCTGACGACATGACGTCATGTCCAGATTACCAGCTACTTATTTACTTGCGGGGAAACTGGGTTTAAGGGTCGGGATAAGATGAATAGAGTTAAAGAAGGTCACCAAATATATCACTACTAACGAGACGACACTAACTAGCGCGCACATGTTGAAAATAAAGCTTTTATTATATTTCCTTTTTAATTGCGCATTGTTTCAATAAATACTTTTACAAAGTCAACAAATTAATTTTAGACGCCGCTGAAGTTTTCGAGTTTACAAAAAAAAAAAAAATTCTTTTTTGGTTTCACATTTCTATCATTAAACCATTCTTCGGCCTGCTACTATTGTTTACGATTTTAATGGTTAAAATTGCTTAATATAATGTTTTTGGGAAGTTATTTCCCTTTAAGACCCGCCGCCTCCCAGCTTTAGGACAAATACAAAATGTAACAATCTAAATATCAAAATACAAACGAAACAAATAATACATTTTAAAATGTTTTACCATCTTTGGGGTCTATCTGTGGATCCTCTTGTTTCTCCTCTTTCAACTTTTCCATTTTCAACAATGAAACTGAAACAAAGTAGGTTGTTACATTAACACTCTAAAAATAAATTAAAATCAGCACATGTCCAGATTGCATTAAACACCAACACGCTTCAATACACACGATTGAATAGAACTCGATACTTGGAGATATGTATCATGTAATGAAAGAACACAGCCGTGTGCAGGTTTAAACAACGCATTAAATACTAATTAAACCTGGCAAACCTCATTAAAAAAAATATATAGCTTGCGCCGACATGTATGTGTGTTGAATGGCGAAGGCGCTAAGGGTTTGCGTTAGATAGGCTATGGTAGGACGTGTCATGTGTCGACAGCATGCATTCGTCAGTTGAGGTTGGCGGGTACATCCGTAGTGAAACATTCGTGTATTAGTAGAAAGAAAAAAAGGTGCTTGGTGAGTCGTGTAGAAATCAGACTTTAGAGCCAGATCTAGCTAAATAATGTAGCGACGGTTGAAACTATTTTAAACAAATCATAAGTGGAGTTTGTTTAAGACCATAGTATAGCTTAGACGTAGTGGCGTAGCTTGCAGGGTTTCTTTCAGATATTTATTCCGGGGGGGGGGGGGGGAGGTGGTGAAGAGGAGGGGCAGCTTAAAACTTCGAGAGGGGTACCGCAACTAAAATTTCCGTAGAGTTTTAGATTTCTAACAAACAAGCATGTTTTGCTTTGCCTCAGACTTGTAGGTAATTTACAGCGTCAGTTCGCTTTAGTATTACAGTTTTCATCATAAAATAACACGTTAAACATGTAAACAAAACATACAAGAATCTGATACACATTTATTTAGAGAGTGTAAGTTAGTTTAGAGAGCAGGGCAAACACTGGCGAAAACATTTAATACCACCAATCAAACACCTACAGCAAACAAAGCAATCATACGTAATTTAATTAGAAGACGAAAATAAACTTGTAGCAACGGCTATTTATAGATCGATTGTTTGGTTTTTAAGAAATGAGATTTTATTCTAAAATTTACTCTGACATAGACCTAAAAGAAATATTTAGAGCAAAACTAAGGTGGACTGGGAAATCTCACCTTAATAAAACGACGGGAGGGGGGGGGGGGGGATATTAAGACAGTCTGAAGCTAATTAGCAAAAGATTGATCCTCGAGTAAATTAACGTCAGAACGGTGCTTGGGGTAGTTCAAGGGGGACAATCTGAATGTTTAGGAAGAGATACACACACCCTAGTTGATTGTGATACTTAAAATCATAACACAATGTATGCAATAGACTTGAAAAGTCTATGTAATCATACTAAATTTTTAAAAAATCTTTTAAAAACATGTCAAGCAATAAAATTATAATTACATTTTTAAAACGTAAAGCTTTTTGGGAATCATCGATTTATCATTTTCAAATTTGTGTATTAAATATAAGCGGTTGAACTAATTTGTCAATTCAAATATTTAAAAAACCGCCCTCAACCCCTCCTTAAAGTCAACCGGAATGACCAGGGAGAGTGAAACAATGAAAGTCAGAACAATTGTTTTCCATGATAAATACACAATACTGGTCAATGGTGTTTACCCTAGTATTATATTTATATTAAATGATATAACATCCCCTATCACCACAACACCATGACTCTACTAAAATAAGTGTTTGCTAACTTACTATTATATTAATACCAGTAATTATTTGTCTATTTCTAGCCTTAATATAACTTGTACTTATTTCACAAATGTTATAAAATATTCAATTTTGGTTGAAAAATATGCTTTCTGGCAACCAACATTTGGAACCCGCTCTTCAAGCTTATAAATTGGGTCTGATTCATATAAGAAATATTTCCAACTTCTTAAAGTCACTACACTAACCAGAATGTTTACCAAAGTCCCTACCAGAATTAATTTCAACTATGTCAGCAAGGCATGTTTGTTATTCTGTTAAAAACAGACTGGCTTAGAATTATAATTCAAACTGTTTTCAACCTTTAAAAACCAGAATCATTACCAGGCCAGATATTTTTTTATATGTTGCAGCCAAATTTAACGTCAATCACTTAGGCCTAGCTACTTGCAGGAGACAACACAAATGAGTGGCAACAAGCTGGTTTCTGACCAAGCAGAGTTCAGACCAAAGCATTGAAGACATCAGGATGTTTCAAAGTTCACACAGGGTAGCCTACCTAACTCAGCTTAAGTCAGCTGATCATGATGCAGACGCAGTCGACTTTGCTTTATTGGCAGAGATCACAGAAAAAATAAAAAACTCTACTTCATCTGACCTATCTAAAACCTGTCTATAATCAATCCATGTTACAGATTATGTAAATAGTTTATAACACAGATAAAGGACATATTGACCCCCCACACACACAATGTTATATCAAATAATTTGGTTTGAGCAAAACAAAAATAATTCATTGAAAAAACATGTCGGAATCATATAGTAAGAGATTATATCTTTATTATAAGCAATTGTAAATGGTTAATTGTGTCGTTAACTAAAAATTAGTTTGTACGATCCAATTCAGTCAACTTTTTCAAAAAAGTTTTAAACTGCTGTACTTATTTATTGAAATTATTCAAATATAACAACCTATCTGCTATAAAAAAAATTATGAACCTACCCTATAGGCCTAGGAATAACATACATGAAGGGACGGCATGGCATATCTGTAGAGAACTAGACTGCTAACCTGAAAGTCTCGAGTTCGAATCTAGGTTCAAGTAAGTGGAATGTACCTGAGTACACCCAGCTCTGATGCGTACCAAACTCACATTAGGGAAAATATAAGCGGCTAGGCATAGTGCTGACTCCACTATCCATTCACATGCCGAGGACACTGAATTAGATTAACTCTACTTCACCATGCCAATGTGTCTTGGGCATGAACAGAAAAAGATGATAATTACATACATTATACAATATACATGATTGGTTACATTAAGAATTATAATTCTTTTTCTGTTCATAATATTTATTTTAAAAATGAACCAGCATTAACTATAGTATAGGCCTACAAGTAGGCTAAATCAGTGGCGTAGCGAGGTCGGGTGTCACCCGGTGCGGCATTTAATTGGTGTCATTCCCCAGAGGCGTTGCGACCCTTCCCGGGGACAAACTTTCAAGTTTTCGATTTGCACCTCCCCCCACTCAAACTTTTGATTTGCACCCCCCCTCAAACTTTCGATTTGCACCCCCCCCCCTCAAACTTTCGATTTGCACCCCCCCTCAAGTTTTCGATTTGCCCCCCACCCTCAAACTTTTGATTTGCACCCCCCCTCAAGTTTTTCTCTATATATTTTGCTATTTTTTGCCTTGGTGTCACCCGGTGCGGTCCGCACCCCCCGCCCCCCCTCGCTACGCCCCTGGGCTAAATATTACTAAATAAATTATTTAACAAGTAGGCCTAGGGCTAATTTTAGTAGGCTAATAAAATTCACTAATATTTTTCATAAGGTTTATTATAGGCACTTTCACTAGATCTAGATTCTAAGTCATTATTATACTTATAGTATTAGGCCTATAGATCTAAATCTAGCTTTTTAGCTAAGTAAGATGTGCATAGTGAATAATAGTAGATTCTAATAGTAGAATAGGGATTAATAATGTAATAGATCCTAGTAGACGTAGTAGTGATAGACTTCTAGTTGATAGTCTCACAAACTCGTCACAACTTAACTTTTTAAAACTTTTTTATTATAGAATCTAGCTAGATCTAGATCTAGATATAAGATCTAGACTTCTAGATCTAGATTTCTAGGCCTAATCAATAAGTAATCATTAGACTACTCTTACTCTATATTAGCCTAGAATCTACTCTAGATCTAGAGATCTAGATCTAGAATTTAGTCTAGATTTCTAGATTTAGTAGATTAGATCTAGATCTAGATCTAGAATAATTCTAGATCTTATAATTATCTACTAGATCTAGATCTAGACATCTATCTACTATCTAGATATCTAGATTATAATAAACAAGATCTAGAATTCTAGATCTAGATCTAGTCTAGATCTAATCTAGTCTATTCTATGTACTACTAGATCTAGATCTAATCTATGTAGTCTTTGATTGTAAGTAATGGAACCATAAAACAATAAATGAGAAAAACTACTAACCTCAACTCTACACACTACACAGTGTCACTGTTGTAGGACACACTGCTGAGGTTACCAAAAATCTTGACTGAATGAAACAGCAGTCGAAGCTGAAAAGCCGAAGAAAGGTAAACAAAGACTCGACACAGCGTTGAGTTTCCTGATAATGGAAACGTTTACCACACTAAAAACGTTTATTTCGTTTCATCATGGATCTTATGTCCAAAACTGCCACAAAGGTTGGTTAAATAGAATAATCTATCTAGATCTAGATCTATTTTGAAATAAAGAGAAACATTGGCTAAGCCTACAGTTCGATTGAGTAGGAAGCGGGGAAGCGGTGATGCAACACAGTGTAAAACGTGGCTAGTGACCATATGGGGAAATTATGCCCCGGTTTGAATTATATTACAACTTTTTCACGTTTGCTTTACTATTCTTTGATTTACGATATATTGCCTTATATATATATATATATATATATATATATATATATATATAGGCTATATTATGGGTCGTCCGTAAATGACGTCACACTCGTGGGGGGGGGGGGGGGGGTCCGTAATTTTGTAACGGTGGGGGAGGAGAGGGGTTCAGATGGTGGGAGGACGTCACTTTTTTGCATTTACAAAAAGTAATGATAGAAAACATATTTTTTTTCGTTATTTCGCGTTTCAGAAAAGGGGTTTAATAATAATAGGAATTGATTAAAATACTAGGGGTCGGCGTGGTCGAGTCGGTAAAAGCTCATGGTTGCTAAACCGAAAAGTCTCGAGTTCGAACCCTCGGGCAGATGAGGCTCGTTAGCTGGGGACAGCCACTCTTCTAGGAGAGACAACTCCAAAATCAAACAACTGCTGCCTTGCAATGGCCTCAATGGCGCATAACCAGTTGACACGTAACGCTTAATTGTGTTGGAGGCGTGGTCGAGTCGGCAAAAAGCTCATGGTTGATACATTCGAACAGTCTCGAGTTCAAACCCACTGGCAGATAAATCTCGATCCACTTCAACGCTAATAATTAAGAACGAAGAAGAAGAAGAAAGATTAAAATACTCTATCATCTATGGTGAGAGAGTTCAGACAAGATTTTGGAAAAATATCAATGTTTTAAGAAAAACTGCAAAAAAAACCTGCAATTTTACAGGGGGGTTGTAGGCTGAGGTGTGACGTCATTTTAGGGGGGGGGGGGGTTCTGGTTTTTTGTGACGATGTGTGACAGAGGGGAAGGGGAGGTAAAAATCGTCCAAAAAAGCGTGACGTCATTTATGGATCACCCCTTGGGGGGGGGGGGGGGACTTAAATTTCCATGGGAGCTGACACTTGTTAAAGTAGGTCTACTATATTTTCTATGTAAAAATCCTTTTCTAATAAAAGTGCATGCCTGATCTCCACCAGCTGTAGTTGATGGTCAATTTATTATTTAATTTTTATTTAAACACTGATATTTTTTATGTTGCGAGGGAGCTTGGTGTCTAGTTTTTCTTAAACCGCTATATTTGATCGTAATCATCACAATTACAATTATAAGTATTTAAAAATATATTAAATTTATATACAATATCAGACTTCACGATTTTAAATCTGAATAACTTTAAAAATTTTAATTTAACAATAGGCAAAGATAATACATCTCATACCTATAGTCTTGAACCCTTTTTATCTTTTAATATAATTTTTTTTCTTTTTTTTTCTTGTCATTTAGTTTTATTCTTCAATAACATTTGGCAAAATAACTTGAATTGAATTTCCAATTGACACATTAAAAAAAAAAACTGCAATTACGTTCATCATTTTTTAATTGGACATATAACTACATAATTTAAAAGTTGTTGTAGAGAAGATTGTTTATGAGTGACGTCAACTTATTGTTGACCACCATACCTGCCCATCGTCACAATAAGGAGAGCCGCCCCAGATGGTGCTATGTCATGAATGATTACCAAACACAAGATATACAACACATATCATGTTAGACGATTTAGCATTTACTTATTATACCCATTAGGTCCTAACCCCTGCTATATAACTTATAAGACAGTTGAAGTAAACAGCACATGCCAATAATGGAAGACAACAAACTACTACAATATAGCGCCTTTTGTTTCCTTTAGATTTTGCGATTCCCTCTTTTGGTAGTTTACTATGTCTCAAAGAGAGACAACCCTCAGTATAAGCTGTGTTACAGATGTCACGTGCTTGCTTCCAGTTGCTGTCTGGTCCAAGCAGACGATACTGTGCTGAGAACATAGGACCATACCAGCATCTGTAGGCCAGAACTGGGTCAAGGATGAGCAGTCTCCAGAAACCAGGGAATACACCCAGAAGCTTGGCTATTGTGTCCTGGAACAGCGAGCAGGGAAGCTGAAATGTCAACAGAATTAATTAGTTTATCTGGTGATTCGAAATATAATCCTAAGCATTGTTTACAATTGTACTTACAAAATGATAATATTTCCTGTGTCGATTGCGAGTACAAGCGTTCGTCCAAAACTGGACATCTGCACGCATTACGTCAATGGGAGGTAGGCTTAGTTTTCCAGCAAATATTTTAGCACTGTATCGACTCTGAAAAAAGACAAACAAATGTGCATTGGTCATATTTAAAAACACTTTGGTATTTAAAAATTTGCATACTTACCCAACGATAGAGGAAAATAAAAATAATTCTCCAAAAGGTAAGAAAATAATCACTTTTATCGTATACAGGGCCGGTGCTACCTATAGGGCGAACTATGGCGGTAGCCTAGGGCGCTGACCGTAGGGGGGCGCCAAAATGGGTTGGAAAAACAAATTGAAAGTTTGAGGGGGGGTGTGCAAATCGAAAGTTTGAGGGGGGGGGGGGGGTGCAGATAGAAAGTTTGAGGGGGGGGGGAAGGGTCGCTACGCCTCTGATAATACGGAGGCACGAAAAAAATTGCGGGGGGGGGGGGGGGCGCTTTTAATAAGTTTTGCCTAGGGCGCTAAATAACCTGGCGCCGGCACTGATCGTATATTAGTTGTAGATTTCTCAAACTGATCTAATTAATAATTTACGATAAACTTTTTATTTCTTTTGAGTAATTTTGAGCCTAGAAGTAATCCAACAATTTAAATACACGTGACTTCACCTGCAACTCACTCACTGGACCAGTAGCACCTATACCACCAAAAGCTCCGATAAAACCCAGGGTGTGTTTATCTTCATCGATTGGAAACACCAATTTAAAAAGTCCCATTTTATCAAAATCTGTAGAATTTAAACAGACATATGAGCAGGTCATACGATCAAAATCAAGAAAATATAAATAATAAAAGCATTGGTCGCTAATCAAATCTACACATTTTACGAGTAACTCAAATTAGTTTTATTTTCGTAGATTTAGTAGGCTACATTTAAAAGCCTATTATTATTAACTATTTTAAAATAATTGTTCTACAGCTGATTTTAAGTCAAGTTAATCTTTTACCTTGTAGCAAATCCTGATCTAGGAAAGAGTACTCCGGCTCATAACCAGTGCATAGAACAATCGCATCAAGGCCCGTCACTCGTGTCCCGTCCTGGAAAACAGCATCGCACCCATCGATTTTTGCAAGGTGGCCGTAAGTTTTTATTTGACCCGACATCAAGGCAGTCTGTTTTATGAAGATGTTTTGAAATGTAATGTAGGCTGCAGATTATTGCTTTTTGATATAACAAAAAACAAAACAAAAAAAAAAAACATATTATGTGTGATTAAAGCATTTTATTTTAACTCTTTAATCAAGCAATAGCGTTGAATTATTTACACTGCTCAAAACTTTCAGCACATTTACAATGTGTAATATTAACCATATTGTATTGTATAACGCCATGTTGAGATAAGAGTACTTAGTAGTAGTTGGTGGGATCGGTTTGGGAGCACAACACTAAGATACCCAATCGCCTTGCCCTTAACTTTGCGTTAGACGTGTCAGCACTTACAGAAAATCACCTTTTATGCAGAGTACCTCCTTATTCCCCGAGTTCTAGCACTGTTTTGTACCTTTGTCTCAATTAGGCGTTGGGAGATAAATTGTTTAATACAGTTATTATAGTTCCAGTTCCTGCCTTCTTCTCCTCATATCCGTAACTATCATTGCAAATAGACATTTTGAAAAAAAACTGACTTTGTTGCTCAAATTAAAAGACTCCCATATCACGTGACATAATGTTAATGTGTCACCCAGCCTTACATAAATGGTGTCTCCGATCATGAATGCTGACTTCGTTGGAGGCAGACTTGGGCAGATACCGCTGGTCACGTGGTCTAGTCTGTTCTGAGCCTCCTTCATGAAGTTTCTGTTGGTGATCAAATCCGAATTTCCGGAATGGATGACACTTCGTTTTTTGCAGGTGTCCAACGGTCTTCCACCTGACATTATACGAGGTACGATCCAGGTGCCCTGACCCAATGATAAGTGAACCTGTGGACACAAAATAGCAAGTAATGTTTAATACAGATTGAAATGTGCAATGAAAAGCAGCAAATATATATATATTTTTAAAGATCGAGAGGGAGAGAAGAAAGAATGAGAAAAAGTAAAAACGTATTGGTGTGCAGTTTTAAAAACAGCAGTACCATACTATTGTTTTTAAACTGTCGACTACTGGTGCTTGTCTAATTTTAGATATGTACTACTAGCCTGTTTAGCTTGGAATGAAATATCGCAGCTTATGTCCCCAGCTGAGAAAGAATTTCCTGCAATGTACATAGAAAACTGTGTACTCTTGATATCTGGAGTTTTTAGGAAATACTTAAAATACTTTAAAATGTTAATTAATCATAATGAGTGAATGACGTTTTATTATCTGCTACAAATCTATCTGTCTTATATTGATTGTCTACCAAAGACATTGTGTAGGCACATGTTATAGTTTTTGTTATTTTGATAATGTCAATAGTACTTCATATTGAATTTAATAGTCTTTTTCTTTAGAACACAAAAAATAGTAGGCCTAAGTCTCTGGGCTCTACTCACCAATGAGGAGGACTGTTTTATTCTTGTATCGGCGGCTGTCTGCGTAGTGAAAAGAATGTTGAACGGTTCCTGTAAAGGTCTCTAGGCCAGGTATTGATGGGTAAACTGGAATTCTAGAAGGAAATAGCAACATTTGATATTGTCAGGCTACCCATGATCTTATAATGCTATTAAGTTCGTTTTAATGGTCCGCATTTATAAATTGTTTCGATTTTTCTGGCATTTAAATATATTTTAATATAACTGTTTTATTTCAAGACAGCTTACTTAAAAAATCCACTGCAAATGAGAACAAAATCAAAGACTATTTTCTTGCATTTGTCCATATCAGTGTCTTTAGATTTGTTTTCAGTACTGACGTCATCAGGACTACACCCACTTGCAGGACACGAAAACACCTCCCATTGGCCAGTTTTCTCGTGGTCACGTGTCTTGTGAATCTGAAATCGGACGTCCTCATTTAACTCATATCATCAACAATACCTTATTCTGGCGATGAACTGGTGTATATAATTTTATCTTGTAACAAATATGAACCAAGATTAGATATTTTCGAGGTTAAAAAATAAAGTTATTTACTTACCTTTATAACTCGAGTGTTGAATTGAACAAATTGTAAAAGCTGATGAGCCTCAGCATATCTGGTGAAGTATTCATGCATGCCCTAAAACATATAATTTCGTAGTCATGTAGAAACTCATTAGAATATTTAAGCTTAACTACAGTAAACGTGTCTGAATGATCACTAACAGGCATCGCTTCGGCGGAAAGGGGGGGGGGGGGGGGCTCCCCAACAAAAACATCTACTGGTTAAATAAATAAATTTTAGTCAGCCCCCCCCCCAACCCCGAAAATTTCAAGCCCCCCCCCCCCCCCCCCCGGAGAAAAATGTCTGAAAGAAACACTGATCACTTACTTGGCCTGTTAAGAACGGCGTATCTTCAGGTAAGGGAGGGAAGTCACTGAATGTAGTAATGTATTTACTAGTGTTATTTATGAGATTCTTCCATATTTGAGGGGTATTTGGGTGTTTAACGGTTCGTTTCTCGCGCCATATGCCACCTAGAACCAAATTGACAAAATGAAAGTTATTGAATATTCTTAACTTTATAATGGTACTTACTATTTTGTAAAACAAGAAAAAAATCTACAGCAACTTCTATTTAAAGGAGTAATTTATTTTAAAATTGTTATATTAAACTTACAAATTTCAGCTTTAGGTCTTTCCATCGTTAAATTAAGACCACTTCATAGAAAAGCAGGCCTGCTACAAAATTGGGATTAAAAGTATAACCGAAATAGTAGAGAGGCACAATGAGCTTGTCCTTGAGATGATACAGATTGGGTGAAAGAACAATCACTTACCTAATTCCGTGTCCAGCTCGTAGCATGTGACCTTGAACCCTTCATTAAGACACTCTTTCATGGCTACAAGTCCAGACACTCCAGCACCAACAACACAGACATGTTTAGCCGAGGCTGTGGTCATTTCTTCTCTTGATCCCACAGAGTTTAACTGCTTGGAACTGTAGCACCTTACGTTGTGTGATGTTTTAAACGTTCGCTGATTTGTGACCGTGAACAGATTTTTGTGAACTGACTGTACTGACTCTAGGCATGTTCATGCGTGTTAAATCTAATTGTTATGAAGCGATGTCTTAAGTGTAAAAAAAATAATTACTTCAGTACATATTTAAAGGCTAGTAAAGTAGATAGGATAGAGCATTAGTAAATACTAAAAACAATGCAGCTAACTTTCTTGACATAGCTTATTAAAGTAATTTGAATAAAATTAAATACAAATAAATATTTTGTTTTACGCTTTTGTTTTAACTCTTTTTGAATTTCCTTTACTAATGAAGAATTTGTGTCAAAGTACCTAAACACTACATGTTTTGCTAACCAAAAATATCGAGATCAATGGCAGCCTTTATTAAAATCAAATCATACGCAATATGTTAAATGTATGCAAAGTAACAAAAGTTTTTTTCATGCTGACATCTAAGAGCTGCTGTTATCAAATAGGTCTATTACCTAGCACTAATTAAATACGTTTTAATATATATTCTATGGTCTTCATTGTAGGTATATGTAATAAATTTTAACTCAGTCTTCGATATTGTTGATTTTTAACAAAGGAAAATGTAAGTAAGCAAACACACTATACTAAAACATTGAAAAGTTATATTCCTGACCTGAAACTTGAAAAAGAAAACATACGGCTATTTACAGCGCAGCTTAAGGTCATCTCTATCTGGACATAGACTAGTCAACCTTTATCAGCTTGACCAATCACTATGAGAAGCATGCCGAACACACTTGTTATTATCGATTGCGTGGGGTGACGTTTACCTGTGTCTTCAGTATTTGCAATATATAAATATAGGTCAATAAGTCGGATGACCAAGTAGTAGAGAACAATATAGCAATGGGAAGGGAAATCAAAGGAAACACAGCCACAAGAAAAAAAGAAATTAAAGTCATAAGAAAAAATTTCTCACGAAAATTATATTAATACAATTTTATTTAAGATTATTTTGTCAGTTAAAATCTAACACTCTAAAATTAAACGTTTTGATTATTATATCAGTGTTTGTCACCACCGTTAAGCAAAACAACTATTCATAGATATAGGCTAAGCCACCTACGTGAACAATTTAAATCCATACGGTTATAAACAAAGTTTATGTGTTAACATTGTACTCAGTGTTTCTAATGTAGGTACATCGCAAATAAACAAAACACACATATAAGCATTAAGCCTATATATTATGTTTATTTATTTGACACTAAGATATATTGCTCAGACATTCTAAAGATAAATTAAAGTTTATATATAACAATAATTGAAAAACTAAAATAGAGTTAACTAAAAGTTACTTACAATTTTGAAAGTTCTAGATAGCTTTTATAAAATGAGATTATTTGTTTTAATTCTTGCGAAAATTAGGTATAATTCAATATTGAGCTTTTTTAAAATGAATTAGATGACATTTAATTTGAAATTAACTCGCTTATAGAACTGCAAATGCATGTTAGTGATAGACTGAAAATAAGCCTATAACTGCCTTTAGATTTCTTGATTCTTTCCCTTTGTGGGTTTTTTTTTTTTTGGTGTCGCAAAGAGAGACAACCCTCAGTGTAAGCTGTGTTACAGATGTCACGTGCTTGCTTCCAGTTGCTGTCTGGTCCAAGCAGACGATACTGTGCTGAGAACATAGGACCATACCAGCATCTGTAGGCCAGAACTGGGTCAACGATAAGAAGTCTCCAGAAACCAGTGAGTACTCAGAAACGCCGAGAACACCGGAACATCCGATCGGTTGGGTACATCATTTTGAAGGTTCCATGTTATCAAATTCTACAGAGATATGCAGGAAAATGTATTTAATAAATATATAAATAAGCTTTATCTTACCTCTTTTTTAAAATAGCTTAACAAATGTCCGAATTGCTACGTTTACAATGCTTTACAACTGTTCTAGTGAATTTATACGTGCGCCTTGTGCTGTATTTTACTGAATAGAATGTGTTATTTTACATAAATATGTACTACATCCGTTCCGTGTAAATGGTATATAATGTGCATTTGGTGTAAATGTATACAAAGCAAGAAACCTGGTAAAATGTCTCTGATTCTTCTAAACTTTTTTTATCTGCGCTATCTTTGTGTATTTAGAATAACGAACATGTATCTTTCCCATAACAAGGAACCTGGTAAAATGTCTCTGATTGTAAACGTACCGTCTCTTCCTGCTGGACAGGCACGTGTTTGGCCCACTTGCTGGCCAGCGAGTTGAACACCAGGTCGACGTTGGCCCCTGTTTTAGCGCTACACTCGACATACATGGCCCCGATGGTCTGGGCCAGGGAGGAGGCCGTCTCGTGGTCTATGGCTCGGCTCTCGGCCACGTCCAACTTGTAGTGTAATTGTTGACAAGGTCGCTTGAAGTAAGTGCACGTCCAAAAAACGCTAGTATGAAAAAAAAGTAAAAACAAAACAGCACAACCCCTACTCCTCCCCCCTCCCCCCCCCCCCCCCCCCCCCAAAAAAAAAGACAACAAAAAAAATACAAGCTTAAGAAATCGAAAATCGAGAGAAAAAATAGTTGGGAAATAAACACTTTTCATTAGGTTCAAAACATTTATTTTTAAACCAAAGCGAATACTGAACTAGACTTTAAGTACAGTGGTCTCAAAATGTGTTCAGGTTATGCTCTACTTCTTTCATTGACCGACCGATCCATTGTTCAAATCAATCGCTTGTGTGATAACAGCTCTTTAGATAACGGAGAGATAAATATGGAAGACGAAAAACTATTGACGTTTACACACGAACATATAAATATTTAAACGAAGGCAACTCCATCTAAAAACCTCTGTCTTTAGCTAATCAACAGCAAGTAACAATATGCAGAATTGTGTGATGTATTGCCAAAGTGGTGCAACAAACTTCGGCGTTTGTCACTATTTACTAAACAATAGATTAAACATCTCGATTAGGTGTTTAAAACTTAAGTGTCACAATCACATGATAATACCGATGGCTGATTTATCAATTGGGCTTAGTGAAATCATGTGCTTTATATTGTTGTATGCGAACTAGCGTTTACTAGCTACAAGACAGAATGGTAAGTTTTGTTTTAAAAATAGATGCAGCTCATTTTTTGTCAACAGTAATGATGCGAGGTAACAAGATATTTAAACAACTCTACATTACAGACGGAGAAGAGCAGCTTTTTAAACAATCCTATGAAAGTGATTGTTGTGGGAGACTTAGGTGTTGGGAAGACAACTTTATTGTTGCGCTACACCAACGACAGAGTTGCCTTTGACAACACTTTTGAAACAACACTTACAGTATACTTCAGGTAGGATATTTAATTAATTCCAAGACAACATTTGATTGGCTTGTTTACAACGGTGAACCGTTTCCCACGGCTGAGTGATTTTACACCTCAGCATTGACAACGACCTAAGAAGGGCAGAGATAACTGTCCTTTAGAGACAAGCTACTGTTCGGTTTTTAAAGCAATTATTTTTTAGTCGTAACGTATGTGGTGTTAACTTCACTAAAAAAGAATAAAAAAAAAAAACTTTTCAGTAAGCTTTTAAATGCACTGTAAAATGGAAATTAATGTGAATCTCTACATATTTTAACGACCAATTTAAAAAAAATAAAGGAATTTTATTTTTTATTTTAGGTGCACGTAAAAGCTCATTATTATTAAAAAAAATGTTTTCATTATTTCCAGCTCAAAGATAGTTGACGTCTCGGGGGTAAAGGTCAAGCTGCAGCTATGGGATACGCAAGGCCAAGAGTACCGTCAAACGATGGCAAAGGGTCATTACAGAAATGCTGTCGGTATTGTTATGGTTTTTGACCTGACGAGAAAGTCCAGCTTCGACAACATCCAACGTTGGTTGAACCAGGTCCACGAACATGCTGGAGAAGATGTTGACATTGTACTGGTCGGCAACAAGCTGGACCTGGTCGAGGGAAGAGCCATAGACCACGAGACGGCCTCCTCCCTGGCCCAGACCATTGGGGCCATGTATGTCGAGTGTAGCGCTAAAACAGGGGCCAACGTCGACCTGGTGTTCACATCGCTGGCCAGCAAGTTGGCCAATCGCGTGCCTGTCCAACAGGAGGAGCCGGTACGTTTACAATCAGAGACATTTGTTGAGGTTCCTTGCTTTGGGAAAGATACATGTTCGTCATTCTAAGTCTACGTGAACGTGCCAAAAAAGTTAGAAATTTGGTATGGCGCTAACATCAATTCACTTGCTAATTCAAGCCCGACCTTTCGTAAATATATTTTGTTGCAGATTTACGTGTCCAGGCAAAATAATGTGTAGTCCGACAACACATGGTATCTTTCAGATAATATTCTCCTGAGGGTAATGCGCTTGAAATATTCTGAGCAGGAGAGGACATTGGTCAAAGTATTTAGTTTCTATTTAAGTTTTTTTTTTCTATTTTGTTATGTTGAGGATGGTTTGACGCGGATGGTTCACCCTCCAGGGATGTTCCATTAAAAATCAACTACTGCACATCGAATACTTTTCATAAAGATAAAAAAAAAATTAATAAAAAACGTTTTAATAACAAGCTTTTATGTAATAATGCCCATACTTTTCATAAAGATAAAAAGTATTTAACAAGGCATTTCGTCATATAGAACGATCACTATTTGTATAATTTGGGAAATGGATGGAAAAAATAAATAGTGGAGTCTAGCAATAGGGCTGGTAAATAGGTCACCAACCAGTTCTACGGCTCAATAAACCCTGCATGAGCCATAGAACTGGTTGGTGACCTACTTACCAGCCCTATAGGAGACAACAAATTACAACTTTTTGTGCTCTAGAATTTCTGATTCTCTCCCCTGGTAGTTTACTCTGTCTCAAAGAGTGACAACCCTCAGTGTAAGCTGTGTTACAGATGTCACGTGCTAGATTCCGAAAAAAAGGATCCAGAAAAAAATGCTCGGAAATTTTAAGAGCTAAGAAAAATATAACCAAGCTTTGTATATTAAAAATACACATAAATCAAATAAAAGCTCTAACATTTGGTTTCAATTTTTCATATATTTAAGTCTCCTCAGTCTATCCTTAAATCTGGGCCTAACTAACGAAATACAACTTCTAACCGGGGCATAACGCGACGACTGCTATTGCTTTGTTACTTTTTACAAGCTTTTATTTAACTCACTTCCTCTGTCTGTCGTCAGTCGTCATTTAGCCTAACTTAAACTGCAATAAACAATTTTCATGATTAATAGGAAGACGCGACCAAAAAGATGAACAAATTTTGTTTGCTCCTCCTACGATCTATCTTTTTAATTTCTGATTTTCTTCTTTTATGGCTTTGGCTCCTTAGGAAGCATAGACATAGAAACTTTGTCAATAAACTTGATTTGTTTTAACAGCTCTGGTGTCGACAACTCAACCTCCCCAATCTCTCTTGTCATGATCTCGTTCGTGCATTTTAGGTCTTCCTTCTTTTTTCCTTGTGGATTCCAAGCAATTAATTTCACCTATGACTTTATCACGATTATAAAGTGCAATATTAAGAATAATTTAATCCAATTACACTGTGTTAAAGAAACTATATACAATGTAAATAGTATGTATTTAGTAGTCAAATTCAACACTCTACCTTCATTTAATCAAAGTTAAAAAAAAACACCACAGGATTTGTCGATAAGGAGTACGAGTTAGACGTGTTTATTTTTAGCATCTTATTCACAAATAGATTGCTAATCAATCGAAATGCAGTAGCCTATGATAACACGTTACTCTGAACACGCTGGCAAAGCCATATAATATTAAATAGCTCGTATATAGTAGGTTAATAATCGGCTTAACTATTCGACTATAAATTATAATCACATCCACTTCCACATCTTTTAAATCATTAGCAAATGTAACTTGCGTTAAACTCTAGTAAAAACAAACGTCGCGTTACTCTTGTATCCCAACTTTAATGCTCAAGTACAGACGTTAATAGTTAAAAGATAATTATTTCAGTGAGATAATGATCCAGACAAACATGGGGGATAATGTCATGAAGGTTATTCTAGTGGGCGACTGGGGAGTCGGCAAGACATCCCTACTACTGCGGTATGTGAACGACACTTTCAACCAGAGCTGCACATCAACTATAGGAGTCGACGTCAGGTAATTGTTCACTTTAGTGATTACTGTGTTAATAGTGTGTTATATCGTTCTTATACACGGTGATTCCGTTCTGTCCAATGTTTGTTACGGAAATCTCTCCTGGGGGGGGGGGGGGGGGGGTTGGGGGATGGGGTGCACAGACTCTTGGATTATTTCTACCTCCCCGTCTGCGGATAAATGTGAAAACATAATTGTAAAGCTACTCATCTCACCCCCACTCAACCTCCCCCCCATTTGAAGAGAAGTCTAATAGAAACCTTGCTTCTGTTTTAAATGGTGACCAGTCTATACGGCACATTTAGATGACAGATTTTATTGTCAGACATTCGGTTACGCTTAACCCTCTTAACTTCATGTTCGTATTTTTGAATGTCCCTAGATACTTTAGCTTAAACTATTTGAGTCGACGTCAGGTAATTGCTCACTTTCGTGATTACTCTGTCAAAAGACTGTTATATTATTGTTACTCATGGCGATTCGATCTCTCCTGGGGGAGGGGGGGGGGGGGTTATGCACTACTCGTTGGATTATGTCCACCTCCCCACCTCCGGGTGCATGTATAAAATTGAATAGAAAAAAATGTTTCAATAATTTCCACGCCTGGGAATTGAAAAATGTCTAATAGAAATCTTGCTTCTATTTAAGATGGTGATCAGTCTATACTGCACATTTATATTTTAGATTATATTGTCAGATGATCCAGACATTTAGTTAGCCTTAACCCTCTTAAATTGATGTTCTTAATTTTGAATGTACTTAGAAACTTATGCTTTAAACCTATATTTATTCGGCTAGCCAAAGACAAAATTGCAGCTAAGCAAAGCACACCATTCCTCATACACCACAAGTAGAGCCACACAACAGACCCATATAACAATATAACCTCTATTTCTCAGTATTCGAAGATTAGATGTGAAGGGCGTGAGAGTAAAGATGATCCTGTGGGACACGGCAGCCCAGGACAGGTTCCGGCACATCCTCTCCAGCTTTTACCGGGGCGCCAACGGTTTGGGCTTTGTCTTCGACCTGACGAACATGGAGAGCTTCCAGAGCGTTAACCGCTGGGTGCAGGTGGCGCAGCAGTGTGGCGCGGAGTGTCGCGTCAAGATGCTGGTGGGAAACAAGGCAGACCTCAAACACGTCGTCAGTAGAGACGCGGCTCTGTCGCTGGCCACGGCGATAGGAGCCCAGTACATAGAGACCAGCGCTAAGGAGGCGACCAATGTGCAGCAGGTGTTCACCAACATGGCTGAGATGTGGGTGGATCAGCTGCAAGAACAGGGAGTCTCAGCTGAATTTCAAAGGCCAGCCGTCAGTATTTCAGCTCACAGTGTACAAGGCTACGGGTGTTTAGGATCTGATTCCTGTTCCACACTGTAAATACATGCAATAGTTATGTTAAATACATGTCTCAGTTCTATATTATAGCATTTAAAAATCTTAAACAATGTCCTACACTTAATCACGTAGAGTGCTGCATTTACATTGTTTTTAACAAGGATTCTTTCAGATACTTTTTGGGCGGGGCGGGGAGCTCTTGAAACTCTGAAGGGAACGACGCGCCTAAATTTCCAGTGGATGAAATATATTTTTCTATATAAATTAGTAATTATTTTTTAAAATACCTGAAAGAAACTATATTTTAATGAAACCATGTTCATGAGATGGTATACGCGTTTCTTATACTAAATGTTTAATTTTATATGCATGTGTACTATGACCAATCAGTGTAAATGCATGCCAAGTACATTAGATGTAAATGTGTACTTTGTACCTTTTATAAAACTGTGCTATCATAAAACACTATTAAAAACTTTTAATAATATGTCGACTGTCTCTATTTTACACAGGACAATTGTATTTATTTTATTTAAAAAAAAGAATTTTACAAAAGAACTCCCTCCCCAGTAAGTCTCGCAACAATTTAGTATTGTGAGTGTCATGTCTTAATTATTGTGAGTGTCATGTATTTAATTTAGTATTTTGAGTGTCTTGTTTTTAGTTTAATATTCTAAGTGTCTTGTCTTTAGTTTAGCATTGTGTGTGTCCTGTTTTTAGTTTAATAACGTTAGTGTCTTGACTTTAGTATTGTGAATGTCATGTTTTTGTTTAGCATTGCGTGTATCTTTTTTTAGGGTTGTGCGTGTCCTGGCGTTAGTATTGTGAGTGTCCTGTTTTGGTTTAGCATTGAAAGTTACCGGTTTTGGGGTTTGTGAGTGTCCTTTCTATGTTTGTGAGTGTCCTGTTTGTGAGTAACCTGTCTCAAGGTTAACACACTTAAGTAACTGACTGTTGTATAAATTTTAGGTAAGAAATTTGGTCTAGCAAAACAAACAGTTCACTTTCTAATTAAACACATTAATGAAGACGAGCCGACCCGCGACGTAGCATACGCTGCTATTTATTTATTTTATTTTCTACTTTCCAGTTATTCATAATTTGTGAATTCGATATTACCAATGTTGCGACTGAAAATATTTGCTTTAAAACACTATCAGTAGCTCTTGATAACTCCTCTCACTCTAACCCCCCCCCCCCCCCCGGAAAGCAGCCTCCCCTTAGTTACCTCGCCTTAGTTACAAATCGTTTAAAAACTAAATTATCTGCTCTTAATAGCCGTTACTAATTCGACCCGGCTCTACGGTTGTAAACATTGAACATGAACTTACCAGACTGGAGAGCGAGGTGGGGGGAGAGAGGACGGTTAGGTAGTCGGCTTGCTGCGTCGTGGTGTCCATAAACTCACTGTATGGGGAGAGAGGCCAAGGCTCTACATTTATCTTCTAGTATGCTTGTAGGTTATCACATAAAAGTGTTGTTCCAGAGCTTTCTTTCTTTACGAGCAACACGGGCTCAGGAGGTTTTTTCCCATTAGCCAGGCAGGCCTCAACACGGCAAACTCCGACTAACTGGCTTGATAACCGTGAATCGGTCGCTTCTGTACTTCGGTCCTCACCAGGCTTATCTTCCAACCCATTGAACGCAGGGTTAATTCTTACGCCACCTTCTAGTACCCGGCTCAACCGTAGGGGTAGTTTGGACCTAAAAAGTTTAAACCAGTTCTTCCTTCCTCCCCTGGTACATCGTTCTGCCTGGTTTGTGAGGGCGTCAGTAGCCAGAGCTACACATCAACTTTTGGAGTCGACCTTAGGTAATTGCTCAGTTCATTAGTCGAGTGACTCTTTGGATGGTTACCTAATATACACACGGGGTGATTCTACTAGTCTAAGCTTTTTGACCGTGTTACAAGGGTGTTTTACCATACTGTAAGATGTAGTGATTATATTGTCAAGTGTCTATTTTGGGCTTATCTCCGTTAGGTTTGGGTGGGAATGGGGGGGGGGGCGGGGGGAAATGAAAGGATACCGCTTTCCCAAGAGTACACCCGCACGCCCCACATTTCAGGACGTAATCGAAACAACATTAAATTCATATGGAAATTAAGTACCACGTGTTTCAATTGACACCTTCCCCAAGTTACAAGTCACCCTCGTGTTGTACCCCCCCCTACCTCCAGAAAAAAATGCATGAACGAAACCCTGCTTATGTATAGAATTGATAATCAGTGTATATTGCGCATTGTGCTATAGTGCAGATGATTCAGAGATTCCCGCAGTTTACACTATAGCCCACTTAAATTGTGTACATGGCTACAAGAGTATTGGTTCTGATTCCTGTTCCACACTGTACATCCATGTGTTAATTCTTTCTTGTGGTATTTCACATTGTCCTCCAATGTGCTATATTTAAAATGCTTGGTAACGGGGGTAATTTTAGAGACTTCTTTATGGCGTGGTGGGGAGGGGAAATTGAACTAAAACTTTCAGGTGAGGTGGGGGAGGTGAGGGAGGGGGGGGGGGGGTAGAACAGACATAACATTTCCGGTTGGGGCAGGATGCAGGTTTAAGTATAATGTAAATTTCTATATAAATTATAAATGTTTTTCTGAAGAGATTTTTTACAGTCGCCAGTGTGATTACATAGCTCAATAGATAGTAGATGTATATATATGGCGACAGAGAATTTTTCCACATCATCAGATAAAAATATTCAGACCAAAGCATCACCAGGTAAACACGATTGCCTATAGCGTACAAAAAGCAGGTGACGGTACATAGAACATTTTGATTTATAACCAACCCGGAACATAACTCCCGCTGATTGTCAAACGAAGACAAACTATCAATATATACTCAACATTTCGATTGGATGTTTGAAAGATTAGTCTTATCATAGCACGCGATAATACAGATGGCTGACTTATCCCTTTGGCTTGGTGAAATTGTTTACTTTCTATTGTTGATGCGAAATAACGTTTACTAGCTATAAGACAGAATGGTAAGTTTTATTTTAAAAATAGATACAGATCCCTTTATGTAATTAAATGAACACATTAGTATTATTAAAAAACCGGGAGTGATCTCCCCTGAACTTTCTCGAATATTCTTATATAAAAAACATGGGTGGTAACTCGGGATATAGACATGAATTTTAATCCATTTTAAATACTTAAACTTTTAAAAATAGAATAAAATCTCGTAGAAAAAAGAATCGCACACCTGCGAACGCCTTTTAAAATGTGTATAATAGGGCGGAATATTATTAGTACTTTATAAATTTACATTCGTTTTTTTTTTTGAGAAATTGGAAATAGCGTAAATTACTACTTCCGATCAACGGAAATTACTCAATATTCGACAGAAGGTAGAGAACTAGATCTTTTACTTACATGTGAAATTTCATTTATCTATCTGAAATAGTACTCAAGTTATAGGCTTTTGAAAAATTCAAAGTAGAAAAAGTTCAACTTCCGTTTATCGGAAATCGTTCAAAAGTTGATACGGATCTTCGATTTTGATAAAATACTTATACATGAAATTTCATCAACCTAGCTGTGACGGTACTCAAGTGATCGTGTTTACACACAGACACACACACACACAGACAGACATACGGACAGAATTGCAAAGTCCAGTTTTTACGACTCGATAACGCATAAAACGCCAAAATGTTTATATATTTGTATATATAATTTTTGCCTGATTAAAATAAGTCATCTATACTCCGGATGTGATAAAGGACTGAGGAGTAAAACGGTGAAAACTGTCAAAATTTCATGTTATTTTTGTGCACGATTACAATACTTTCTCTATACGTCGTATATACAAGAAAGTAGAAATGAGGTTAAAGATACAACTGGAGCTATCAATGATTTTGCGTTTCTACATTGCAGACTGAGACCATGAATGTTTCAAGCAAAAGAATGAAAGTGATCTTGTTGGGGGACAGTGACGTAGGGAAGACGTCTTTACTGACACGCTTCAGTCAAGGCTACTTTCACATTTGTTATCAAATGATCATCCCAGAATACAGGTAATATTTAAATACAAGATAACGGGCCAATCAAAGGAGAAATGCAACGGGCGCTAGGTTGATAGAGTTATCTTTTTTCTCTAAACCGAAACAAAACCAAAACCACCACCTCAACTTCATATTTAACCGATAGAGAAAAATGTCATTGAAAACGGATTTGTATCCAGAATCGGCATTTTAACAGCTTTAAACCTTGATCTACACGTAGTTACTGCACATTGGTACTAAATATAGTCGTAGTCATACCCCTATAACTTGCACTTAAGCTCAAACATGACAGTCGTATTTAGAGTTACTTTCAGTCGACTCTAACGGGGGGGGGGGGGGGAAAGAAAGATTAGGGGCGGAGGAAACACCCCTCCCCCCACCTACCCCGAAGCACGTCTATCGTGCCCTTCAACGAAATAGAATTTATATAAAAATATATTTTTACCAGTGTCTGTCCCTCCCCAGAAAATTTAGTCGCCCCCCTCAAAACATTTTAAGTACTCCATCCTTCTTCAGAGAGGAAAAAGTTTGAAAGAAACACTGGTCGCATTTGAAGATCCTACAGACTTAAGGTAGAACCTACTTCTATTATATAGTATCGTTTCCTGCCGCTAAACCTCACTCATGAAGATAGAGTTTCTTTTTGTTTCTCCAGGGGTGGGGCACTATACGTTTTTGGAAGGAATGCTGATTTAATTCTCGGGGGAAGGGGGTGACACGGGTAAAAGTATATATTTTCTATATAAATTCTATTTTGTTTGGGGGAAGGGGAAGCGGTAAATATTCTTCGGCGGGGGGCAGGGGGATGGGGCTCAGCCTCTATACCCAATGAAATGCCTGAAAGAAACTCTGTACGCAGACCCCTTTTAAGATTAGAGAAATAAAAAACGTGGTAATGTTAATGTCTTTGTTATCAAGTATCGAAGACGTCATTATTTCTGTTTTTATTTCGGTAATGGCTTTTTAATGCTATTTTTTACTCTAAAATCAATGACGTCATAGTATTGAGTGTACTTTTCGGCTTTAGAAAATTACCTTCTATATATTCAATATGACGTCACTTTTCGTATTCCGTTTGATGTGAATGTTGTACTTTCCATGTGTTTTCTCTATATTGTTCTCGACAGATATATACAGTCACATAGTGGCAGAAGAGTGAAAATATTATTATGGATTCGACATGCCATGCTCTTAAAATTGTATACAATTTAAGAATAATGATTATTAATAAGCTTTTATTTTGTAACAATATCTCCCTTTTTTGTCCGTTTGTGGCGTGTAGCAAATTTCGTATCTCTATTTTGAACCATTTCTAATGCATCTCTCAAGTTAAAACATTCTAGATACATTCGACTTTAGTGACATCGCTAGAATATGTAATTTACCATTACATTAGATATTAAATAAGCCATTAAAAAATAACGAAAGCTTTTAAAAACAGTTTGAGATTGTGCTAGCTATCTCTCGATTAGCTTGTAGCTTTGACTTTAGAGTGCGACCTTGGGCGTTAAGAAGGGAAAGGCAATTGTCTTTTAAATATCGCAAACTACTGATCTGGTTACAAGATTATATTCACAAGAAATGTCGACTTCATGAAAAACTAATTACATAAAAAGTGGAAAGTAAAACCAATATAAAATCTTATAATAAACTTTCAAAATACAATTGAAAATAAACGAAAATTGCTTTCTTTAATAAATCGCTAAAATATGCTTTAATTGCCTTCTAGTAATAAGGACGTGGACGTCTCAGGGGTAAAGGTCAAGCTACAGATATGGGATACAGCTGGCCAAGGGCGCTACCGAGTAATAAGAAAGGGTTATTACAGGGACGTTGCTGGTATTGTTATAGTTTTTGACCTGACCAGCAAGTCCAGCTTCGACAACATCTAACATTGGTTGCAACAGGTCCACGAACATGCTGGAGAAAATGTTGACATTGTACTGGTCGGCAACAAGGTTGACCTGGCCGAAAGCCGAACCGTAGACCACGAGACGGCCTCCTGCCTGGCCCAAACCATTGGGGCCATGTATGTCGAGTGTAGCGTTAAAAATGATGCCAACGTCGACCTGGTGTTCACATCGTTGGCCAGAAAGTTCGCCGATCGCGTGCCTGTCCAACAGGAAGAGCCGGTACGTTTAGAATCAGAGACATTTTACCAGGTTCCTTGCTTTGGTAAAGATACATGTTCATCATTCTAAGTTACAAAGATAGCGCCGTCAAAACGCATCAAAATCAAAATTGTGTAAAAACCGGGACATTACTGATTTATAATTATCAAAATATAAATAATTCACACCGAGATATGTGGAAGACTTATATTCACTTGTTTATACTTGAAATCATCTAAATCATTGCGCGAGCATCCATCAAATATATTAAATTAAAAAAAATTAAACTAAATTTTAAAAAATCTGTATTCATTGTCTTTTTACTGAAAGTTGAAATTCGTGTTTATCAGTTGTAAAGGATATGTGTAAATTCTGTTTAGTTTAGCATGGTGAGTGGTGGGTGTCCTGTCTTCATTTAAAGAATGTAGGTGTCTTTTATTTATTTGATGATTGTGTCTTCTATTTATTTGATGATTGTAAGTGTCTTCTATTTATATGAGGGTTGTGTTTTGTATTTTTTTAATGATTGCAAGTGACTTGTTTTTATTTAAGGATTGAGAGTGTATTTATTGAAGGACTGTAAGTGTCTATTTTAAAAAAAATGTTTAATTGATCAAACATTGATTAAAAATCACGTCAATATCCCGCACTGCCAACCCCCCCCCCCCCCCCCCCCCCCCCATCCCCTAGTGTAGAAATTAGAAAAAGTTTACGGGAGATCACTACCGGTTTATTTTTCTAGACCGGGTCAAATGCGAACATGTTATCTTTCAGATAATATTCCCCTGAAGGTAATGCGCTTTTTTTCACAAGTTAGTGCATTAAAAAAAGATTCACTGTGACGAAGCACAGGTTTACAGCTAGTAAAAATATAATATTGTTACAAAATGCCCTGTATTTGTCACGTGGCAACAAACTATCTGTATTGACCAAACATCCATATCAGATGTTTAAAAGATTAGTGTCATGACCACATGACCTATGGCTGACTTATCACGAGAGCTTGGTGAAATTATTTGCTCTCTTTTGCTGGATAAGAACTAGCGTCTACACACTAAAAGACAGAATGGTAAGTTTTATTTTAAAATAGATACAGCTCAATCTTTTATCAGCAATGAGAGAAATATATACGTATTTTAATACAATAAACTCACACAGAAATCAAGAGCTATTAAATAAGCTACAAACGTGTTTTAAAACAATACGAAACAGAATAGTGAATTTCTTTTTTGAAATAGACACAACTCAGGTTTCTTTTTCACCTACAGAAAAATATGGAATATTAATAAATATTATAAAACGGTCAGCTCTTTATTACTGACTCGCAGATAAACTGTGAGATAAAAAGATATTTATACTACTTTGCATTACAGACTGAGAAGAGATGCTATTCCAGCAACGCTATGAAAGTGATTGTTGTGGGAGACTCGGGTGTTGGGAAGACAACTTTACTGTTAAACTACACCCATGACAGAGTTGCTTTTGACAGTACTTTTAAAACAACCCTTGTGGTGGATTTTAGGTAATCGTTTCATATTTTACAGTTCGTTTGCTCAAATATGACCGAATTCTTGACACTAAAGTTTTGTATCCTTCAGCTCAAAGATAGTAGAGGTCTCAGGGGTAAAGGTCAAGCTACAACTATGGGATACGCACGGCCAAGAACGCTTCCAAGCTATGGGAACGCATTATTACAGAAGCGCTGTCGGTATTGTTATGGTTTTTGACCTGACCAGAAAGTCCAGCTTCGACAACATTCAAAGTTGGTTGAACCAGGTTCACGAACATGCTGGAGAAGATGTTGACATTGTACTGGTCGGCAACAAGGTTGACCTGGCCGAGAGCCGAGTCATAGACCACGAGACGGCCTCGTCCCTGGCCCAGACCATTGGGGCCATGTATGTCGAGTGTAGCGCTAAAACAGGGGACAACGTCGACCTGGTGTTCACATCACTGGCCAGCAAGTTGGCCAATCGCGTGCCTGTCCAACAGGAAGAGCTGGTACTGGTACGCTTAGAATCAGAACCATCTTACCAGGTTCCTTGTTATGGGAAAGATACATGTTCGTCAATCTAAGCCTCAAAGATAGCGCAGATAAAACAGAAGGCATTAAAATCGTAATTTGAAGAAAAATTATACAATTATTCTTGAGTGACTGGAGTGTGCATCTATCTCTTTGGTTTTATTGTTATTATTATTAATATTATTTTGCTAGTTCACGCTAAACGCAAATGTAGCATTCGGCTCCTGGTAAAGGGCAGTTTTTTTATGATTACAAAGTAGTCCGGTATTATAATGCTGGTATATATATATATTTTAACAATGTTTAGTTCTGTTTTGTGTATGTGTGGTGTATACTTTTCTGATTATTATGTTTACTTTATTGGATGGTCGCACGTAATGCATTGTATCGTATTGTTGGTTAACATTATATTAGGAAACATTTCTTGTGCGAAGTTTAAGTACCTTGGCTAACTGAGCCCAATTTGAATTTGTGGATGGGGAAGATAAAGGTTCTCAGAGGGTTAACTGAGATTCTCTTACACACTTGGAAAAAATATGTTGTGTATTTTAGATATGTTTTCATTATACGTTTATTTTGTATGACTTTCTGTAGCATGGGTTAATTCTGTCCATGTAAGGGTCTTAAGGTATTAGAATTTGAAAAGTCACGACTGTTGTAGTTCAAATCGAACTTGTTGTATTTTTAATAGTTTTTTAGCAATTCATGTATCATTATAAGTTAATTCTAATTCAGTTTCAAATTATATGTGGTCCTCAAATAAATGTGATAATTCAAAATATTTAATTATTTTTTCTAGTGGGATCCCTTAAGCTAGTAAGCCAGGGACATGTTGGGTCGCCTATCACATCCCTAGGGGAGCAATATTGATAAATTTATTCATGCTACCCTTATTGTATATTGGGAAGTGTATTAATGTAGACATTACCTTTTTGTTGACTGTCACTTTTATGGGGGATATCCTTGAGACCCCATAGGAAGGTGTCGTTGGGTCTGATCAATTTTGATGTTTTGTGAATTTGTCTTGAGAGGACCACTTGTGGATATTGTAAAAAATGGTAGTAACACTTGCTTCACGGTTAAACTTAATTTGATATTGTGCATTCCTTAATTAGGTCTTGTATATCCTATTTGTTTATATGTTTCCAATGCTAATATTCTTTATATTGCCACTTTACTTCTTATATTCTTAATTTCTCACTTATCTGTTGATATTTTTTCAGGTTTGATTGACTTCTGATTATGGTGTTTTGTTCTATTTTTCTTTTAGTTTCCTTAAATTTGTATTACTAGGTTTAGAGTAAACCAAGCTGGGTTTAGTCAGATTTGCTCTGACGTCACATCTATATATATAATTCTCTTCTGGGAGCCGTTAGAAAACAAGCTGCAAGCGCGCGCCTTGCAGTCCCCTCTTTTCCTCTCTATCGCTACCACCCCTCCCCCCACCCCCCTCACATGGTCAGGTGAGTTGTAGTTCACGCTAAATGTTCAGTTTGGTGACGGCTATTAGGGGCAGATAATTCAGTTTGAAACTATTTTAAACTTAGAGGAGGTAACTAAGAGGAGGCTGCTTTCACGGGGGGGGGGGGGTGGAGGAGGGGGAAATGGTGGTTTAGTGTTTTAAAACAAATATTTTCAGTGGCAGGATTGGTAGTGTCGAATTCACAAATTATGAATTACTGAAAAGTAGAAAAAACAACAACTAAATAGCGGCGTATGATATGCCGCGGGTCGGCTCGTACTAATTAAAGTCCTAGGGATTAGGTTAGGTACCTCCCAAGTCAAGGCTTACTCATAATGCTCTAATGGCTAAGGTATAACACATTGTATTAACATGTGTAATACTATAATTATCAAATCTTTTTGAAAATGAGCATCCAGCAAATAGCTTACTTTTCAATTTTTAAAAGTCTGTGCTCATTGTCTGTTTGTTATTATTTAGAACATAATGCTTAAGTGACTCGTACGTGTACTTTTTTTTAGTATAGCATTGTGAGTGTCGTGTCTTTAATTTAGTATTCAAAGTGTCTCGTCATTATTTAAGTATTGTGAGTGTCTTATGTTTAGTTTTGTTTTGTATCTTGTCTGTACTTTAGCATTGCGCGTGTCCTGACTTTAATTTAGTATTATACGTGTCTTGTACTTAGTTTAGCATTGTGAGTGTCTTGTCTGTAGTTTAGTACTAGCCGTCCTGGATTAAAGGACCCTGACTTGTGTATTTATTACGAAGCATATACCCGGCTTAGCACGGGTTTAGGAAATATATTATTTTTTCATTTAAATATCCACACTGTGTTCGTCAAAACGGCACGTGAAAAAAACTGCCGCTACCAAAGGGTCTTGACAAAAACAACCTCATCCACGTCAATAGAGCCAGTGACAAATGCACCCTGTCAATAATAGTCTTGTAACAGACTCTATTATTGGGTATGATTATTATATTGTATTTAACATGAAGTTGTATGAATGTAGAGTACATGGCCAACGGAAGTACTCTGTGAGCGACTGGTCACTTTTTTCCATGCTTTTTGTGAGATCACTCACTGACGTAAGGGGAGAGAATGTAAGGTGTAAAAGGGGAGCGCAAGGTGAACTAAGTGTGCTTGCCTGTGTCTGTGTAGTAAGATGTAAGATGTCACCACGTCACTTTGTTCTAGATTGTAATTTGATAGTTGTTTCTTCTTCAATGGATTATCGTCATTATTCTTGTGGATCTATGTAAATAAAGTTGAAAGTTAAAAAGCAGTGTCCATCCTGTTCTTGGATGAAAGAACCCACAATAACGACCGAATTGTCATATCAATAAATACGAGTTGTTACAAGTCTCAACGAAAGTACAAATAGACTCCCGTGAATACGACTCACGACAATTAAGCTTTCATTCATTTGATTCCAGAAAAGCGGTCGCCAGTCATCAGAACTCCAGAGAAAAAGACTTCTATTTTATATGACCCATGTCAATTTAACCCTTTCATCTTCAGAGTTAGCAAATCCAGCACACTATTTTTACATTATTCTATCTAGTGTAAAATTTTATGTTTTTCAAATTGTAATGGTAATATAGTTTTATGACGTTTATCAAATAAGTTGGTGGGCTGTTTCAACTCGATGTTCTAGAAGATAGGTCCAAGGTCTACATTAAATTTTATCTTCAGAATACTTGTAGTTTATCACAAAGAAGATTGTACCAGAGCTAAACATCAACTATTGTAGTTGACCTTAGGTATTAGCTTAGTTCATTGACCTCAGGTATTTGCTCAGTTCGTTGACCTCAGGTATTTGCTCAGTTCATTGGGGGTCGGCGTGGTCGAGTCGATAATGGCGCATAACCTGATGACACGTATTCGTAATTGTGTTGGAGGGGGATCCCTTCCAACACTAAAAGCAAGAACAAAGAAAGAGAAGCTCAGTTCATTGACCTCAGGTATTTGCTCAGTTCATTGACCTCAGGTATTTGCTCAGTTCAGTAGTCGAGTCACTCTTCTGGTGGTGATCCTAATATACACGGGGTGATTCTACTGGTGTAAGCGGTTATAAATGTGTTGAAAGGGTGTTATATCACACTTTTAGATATAATGATTATCTTGTCTAGTGTGTTTTTTTTTTGGGTTTATCCCCGCGAGGGGTTGGAAAGAATACTGCCTTCTCAAGAGGGCGACCACAGCCACCACCCCCTCCCCACTTTCAGGACGTAATAAAAACAACATGACAATTAGGTACGATACGTTTCAATAGCCACATTTCGCAAGTTTTTCAAGTGACCTTTCTGATCTCTCCCCCCTCCCACCTTAAGAAAAAAAATGCATAAACAAATCCTGCTTGTGTAAGATAATAATAAGTGTATGTTGCACATTGTGATTAAGGGTAAATAACTCCGAGATTCCATAAATGACGACAAGCTTATTTTGACGATTTTTTTACCCCCCCCCCCCCTTCTCTCCGTCACACCATTACGAAAAACCACCCCCTAAAATGACGTCACACCTCAGTCTACGATACCCCTTAAAAATTGCAATCTTAATTGAAATCTTTCCAAATTCTTGTCTGATCTCCATCGACCAACAATTGTTTTCTAACAATGCTTTTTTTATAATGCAAAAGTGTGATGTCGTACCATCTGAACCCCTGCCCTAACTCCCCCTCACCACAAACCATCACAAAATTACGGACGCTCCCCCCCCCCCAGATAAAAAAGATTGACTGTAGCGTGGCCAAAAACAGATGACAATACAATGAATTTAGTGGTGTATAACCAACCCGGAACAAAACTCCCGCTGATAGTCTATGAAAACAAACTATCAACATTCACTCCACATCTCTATTGGATGTTTGAAAGATTAGTGTTATCATAACCACACATGATAACACAGGTGGATGATTTAACCCGTTGGCTTGTGAAGTTCTATTATTGATGAGAACTAAAATTTACTGGCTATAAGACAGAATGGTAAGTTTTTATTTTTATTTTAAAAATAGATACAGATCCATTTTGTCAGTAAAAGAAATTATTCGTACTATTAAAAAAATAAGCTCAAAAGTAAAACTGGAACTATCAACGTGTTTTTAAATTTCTATATTGCAGAATCAGATGATGGGCTGTCCAAACAATAGAATGAAAGTGATCATGTTGGGGGACTATGGCGTAGGGAAGACATGTTTAATGAATCGCTATTTGTTTGACCAATTTGACCTCTATTATCGAAAATTCTACGTAGAATTCGGGTAACCTTTACATATATGATATTTCGCTCACAATATCTGCTTTTTTTGTTCAGCTGTGGCTAGTAGCATATTTTGTGCCTCTATTTTGAGCCATTTGTAATGCACAGGTCTAATTTAAACATTCCAGATAAATACGTCTTCGGTGTGAACGCCATACTATTTCATTTTTTTTTAATTCAATTCAATGTTATATAAGACATTAATAAAATAACTTCTAAAAGATTGGGAGAAAAATTAAGTTGTAGCGATCCCTCGATTAACTTGTTGATTTGACATGGGCGTTAAGAAAGGGCAGGTAATTATCTTCAAAAGATTGAAAGCTACTGATCGTTGTCGTGACGACCTCATTAAAAACGCAGTATTAAAAAAAAGGTGGAAAATAAAGCAGAAATAAAAGCTTTAAGCGTTTAATTACACTGAAAATAAACCAAACTGGCTTTTTTTAGTAAAAGTATTAATCGCTAAAATATTTTTTTCCAGAAATAGGACAGTTGACGTCTTCGGGGTAAAGGTGACACTTCAGATTTGGGATACGGTTGGCCAAGAGCGCTTAGGCTGGGAGCTCTTCACCGCGATAACAAAGAGTAATTATAGAGACGTAGCTGGTATTGTTATGGCTTTTGACCTGACCAGCAAGTTCAGCTTCGACAACATCCAATATTGGTTGCAACAGGTCCACGAACATGCTGGAGAAAATGTTGACATTGTACTGGTCGGCACCAAGCTGGACCTGGCCGAGAGCCGAGCCATAGACCACGAGACGGCCTCCTCCCTGGCCCAGACCATTGGGGCCATGTATGTCGAGTGTAGCGTTAAAACAGGGGCCAACGTCAACCTGGTGTTCACATCGCTGGCCAGCAAGTTGGCCAATCGCGTGCCTGTCCAACAGGAGGAGCCGGTACGTTTAGAATCAGAGACATTTTACCAGGTTCCTTGTTATGGGAAAGATACATGTTTGTTAATCTAAGTTACAAAGATGGCGCCGTCAAAACACATCAAAGTCAAAATTGTGTAAAAACCGGGACATTAATGATTTATAATTATCAAAATATAAATAATTCACACCGAGATATGTGGAAGACTTGTATTCACTTGTTTGTACTTGAAATCATCTAAATCGTTGCGCGAGCATCCATCAAATATATTAAATTTTTAAAAAAATTCTGTATTCATTGTCTCTTTACTGAAAGTTGAAATCCGTGTTTATCAGTTGTAAAGGATATGTGTAAAATGTGTTTAGCATTGTGAGTGGTGGGTCAGTCGTTATTCAGCCTAACGTAAACTGCAATAAACAATTTTCATGATTAATCGAAAGACACGACCAAAAGATGGACCAATTTTGTTTACTACACCTACGATCTATCTTTTTAATTACTGATTTTCTTCTTTTATGGCTTTGGCTCCTTAGGAAGCATAGACTTAGAAACTTTGTCAATAAACTTGATTTGTTTTAACAGCTCTGGTGTCAACAACTCAACCTCCCCAATCTCTCTTGTCATGATGTCGTTTGGAAATTTTAGATCTTCCTGCTTTTCCCTCTGCGGATTCCAAACAATTAATTTCAACTACGACTTAATCAAGATTATACAGTGCAACATTAAAAATAATCTAATCCAACTACACGGTGTTATAGAAATTATAAACAATGTAAATATTGAATTCAGTAGTCAAGTCAACCCTCCTCCTTCATTATTGACTAATCAAAAATAAAAAAAAAAAACATTGGAATTCTGGATACGGTGTACGAGTAAGACATGTCTATTTTTAGCATCTTATTGACAAATAGATGGCTAATCAATCGAAATACAATAGCCTATGATAACACGTGACCCTGAACACGCTGACCAAGCCAAATAATATTAACCATCTCGTATATGGCGGTTAAGTAACCAGCAAAAGTTTATAAATATTGTAATCACAGCAACTTCCACATCTTTTAAATCATTAGCAAATGTAATTGGAGTAAAAACAAAAGTCACGTTACTCTTGTAGATTGTATTACGACCTTACCGCAAGAGTACAGACGTTAATAGTTAAAAGCTAATTTTTTGTGGCTTTTTTGTGAAGATATGTGACAGTGGGAAGTGAAGGTAAAAATCGTCAAACAAACATGACGTCATTTATGGATGACACCCCGAAACACACGGTTATTCAAGAATAACGGGTAGTCTAGTAACTAACAGTAAAGAAACTTAATGAGCGCATCCAACCATCCTTGACCTCTTGAAAAATTAGAAAAACAAACAATATATTAAAACTATTTTTACAAAACGGAAACATTTTGTACTTAGTTGAAATTTTTTAAATCGAAAAGTAAAATATGCCACTTGTAACGAGTTTGTTTAAGTCTCCGCTGTTTACTTTTGCTGTCATTACCTAAATATCTATCTATAAACTACTAAAACTCGAGTTTGCTTACACGTTTGAATATATTTTTAATATAATCTGGTTACATGAGAGAATCTGCACTTTTTGTAGAGATGTAAAATTCGTATTTAGGTACAGAATAAAGTTCTCTCTGTTTCCAAGTTAGTACATTAAAAAACGATTCACTGTGACGAAGCACAGGTACGCAGCTAGTTAAAATATATTATGTATAACGAGCCCGTTATAAAACGCCCTGTATTTGTCACGTGGAAACAAACTATCTGTATTGACCAAACATCTCGATCAGATGTTTAAAAGATTAGTGTCATGACCACATGACCTATGGCTGACTTATCACGAGAGCTTGGTGAAATTATTTGCTCTCTATTGCTGGATACGAACTAGCGTCTACACACTAAAAGACAGAATGGTAAGTTTTATTTTAAAATAGATACAGCTCAATCTTTTATCAGCAATGAGAAAATATATACGTATTTTAATAATGCAATAAGCTCATAGAGAAATCAAGAGCTATTAAATAAGCTACCAACGTGTTTTACAACAATACAAAACAGAATAGTAAATTTCTTTTTTGAAATAAACACATCTCATTTTTTTGTCACCTATAGACAAATATGGAGTATTATAAAACAATCAGCTGTTTATTTGAAAAAAAAGAAAATTCTACTACTCTGCATTCCAGACTGAGAAGAGACGCTATTCCAGCAACTCTATGAAAGTGATTGTTGTGGGTGACTCGGGTGTTGGGAAGACAACTTTACTGTTAAACTACACCCATGACAGAGTTGCTTTTGACAGTACTTTTAAAACAACCCTTGTGGTGGATTTTAGGTAATCGTTTCAATTTTTTTACAGGTCATTTGCTCAAATATGACCGAATTCTAGACGTTATAATTTTGTATCTTTCAGCTCAAAGATAGTGGAGGTCTCAGGGGTAAAGGTCAAGCTACAACTATGGGATACGCACGGCCAAGAACGCTTCCAAGCTATGGGAACGCATTATTACAGAAGCGCTGTCGGTATTGTTATGGTTTTTGACCTGACCAGAAAGTCCAGCTTCGACAACATTCAAAGTTGGTTGAACCAGGTTCACGAACATGCTGGAGAAGATGTTGACATTATACTGGTCGGCAACAAGGTTGACCTGGCCGAGAGCCGAGTCATAGACCACGAGACGGCCTCCTCCCTGGCCCAGACTATCGGGGCCATGTATGTTGAGTGTAGCGCTAAAACAGGGGCCAACGTCGACCTGGTGTTCACATCGCTGGCCAGCAAGTTGGCAAATCGCGTGCCTGTCCAGCAGGAAGAGCTGGTACTGGTACGCTTAGAATCAGAACAATCTTACCAGGTTCCTTGTTATGGGAAAGATACATGTTCGTCAATCTAAGCCTCAAAGATAGCGCAGATAAAACAGAAGGCATTAAAGTCGTAATTTGAAGGAAAATTATACATTTATTATTGAGTGACTGGAGTGTGCATCTATCTCTTTGGTTTTATTGTTATTATTATTAATATTATTTTGCTAGTTCACGCTAAACGCCAATGTAGCATTTGGCTCCTGGTAGAGGACAGTTTTATCTGATTACAAAGTAGTCCGGTATTATAATGCTGATATATATGTTTTAACTATGTGTTACGGGTCAATGGTAGGTTACATAGAAATAGGCTAGAGTAATCTAGAATTAGGGTAGAGTGCGTGTGTGAGTTGAGTTTACCCTAGAGTATTGTTAACCCGGTGTGTTTATGTATTGTTTACCCAAGGTCGAATGCGCTATAAAAGCTGGAGTGAATGATTGTCAGAAGTTAGTTGATAGCGGTTATGGCGAGGGCCACGGAGGATCTATATATATAATTATCTTCTGGGAGACGCTAGAAAACAAGCTGTAAGCGCGCTCCCTACCCCCCCCCCCCTCCCCTACATGGTCTGGTGAGCTGTGGTTCACTCTAAATGTTTACAAGCAGAGCCGGGTTTAGTGACGACTATTAGGGGCAGATAATTTAGTTTGAAACGATTTTAAACGTAGGGGGGGGGGTAACTAAGTTGAGTTTACTTTAACGGAGGGGGGAAGGAGGGGGGTTATCGTCCTTAACGAGCTACTTATAGTGCTTTAAAGAAATATTTTCAGTGGCAGCGTTGATACTGTTGAATTCACAAATTATGAATTACTTAAAAGTAGAAAAAACAACAACTAAATAGCGGCGTATAATATGCCGCGGGCCGGCTCATTGTATATATTTGAGACAGAATAAAAGTTGTGAACGTGGTCACGAAGTGTTGTTGTTTGTCAGAAACTAATCGGAACGTAACATTATGTTTAGTTCTGTTTTGTGTATGTGTATGTAACCCTCACTCAGTGGGGATGCTTTTACCCACTGAGGTGTTGTGGTTAAGACGGGCTGACCCTGAAGTTTAGAACACACTGACACCGACAGTTGTTGTCAAGTACTTGCTTTATTCACTGCATCGAGCCATGACGGCGATGCATAACACAGTAGTACCACGATTTCAAAACAGAGAGAAAAAACGTCAGAAAGACAAACAAAGAAACTGTAGCCCTAAAATAAATGTAAAGAAAAAGTTACATTTATGACAACACCACATGTAGGCTACAATATACACGGGTACAATAAAATATGTTTCGGCCAGTACACAGTACTGCCAACAAGTACCAATAAGTAGTACTACAAATAAATACTTATATAAATACACAACCTAACTAGTGTGCACATGCAGCACTAGCAGGAATACACAAATAAGTATTTTAACAATAAACATAATTTATATAACTACACTACCTTCATTAGGTCTACATCTTGGTCACCGTGTCCACAGACAGCAGCCTTGCGTGTGACTGACACGGCTAGGCACGAAACTACCCACAGTCCCATGTCACATGACATGGGACACAGGTAACATCGCATGAAAAAAAACTACATCAACAGTTCAGTTGCGGTCCCACAGGGGCCGCAACCCAATGAATTAAAACTTCATTCTTCCCCCCTTGGCTGGTAACCATATGTGTTACATGTAGTGTATACTTTTCTGATTATTACTATTGGACACGTTTATTTTGTAAGACTTTCTGTAGCATGGATTGATTCTGTCCATGTAAGGGACTTAATTTTTAGACTTTGAGAAGTAACGACTGTTGTAGTTGAAAACTAGTTGAAAATAGTCTGTTAGCTTATCCAATCAATGTGTCACAAGTTTATTCTAATTCAGTTTTAAATTGTATGTGAGAATCAAATGTGTGATAATTCAAAATGTTTATTTTTTCTAGTTGGATCCCTTACGCTAGTAATAACGCAGAAAATAATCTAAACATAAACGTGAGCAGAAATCATAAAACAGAAGCACCGTTACAGCTACGTTGATTATATATCTGATATAAGTATTATATCAAATTTGTAGTTCTGTATCAACTTTTCAGCGATTTCCGGTAAACGGATGTGGAACTTATTCTACTTTCAATTTTTTGAAAGTCTATAACTTGAGTACTGTTTCAGATAAATGATCGAAATTTCACATATAAGTAAAAGATCCACTTTTCTGCCTTCTTTCTAATTTTGAGTAATTGTCGTTGAGCGGAAGTAGTTCTTCTTCTTCTTCGTTCTTAATTTTAGTTCTGGAAGGGATCCCCTACGAGGCCATTGACTCCGATTTCAGCCTGCTGAATTTGGATTTGCATCCATAGCCTTTGTCCAACCAAGAACAAACTACAAGGCAGCAGTTGTTTGATTTTGGAGTTGTAAAAGCACTTGTGGTTAAAGGTCCGCGCACCACAAAAACAACCTCATGCATCATGTCAATAATAGTGTCAAAGAAACTACAAATATAGACTCACGTGAATACGACTCACGACAACTAAGCTCTCGTTAAATTATTTACAGACAAGAGGTCGCCAGTCATCAGAACTCCAGACAAAAAGACTTCTATTTAATATGACCCATGTCAATTAAACCCCTTCATCTTCAGAGTTAGCATATCCAGCACTCTAAAATAATATCTTATAATAAGGCCTTATTTTTACATTATTTTATCTAGTGTAAAATTTTATGTTTTTAAAATTGTAATGATGATATATTTTTATGACGTTTATGAAATAAGTCGGTGGGCTGTCTCAAATCAATATTCTAGGAGATAGGTCTGAGGTCTACATTCAATTTTATCTTCAGAATATTTGTATGTTATCACAAAGAAAATTGTACCAGAGCTTAACATTAACGATTGGAGTCAACCTCAGATATTTGCTCAGTTCATTAGTCGAATCACTCTTTGGTGGTTATCATAATATGCAAGGGGTGGTTCTATTAGTAAAAGTGGCTATTAACGTGTCATAAGGATATTATATCACACTTTTAGATGTGATGATTATCTTGTCAGTGTTTGTTGCGGGCTCATCTCTTGAAGGTGGGGTGGGGTTGCAAAGAATACTGCATTCCAAATAGTACGACCATAGTCCCACCATCCCACTCTTTAAGGACGTAATAAAAACAACATTGGATTTATATAGATATTAGGAACATATATATATCTATCTATCGAGCTATGTAATCACACAGACGACTGAATCAGACTATGAAATATATATATGGAGACAGAGAACGTTTCCACATCATCAGATAAATATTCAGGCCAAAGCACCACCAGGTAAACAAGATTGCCTATAGCGTACTAAAAGCAGGTGACAGTACATAGAACATTGTAATTTATAACCAACCCGGAACATAACTCTCGCTAATTGTCTATGAAGACAAATTATCAGTGTTCACATCTTGATTGGATGTTTGGAAGATTAGTCTTATCATGACCACGTGATAACACAGATGGATTACATACCCCGTAGGCCAGTGAAATTGTTTACTTTCTATTGTTGATGCGAACTGACGTTTACTGGCTGTAAGACAGAATGGTAAGTTTTGTTTTAAATATTGATCAATTTTGTCAGTAAAGGAAGACATTCGTATTATTAAATTAATGAAATCAAAAAGAAAACTGGAGCTATTAACGTGTTTATACATTTTTTTTTCATTGCAGAATGCTATGGAGCGCTTTCCAAAAAACAGAATGAAGGTGACCATTTTGGGGGACAGTCGCGTAGGGAAGACGTGTTTAATGTTGCGCTATTTGTATGACTCCTTTGACATCGATCCTCGAATTTTATACATAGAATTCAGGTAACCTTTAGATATTTGGCATGCCACCCCCTTAAAACTTTAGACAATTTTAGACTAATAATTTTTAATAATCTTTTATTTTGTTCACTATATCTTCTTTTTTTTTTAGTACGTTTGTGGGTTGTAGCAAATTTTGTACCTCTATTTTCAACCAGTGAACGCAAAGCAACTGTGTATAATAGTGCGGAATATTATTAGTACTTTATAAATTCACATGTGTTTTTCAAGGAATTGGAAATAGCGAAAATTACTACTTCCGGAAGGCAGAGAATTAGATCGTGTGAAATTTCATTATCTATCTGAAATAGTATTCAAGTTATAGACTTTTGAAAAATTCAAAGTAGAAAAAGTTCCACTTCTGGTTATCGGAAATCGCTCAAAAGTTGATACTGATCTACGATTTTGATATAATACTTATACATAAAATTTCATCAACCTATCTATAACGGTACGCATGTTATAGTGTTTACAGACACACACACACACATACACACACACAGACATACGGACAAGATTGCAAAACTATGTTTTTTTTTCGCCTCTGGGAGGTGTAAAACGTCGAGATTTGCAAAAATCTCGGTTTTCTTTTGTGCGATTACAAGACTTTCTGTATACTTCGTATATACGAGAAAGTAAAAAGTAGAAAGTAAAACAGACATACAATATTTATAATAAGCTTTTAAATGCACTAAAAATAAACCAAACTTGCTTTTTTAATAAAATTAGTGATCGCTAAAATATTTTTTCCTTTCCAGAAACAAGACAGTTGACGTCTCGGGGGTAAAGGTCATGCTACAGATTTTAGATACAGATAGCAATAAGCGTTTTCGACCACGAATAACGAGTTCTCTCAGAAACTTTGCCGGTATTATTATAGTTTTTGACCTGACCAGCAAGTCCAGCTTCGACACCGTCCAATATTGGTTGCAACAGGTCCACGAACATGCTGGAGAAAATGTTGACATTGTACTGGTCGGCAACAAGGTTGACCTGGCCGAGAGCCGAGTCATAGACCACGAGACGGCCTCCTCCCTGGCCCAGACCTTTGGGGCCATGTATGTTGAGTGTAGCGTTAAAACAAGGTACAACGTCAACCTGGTGTTCAACTCGCTGGCAAGCAAGTGGGCCAAACACGTGCCTGTCCAACAGGAAGAGCCATTACGATTAGAATCAGAGACATTTTACCAGGTTCCTTGTTATGGGAAAGATACATGTTCGTTATTCTAAATCAGGGGTCTCCAAACTACGGCCCGCGGGCCGGATGCGGCCCTCGAAGTCCTCTCATCCGGCCCGCGGAGATCTTTTTGTCCAAGGAAAAATCGTTTGTTGGTGATGGCTGAGGAACTTAGCCCAGAAAAATCAAAGACATGCCTGGAAGAAACTGGCCCCCGAACTGAAATTTGATATTTATTGCGGCCCTCGGACTGAAAAGTTTAGAGACCCCTGTTCTAAATCACAAAGATAGCGCAGATTTGTAAAAGTTTAGAAGAATCAGAGACATTTTACCAGATTTCTTGTTATGGGAAAGATACTATTTCGTCATTTCAATTCAATAAAGAGTGCAGATAAAAAAAATTAAAAAATCATCGACATTTTACCAGGTTCCTTGTTATGGAAAAGATACATGTCCGTCATTCTAAGCCACAAACGTAGCGCAGATTTTTAAAAAAAAGTTGTATCAAAATTTGTATTTGGATGAAAACATTCATATTTTTCTAATGTATAAGTTATAACCCATTAACTAAGAAAAGTGGAATGCTTATATTGGTTTGTCTAATACTAAAAAAAAGTGATTTATTGATAATTAAGCATCCATAAAATAGCCTACATTCTAATTTTTTTTTTTAAATCTGTATTTAATGCGGTTACGTCGCTAGGTCGGGTGACACCCCGTAAGGCATGTTATGGTGTCACCCCCTCCCGAAATACACATATATATACACACACATATATATATATATATATATATATATATATATATATAAATATATATATATATATATATATATATATATATATATATATATATATATATATATATATATATATCTAATATATAAAGCTCAATTCTGTAACGCATATGTTTGTTTGTCGCTGGTTATCGATGGATTTAAGTGTTATAATATTATCGTGCGCATTTCTCTAAATTTAGGAGTTAAAAAATTACTATTGAAAGTGTTGGGAAATCATTTTTATTTTTCAAATTACAGTAATAATTGTCGGCATGTTCATTAAACACAAGTTTTAAAAAAATATCATCTTTTACAACAATTCTAATTATGTCTTTATTTAGTCCTATAGCGCTTACTTCCCTTTGATAAATTAGGCAAAACACAATTACTTCCCTTTATAAAACCATTGCATTAGTTAAAAAAGCATTTACTTTTTAATTACTTTGTTTTGGTGTTGGGAAAAAAATAATTACATAATTAGCGGGGATTGATCAAGTGCAAATGTTGTAGGTATTTTACGGATAAGCTTGGGGTATTATAATTGTTCATTAAATTGAAACAGGCGCGTTCGTTTAAGTGAGTGCAAAAACTATGAATAAGTTGGGGTACTATAGTCGTTTATTAAGCTAAAACAGGCGATTCTGCCCTGGGCGTTTATGTTCGCGTTAGTGTTTTCTTTGTGTTTAGGTGGGTTTGCGTTAGTGGTTGCGTTTTGATTTGGTTCGTTTTTGTTCTTTCTTTTTTTCGTTTTTGTTTGTGTTTTTTTCTATGGGTTTGTATTTGTGTTTTTGGTTGGTTTTGCGTTTGGATTTGGTTTGTTTTCGTTTGCTTTTTCGTTGTTTTTTGTGTGTTGGTATTGGTGTTTGTGGTTGTGGTTGGGTTTGTTGTTAGGTTTTTGTTTTCGTTTGTATTTGTAATTGTGTTAGCGTTATGTTTGCGTTTTGTTGTTTTGGTTTTGGTTGGTTGTGGTTTGGGTGGGCAATGCCGGGTTTATGATGATTACTAAACACACAGGTAATGGTCTTTAACAGAAAGGTTTTTCACAGAAGCCAGAGCAGGGCCTGGCCGGGACGGCTAGTATCTAATATATAAAGCTCAGTTCTGTAACGTGTGGCAAAAAAGTTTGTCGTTGACAGTTCTATGGATTTAAGTGTTAGATTTTTTATCGTGCTCATAGTCTAAATTTACGAGTCAAAAAATTACCATTGAAAGTCTTTAAAAACAATTTTCATTCTATTTACTTCAAGAATAATTTTCAATTATAAACGCGACATACAATTTTTAAAAAGTGTATCGACGTTTATAAAATTTCTAAAATTGTGTCGGAAATGTATTGACTGCACAGTTACCTCCCTTTAATAAAAAAAATTCTTAAGAAGAAAGAATTTACATTTTATTACTTTGTTTTTGGTGTTAAGAAAAAAAAATAATTACATAATTAGCGGGGATTGATTAAGTGCAATGTCGTTAGGTATTTTTAACACTGCCTTTTATTTATTCTATACACTGAACATACTGTTCAATAATTTTTTTTTTTAAATTAATAACATTTAATAAGCCAGGTCCTACAAATCCTATATGTTTATTTCTTTCCATTTACGGATAAGCTTGGAGTATTATCATTTTTGTTCACTAAATTGAAACAGGCGCGTCCGCCGGCGCTCTTGCACGGTTCGATTTGGCACCCTGGGCTATCATGTGAGCGCTATGCTGCATAATTTTGTTTTGAAAAGTGCGATAGACAATGGATAAGAAAGGTTACTATAGTCTTTAAGTGAATCAAATCCGGGCGTCCTCCGGCATCCCGACAGGGTGCTATTTGGCGCCCCGGGCCTTCCGGTGTACGCTATGGTATCTACGTTCGCGTGAGTTCCAAAGACTATGAATAAGTTATGTACTATAGTCGTTTACTAAGTTCAATCAGGCGGTGACGTCATGGTGCGTCCTCTAGCGCCCAGACAGGGTGCTATTTGGGGTCCCGGGCCTCCCGTGTTCGGTTTCGCGCCTACGTTCATTAAAGTGAGTGCAAAAGACTATGAATAAGTTGGGGTACTATAGTCGTTTATTAAGCTGAAACAGGCGATTCCGCCCCGGGCTAGACTCTGAGCACTGTGCGTTTATGTTCGCGTTAGTGTTTTCTTTGTGTTTAGGTTGGGTTTGCGTTAGTGGTTGCGTTTTGATTTGGTTCGTTTTTGTTCTTTCTTTTTTCGTTTTCGTTTGTGTTTTATTTTCTTTGCGTTTGTGTTTGTATTTGTGTTTGTGGTTGGTTTTGCGTTTGTATTTGGTTTGTTTTGGTTTGTTTTTTTCGTTTGTGTTTTTTTCTTTGGGTTTGTGGTTGGTTTTGCATTTGGATTTGGTTTGTTTTCGTTGCTTTTTCGTTTGTTTTTTTCTTTGTGTTCGTATTGGTGTTTGTGGTTGTGGTTGGGTTAGTTGTTAGGTTTTTGTTTTCGTTTGTATTTGTAATTGTGTTAGTGTTATGTTTGCGTTTTGTTGTTTTGGTTTTGGTTTGGGTGTGCAATGCCGGGTTTATGATGATTACTAAACACACAGGTAATGGTCTTTAACAGAAAGGTTTTTCACAGAAGCCAGAGCAGGGCCTGGCCGGGACGGCTAGTATATATATAGGCCTATATATATATCATTGCAATTGGTGTCACCACTACCCATTTTGCCTAATGGCGTCAATGTGTGCGCACATAATATTAATCAACCAATTAAATTATGTGGGAAAAAAAGCATTGTTTTCATCGTAATTTATTAGATTTCGTTGTCACCCCCTCCCCTGTCGATGATTGGTTTATCAGTTATGCAAAATAATCAACAAAACCTTTTTTGCTCTGTTTTAAAGTGTGCACAGTGAATAGTAAATATGTTTATCTATAGTCAGTTATTAATATAGGTCAATTGACTCATTCAATCATTAATTGAACTAGCAAAAAGCATATTTCTTCCATATATTTTGCAAATTTCGCTTTTGTGTCACCCCCCCCCCCCTAAATGGTGTAACCCTGAGCGTTCCGCACCCTCTGCCCCCACCTCGCGACAACTCTGATTCAAGCTGGTTGTGGAAATATTTTGTTGCAGTGACCCATGAATGGCTGTGTTTGGTTTAAGATTGTGTGTGTTCTGTCTTTAGATCATGTATGCATGTGCCATATAAGTACTTTTTGTAAGATTTCATAACTTGCTAGGGCAATTAAGGGTCGGCAATAAATGACGTCACTGTCAACTATTTTCACATACCCTCCATCACACATGGTCACGTCAAGATTGACCTCGCCCTCTATAAATAACATCACGACTCGAGCTACAAACCACCACAAAATTGAAGTTCAATTATTTTTAAACATCGCTGTATTTCTAAATTATTGACTGAATTCGAATAATATAGAGTATATTAGGTTAGGTTGGGTTAGGTTAGCCTGACGCCCCTCCTGGGACAAAGGCCGCTGGCAAGAGCTTTCCAGGCGTCTCTGTCCTGGGCTAATCTCTCCAAATGTCCCCAGGTGTATCGAATCTTCTTGGTGTCTTAATATAGAGTATATTAATCAATCATAATAAAATTTCCAAAAATAGTTTTCAAAAAGGCAAAATAACAGTATCTATTCAAATTTTAACATTTCTCACATCGTCACAAAATTACGGACAACCCTCTTCCCCCCTACGAGTTTCACGTCTTTTTTTTTTGACTACTCTTAACTTACAAATTCAACATACGAATCAAGCTTGTCTGGGGTCGTTCATAAATGACGTCACACTCATAGGGAGGAGGGGGGGGCTAATTTTGTGACGGCGTGTGATTAGGGGGAGGGGGTTCAGATGGTGGGACGTCACATTTTTGCATTACCAAAAAGTTCGATAACGAATTTAGCCGTTATTTCGCGTTTGAGAAAACTGTTTTAATAAATTGGAATCGGAGTTGAGTAAATTACTCTATGTTGAAAGAGTTCAGACAAGATTTTGGAAAAATATCCATGTTTTAAGAAAATTCAACTGCAATTTTGAGGGGGGGGGGGGGGTTGTAGGCTGAGGTGTGACGTCATTTTAGGGGGGGGGGTCTGGCTTTTTGTGACGATGTGTGACGGAGGGGAGGGTGGGAGGTAAAAATCGTCAAAAAAAGCTTGACGTCATTTATGGATGACCCCTCTTTGAAATTTTCCTTTTGTTGTAAATATATTTTATGACGTAAATACAAAGACATAGTTGTCAGAAATTCAAGAAAATAAGCATAACACAGCACAAATTATTTTGGTATCAATTGGTATAACCAGAAAATTAATACGTTTAACATATTTTTAACGTAACACAATGAAGCTCTTCAATTGAAAATAAAGTAAACCAATTTACAGTAGGTAATTAAAATGCATTAAAAAATTATTTTCCTTTTAAGTTGAAAAATGCACAACATTATAGTCCAAATAAGTTAAGGAATGTACAATAATATTTTCACATAGTTAAGATTAAGAGTCGTACAAACATCATAAGACACAAGATTACTCGAACAGATCAGTAACCTAAATGAGGATAATGATATAATCTTTATATCTGATATACGAGTCAATCATTGGTATTCTAGAACAGGTCAGACATGGTAATTTTCAAATCTTTGCTCCTGGGGCTGGATGACTTAAAAATTCTGTTGTCCATGGAAAGGGATGGGCAGAGGTCAAAATATATATTCTCTTTTTTAATTTTAAAATTCCTGGGCGCTCGCTTGAAAGATCCAATTATAAAGCGCAGGCATCGAAAACCATTCAGAGAGGATGAAAATTACTTAACAAGGAATCGTGGCATAAAATATATTTACTAATTGTAATATTTGGGAAATGGATAGCAAAGGTAAATAGCGAAGGCTAACACTAACAACCCAAAAGCGACTAAGATGTATTGAAGGTTATTTCCCTTTGGTTTACTGATTCCCTCCCTTGGTAGTTTATTGTGTCGCAAAGAGAGACAACCCTCAGTGTAAGCTGTGTTACAGATGTCACGTGCTTGCTTTAAGTTGCTGTCTGGTCCAAGCAGACGATACTGTGCTGAGAACATAGGACCATACCAGCATCTGAAGGCCAGAACTGGGTCAACGATGAGCAGTCTCCAGAAACCAGGGAATACACCCAGAAGCTTGGCTATTGTGTCTTGGAATTCTAGACACGGCAGCTAAAATTAAAAACAAACTCCAGAAAATCATAACGGTTTATTTTCAAAACATAATTGTTGCATCTGTTAGACAGTGATTATATATCTGTGTATTATGTGATCAAACATACTCACATAATTATAATATTTTCTCTTTCGATTTCGAGTACACAACTTCATCCAAAACTGGACATCGGCTTTCATGACGTCGACAGGAGGAAGACTTAACTTACCCGCAAATATTTTAGCACTGTACCGGCTCTGTGAAGGTAGAGCAGGAGAGGACATAGGTCAAAGTATTTCGTTTCTATTTAAGTTTTTTTCCTATTTTGTTATGTTGAGGATGGTTTGACGCGGATGGTTCACCCGCCAGGGATGTTCCATTAAAAATCAACTACTGCACATCGAGTACTTTTCATAAAGATAAAAAGTATTTAACACGGCATTTCGTCATATAGAACAATCACTATTTGTATAATTTGGGAAATGGGTGGAAAAAATAAATAGTGGAGTCAAGCAATAGGGCTGGTAAGTAGGTCACCAACCAGTTCTACGGCTCAATAAAACCTGCATGAGCCATAGAACTGGTTGGTGACCTACTTACCAACCGTATAGGAGGCAACAAATTACAACAACTTTTTGTCCTCTAGAGTTTCTGATTATCTCCCCTGGTAGTTTACTGTGTCTCAAAGAGAGACAACCCTCAGTGTAAGCTGTGTTACAGATGTCACGTGCTTGCTTCCAAAAAAAAGGATCCAGCAAAAAATGCTCGGAAATTTTAAGAGTCAAGAAAAATATAACAAAGCTCTGTATATTAAAAATACACTAACTTTATTTCACAATAAAATAAAAGCTCTGCCATATTTGGTTTCAATTTGCATATAATTAAGTCTCCTCAGTCTAGCCTTCAATCTGGGCCTAACTAACGAAAAGCAACTTCTGACCGGGGTATAACGCGACGATTGCTATTACTTTTTTTTCAGCCTAACTTAAACTGCAATAAACAATTTTTGTGATTAATCGGAAACCACGACCAAAAGATGGACCAATTTTGTTTCCTCCTCCTAAGATCTATCTTTTTAATTTCTGATTTTCTTCTTTTATGACTTTCGCTCCTTAGAAAGCATAAACTTAGAAACTTCGTCAACAAACTTGATTTGTTTTAATAGCTCTGATGTTGACAATCCAACCTCCCCAATCTCTCTTGTCATGATCTCGTTTGGACATTTTAGATCTTCCTAATTTTTTACCGGTGGATTCCAAACAATTAATTTCACATGCGATTTTATAATAATTATGCAGTTCAATATTAAGAATAATTTAATCCAATTACACCGTGTTAAAGAAATTATATACAATGTAAATAGTATGTATTTAGTAGTCAACTTCAACACTCTTCCTTCATTACCAGTTAATCAAAGTTAAAAAAAAAAAACACCACAGGATTTCTCGATAAGGAGTACGAGTTAGACGTGTCTATTTTTAGCATCTTTTTTACAAATAGATTGCTAATCAATCGAAATGCAGTAGTCTATGATAACACGTTACTCTGAACACGCTGGCAAATCCATATAATATTAAACAGCTCATACATAGTAGGTTAAAAATCGGTTTAACTATTTGACTATAAATTATAATCACACCCACTTCCACATCTTTTAAATCATTAGCAAACGTAACTTGCGTTGAACTCTAGTAAAAGCAAACGTCGCGTTAATATTGTATCCCGACTTAAATGCTTGAGTACAGACGTTAATAGTTAAAAGATAATTATTTCAGTGAGAAAGTGATCCAGACAAACATGGGGGATAATGTCATGAAGGTTATTCTAGTGGGCGACTGGGGAGTCGGCAAGACTTCCGTACTACTGCGGTATGTGAACGATACTTTCAACCAGAGCTGTACATCAACTATAGGAGTCGACTTCAGGTAATTACTCACTTTAGTGATGACTGTGTTAATAGTGTGTTATAACGTTCTTATACACGGTGATTCCGTTCTCTCCAATGTTTGTTACGGAAATCTCTCCTGGGGGGGGGGGGGGTTGGGGGATGGGGTGCACAGACCCTTGGATTATTTCTACCTCCCCGTCTGCGGATAAATGTGAAAACATAATTGTAAAGCTACTCATCTCACCCCCCCACTCAACCCCCCCCCCCCCCCCATTTGAAGAGAAGTCTAATAGAAACCTTGCTTCTGTTTTAAATGGTGAGCAGTCTATACGGCACATTTAGATGACAGATTTTATTGTCAGACATTCGGTTACGCTTAACCCTCTTAACTTCATGTTCGTATTTTTGAATGTACTTAGATACTTTAGCTTAAACTATTTGAGTCGACGTCAGGTAATTGCTAACTTTCGTGATTACTCTGTTAAAAGACTGTTATATTATTGTTACTCATGGTGATTCGATCTCTCCTGGGGGAGGGGGGGGGGTTATGCACTACTCGTTGGATTATGTCCACCTCCCCACCTCCGGGTGCATGTATAAAATTGAATAGAAAAAAATGTTTCAATAATTTCCACGCCTGGGAATTGAAAAATGTCTAATAGAAATCTTGCTTCTATTTAAGATGGTGATCAGTCTATACTGCACATTTGTATTTTAGATTATATTGTCAGATGATCCAGACATTTAGTTAGCCTTAACCCTCTTAAATTGATGTTCGGAATTTTGAATGTACTTAGATACTTGAGCTTTAAACCTATATTTATTCGGCTAGTCAAAGACAAAATTGCAGGTAAGCAAAGCACTCCATTCCTCATACATCACTTGTAGAGCCACATAACAGACCCGCCTTATGACGTATAACCTCTATTTCTCAGTATTCGAAGATTAGATGTGAAAGGCGTGAGAGTAAAGATGATCCTGTGGGACACAGCAGGCCAGGACAGGTTCCGGCACATCCTGTCCAGCTTTTACCGGGGCGCCAACGGTTTGGGCTTTGTCTTCGACCTGACAGACATGGAGAGCTTCCAGAGCGTTAACCGCTGGGTGCAGGTGGCGCAGCAGTGTGGCGCGGAGTGTCGCGTCAAGATGCTGGTGGGAAACAAGGCAGACCTCAAACACGTCGTCAGTAGAGACGCGGCTCTGTCGCTGGCCACGGTGATAGGAGCCCAGTACATAGAGACCAGCGCTAAGGAGGCGACCAATGTGCAGCAGATGTTCACCAACATGGCTGAGATGTGGGTGGATAAGCTGCAAGAACAGGGAGTCTCAGCTGAATTTCAAAGGCCAGCCGTCAGTATTTCAGCTCACAGTGTACAAGGCTACGGGTGTTTAGGATCTGATTCCTGTTCCACACTGTAAATACATGCAATAGTTCTGTCAAATACATGTATCAGTTCTATATTATAGCATTTAAAAAACTTAAACAATGTCCTACACTTAATCACGTAGAGTGCTGCATTTACATTGTTTTTAACAAGGATTCTTTCAGATACTTTTTGGGCGGGGCGGGGAGCTCTTGAAACTCTGAAGGGAACGACGCGCCTAAATTTCCATTGGATGAACTATATTTTTCTATATAAATTAGTAACTATTTTTTATAATACCTGAAAGAAACTATATTTTAATGAAACCATGTTCATGGGATGGTATACGCGTTTCTTATACTAAATGTTTAATTTTATATGCATGTGTACTAAGACCAATCAGTGTAAATGCATGCCAAGTACATTAGATGTAAATGTGTACTTTGTACCTTTTATAAAATTGTGCTATCATAAAACTCTATTAAAAACTTTAAATAATTTGTCTCTATTTTACACAGGGAAATTGTATTTATTTTATTTTAAAAAAGAATTTTACAAAAGAACCCCCTCCCCAATAAGTCTCGCAACAATTTAGTATTGTGAGTGTCCTGTCTTAATTATTGTGTCATGTATTTAATTTAGTATTTTGAGTGTCTTGTTTTTAGTTTAATATTCTAAGTGTCTTGTCTTTAGTTTAGCATTGAGTGTGTCCTGTTTTTAGTTTAATAACGTTAGTGTCTTGACTTTAGTATTGTGAATGTCATGTTTTTGTTTAGCATTGCGTGTATCTTTTTTTAGGGTTGTGCGTGTCCTGGCGTTAGTATTGTGAGTGTCCTGTTTTGGTTTAGCATTGAAAGTGACCGGTTTTGGGGTTTGTGAGTGTCCTTTCTATGTTTGTGAGTGTCCTGTTTGTGAGTTACCTGTCTCAAGGTTAACACACTTAAGTAACTGACTGTTGTATAAATTTTAGGTAAGAAATTTGGTCTAGCAAAAAAATCAGTTCACTTTCTAATTAAACACATTAATCAAGACGAGCCGACTCGCGACGTAGCACACGCCGCTATTTATTTATTTTCTACTTTCCAGCTATTCATAATTTGTGAATTCGATATTACCAATGTTGCGACTGAAAATATTTGCTTTAAAACACTATCAGTAGCTCGTGATAACTCCTCTCACTCTAACCCCCCCCCCCCCCCCGGAAAGCAGCCTCCCCTTAGTTACCTCGCCTTAGTTACAAATCGTTTAAAAACTAAATTATCTGCTCTTAATAGCCGTTACTAATTCGACCCGGCTCTACGGTTGTAAACATTGAACATGAACTTACCAGACTGGAGAGCGAGGTAGGGGGAGAGAGGACGGTTAGGTAGTCGGCTTGCTGCGTCGTGGTGTCCATAAACTCACTGTATGGGGAGAGAGGCCAAGGCTCTACATTTATCTTCTAGTAAAGTTGTAGGTTATCACATAAAAGGGTTGTTCCAGAGCTTTCTTTCTTTACGGGCAACACGGGCTCAGGAGGTTTTTTCCCATTAGCCAGACAGGCCTCAACACGGCAAACTCCGACTAACTGGCTTGATAACCGTGAATCGGTCGCTTCTGTACTTCGGTCCTCACCAGGCTTATCTTCCAACCCATTGAACGCAGGGTTAATTCTTACGCCACCTTCTAGTACCCGGCTCAACTGTAGGGGTAGTTTGGACCTAAAAAGTTTAAACCAGTTCTTCCTTCCTCCCCTGGTACATCGTTCTGCCTGGTTTGTGAGGGCGTCAGTAGCCAGAGCTACACATCAACTTTTGGAGTCGACCTTAGGTAATTGCTCAGTTCATTCGTCGAGTGACTCTTTGGATGGTTACCTAATATACACACAGGGTGATTCTACTAGTCTAAGCTTTTTGACCGTGTTACAAGGGTGTTTTACCATACTGTAAGATGTAGTGATTATATTGTCAAGTGTTTATTTTGGGCTTATCTCCGTTAGGTTTGGGTGGGAATGGGGGGGGGGGCGGGGGGAAATGAAAGGATACTGCTTTCCCAAGAGTACACCGGCACGCCCCACATCTCAGGACGTAATCGAAACAACATTAAATTTATATGGAAATTAAGTACCACGTGTTTCAATTGCCACCTTCCCCAAGTTACAAGTCACCCTCGTGTTGTACCCCCCCTACCTCCAGAAAAAAATGCATGAACGAAACCCTGCTTATGTATAGAATTGATAATCAGTGTATATTGCGCATTGTGATATAGTGCAGATGATTCAGAGATTCCCGCAGTTTACACTATAGCCCACTTAAATTATGTACATGGCTACAAGAGTATTGGTTCTGATTCCTGTTCCACACTGTACATCCATGTGTTAATTCTTTCTTGTGGTATTTCACATTGTCCTCCAATGTGGTATATTTAAAATGCTTTGTAACAGGGTTAATTTTAGAGACTTCTTTATGGCGTGGTGGGGAGGGGAAATTAAACTAAATCTTTTTAGAAGAGGTGGGGTCGGACAGACATAACATTTCCGGTTGGGGTAGGATGCAGGTTTAAGTATAATGTAAATTTCTATATAAATTATAAATGTTTTTCTGAAGAGATTTTTTACAGTCGCCAGTGTGATTACATAGCTCAATAGATAGTAGATGTATATATATGGCGACAGAGAATTTTTCCACATCATCAGATAAAAATATTCAGACCAAAGCATCACCAGGTAAACACGATTGCCTATAGCGTACAAAAAGCAGGTGACGGTACATAGAACATTTTGATTTATAACCAACCCGGAACATAACTCCCGCTGATTGTCAAACGAAGACAAACTATCAATATATACTCAACATTTCGATTGGATGTTTGAAAGATTAGTCTTATCATAGCACGCGATAATACAGATGGCTGACTTATCCCTTTGGCTTGGTGAAATTGTTTACTTTCTATTGTTGATGCGAAATAACGTTTACTAGCTATAAGACAGAATGGTAAGTTTTATTTTAAAAATAGATACAGATCCCTTTATGTAATTAAATGAACACATTAGTATTATTAAATAAACCGGGAGTGATCTCCCCTGAACTTTCTCGAATATTCTTATATAAAAAACATGGGGTGGTAACTCGGGATATAGACATGAATTTTAATCCATTTTAAATACTTAAACTTTTTAAAATAGAATAAAATCTCGTAGAAAAAAGAATCGCACACCTGCGAACGCCTTTTAAAATGTGTATAATAGGGCGGAATATTATTAGTACTTTATAAATTTACATTCGTTTTTTTTTTTGAGAAATTGGAAATAGCGTAAATTACTACTTCCGATCAACGGAAATTACTCAATATTCGACAGAAGGTAGAGAACTAGATCTTTTACTTACATGTGAAATTTCATTTATCTATCTGAAATAGTACTCAAGTTATAGGCTTTTGAAAAATTCAAAGTAGAAAAAGTTCAACTTCCGTTTATCGGAAATCGTTCAAAAGTTGATACGGATCTTCGATTTTGATAAAATACTTATACATGAAATTTCATCAACCTAGCTGTGACGGTACTCAAGTGATCGTGTTTACACACAGACACACACACACACAGACAGACATACGGACAGAATTGCAAAGTCCAGTTTTTACGACTCGATAACGCATAAAACGCCAAAATGTTTATATATTTGTATATATATAATTTTTGCCTGATTAAAATAAGTCCTCTATACTCCGGATGTGATAAAGGACTGAGGAGTAAAACGGTGAAAACTGTCAAAATTTCATGTTATTTTTGTGCACGATTACAATACTTTCTCTATACGTCGTATATACAAGAAAGTAGAAATGAGGTTAAAGATACAACTGGAGCTATCAATGATTTTGCGTTTCTACATTGCAGACTGAGACCATGAATGTTTCAAGCAAAAGAATGAAAGTGATCTTGTTGGGGGACAGTGACGTAGGGAAGACGTCTTTACTGACACGCTTCAGTCAAGGCTACTTTCACATTTGTTATCAAATGATCATCCCAGAATACAGGTAATATTTAAATACAAGATAACGGGCCCATCAAAGGAGAAATGCAACGGGCGCTAGGTTGATAGAGTTATCTTTTTTCTCTAAACCGAAACAAAACCAAAACCACCACCTCAACTTCATATTTAACCGATAGAGAAAAATGTCATTGAAAACGGATTTGTATCCAGAATCGGCATTTTAACAGGTTTAAACCTTGATCTACACGTAGTTACTGTACATTGGTACTAAATATAGTCGTAGTCATACCCCTATAACTTGCACTTAAGCTCAAACATGACAGTCGTATTTAGAGTTTCTTTCAGTCGACTCTAACGGGGGGGGGGGGAAAGAAAGATTAGGGGCTGAGGAAACACCCCTCCCCCCACCTACCCCGAAGCACGTCTATCGTGCCCTTCAACGAAATAGAATTTATATAAAATATATTTTTACCATATATTCTGTCCCTCCCCAGAAAATTTAGTCGCCCCCCTCAAAACATTTTAAGTACTCCATCCTTCTTCAGAGAGGAAAAAGTCTGAAAGAAACACTGGTCGCATTTGAAGATCCTACAGACTTAAGGTAGAAACTACTTCTATTATATAGTATCGTTTCCTGCCGCTAAACCTCAGTCATGAAGATAGAGTTTCTTTTTGTTTCTCAAGGGGTGGGGGCACTATACGTTTTTGGAAGGAATGCGGATTTAATTCTCGGGGGGGGGGGGGGGGGGGGAGGGGGGTGACACGGGTAAAAGTATATATTTTCTATATAAATTCTATTTTGTTTGGGGGAAGGGGAAGCGGTAAATATTCTTCCGCGGGGGGGGGGGGGGCAGGGGGATGGGGCTCTGCCTCTATACCCAATGAAATGCCTGAAAGAAACTCTGTACGCAGACCCCTTTTAAGATTAGAGAAATAAAAAAGGTGGTAATGTTAATGTCTTTATCATCAAGTATCGAAGACGTCATTATTACTGATTTTTTATTTCGGTAATGGTTTTTAATGCTATATTTAATCTAAAACCAATGACGTCATAGTATTGTGTGTACTTTTCGGCTTTAGAAAATTACCTTCTATATATTCAATATGACGTCACTTTTCGTATTCCGTTTGATTGTGAATGCTGTACTTTCCATGTGTTTTCTCTATATTGTTCTCGACAGATATATACAGTCACATAGTGGCAGAAGAGTGAAATTATTATTATGGATTCGACATGCCACTCTCTTAAAATTGTATACAATTTTAGAATAATGATTATTAATAAGCTTTTATTTTGTTAACAATATCTCCCTTTTTTGTCCGTTTGTGGCGTGTAGCAAATTTTGTATCTCTATTTTGAACCATTTCTAATGCATCTCTTAAGTTAAAACATTCTAGATACATTGGGCTTCAGTGACATCGCTAGAATATATAATTCACCATTACATTAGATATTAAATAAGCCATTAAAAAAAAACGAAAGCTTTTAAAAACAGTTTGAGATTGTGCTAGCTATCTCTCGATTAGCTTGTAGCTTTGACTTTAGAGTGCTACCTCGGGCGTTAAGAAAGGGCAGGCAATTGTCTTTTAAATATCGCAAACTACTGATCTGGTTACAAGATTATATTCACAAGAAATGTCGACTTCATGAAAAACTAATTACATAAAAAGTGGAAAGTAAAACCAATATAAAATCTTATAATAAACTTTCAAAATACAATTGAAAATAAACGAAAATTGCTTTCTTTAATAAATCGCTAAAATATGCTTTAATTGCCTTCTAGTAATAAGGACGTGGACGTCTCAGGGGTAAAGGTCAAGCTACAGATATGGGATACAGCTGGCCAAGGGCGCTACCGAGTAATAAGAGAGGGTTATTACAGGGACGTTGCTGGTATTGTTATAGTTTTTGACCTGACCAGCAAGTCCAGCTTCGACAACATCTAACATTGGTTGCAACAGGTCCACGAACATGCTGGAGAAAATGTTGACATTGTACTGGTCGGAAACAAGGTTGACCTGGCCGAGAGCCGAGCCATAGACCACGAGACGGCCTCCTGCCTGGCCCAGACCATTGGGGCCATGTATGTCGAGTGTAGCGTTAAAAATGATGCCAACGTCGACCTGGTGTTCACATCGTTGGCAAGCAAGTTCGCCGATCGCGTGCCTGTCCAACAGGAAGAGCCGGTACGTTTAGAATCAGAGACATTTTACCAGGTTCCCTGCTTTGGTAAAGATACATGTTCATCATTCTAAGTTACAAAGATAGCGCCGTCAAAACGCATCAAAATCAAAATTGTGTAAAAACCGGGACATTACTGATTTTTAATTATCAAAATATAAATAATTCACACCGAGATATGTGGAAGACTTATATTCACTTGTTTATACTTGAAATCATCTAAATCATTGCGCGAGCATCCATCAAATATATTAAATAAAAAAAAATTAAACTAAATTTTAAAAAATCTGTATTCATTGTCTTTTTACTGAAAGTTGAAATTCGTGTTTATCAGTTGTAAAGGATATGTGTACACTCTGTTTAGTTTAGCATGTTGAGTGGTGGGTGTCCTGTCTTCATTTAAGGATTGTAGGTGTCTTTTATTTATTTGATGATTGTGTCTTCTATTTATTTGATGATTGTAAGTGTCTTCTATTTATATGAGGGTTGTGTTTTGTATTTTTTTAATGATTGCAAGTGACTTGTTTTTATTTAAGAATTGAGAGAATCTTTATTGAAGGATTGTAAGTGTCTATTTTTATAGTGTTTGACCTGTCGATAAAGTCCAGCTTCGACAACATCCAACGTTGGTTGAACCAGGTTCACGAATATGCTGGAGAAAATGTTGACATTGTACTGGTCGGCAACAAGGTTGACCTGGCCGAGAGTCGAGCCATAGACCACGAGACGGCCTCATCCCTGGCCCAGACCATTGGGGCCATGTATGTTGAGTGTAGCGCTAAAACAGGGGGCCAACGTCGACCTGGTGTTTACATCGCTGGCAAGCAAGTGGGCCAAACACGTGCCTATACAACAGGAAGAGCCATTACGTTTAAAATCAGAAACATTTTACCAGGTTCCTTGTTATGGGAAAGATACATGTTCGTTATTCTAAATCACAAAGATAGCGCAGATAAAATAGTTTAGAAGAATCAGAGACATTTTACTAGGCTCCTTGCTTTGGGGAAAGATACATGTTCGAGATTCAAAGTCACAAGATAGCGCAGTACGAACACTTGAATCAAAATCAAAACTGAGTAAAAACCGGGACATTCATAATTTATAATTATCAAAATATAAATAATTCACCGAGATATGTGGAAGACGTATGCTCACATGTTTGTACTTGAAATCACCTAAATCATTGCGCGAGCATACATCAAAAATATTAAATTTAAAAAAAACTGTGTTCAGTGTCTCTTTACTGAAAATTGAAAAATCGTGTTTATCAGTCGTAAAGAATATGTTTATATTGTGTTTAGTTTAGCATGGTGAGTGGTGGGTGTCCTGTCTTCATTTAAGGATTGTAATTGTCTTTTACTTATTTGATGATTGTGTCTTCTACTTATTTGATAATTGTAAGTGTATTCTATTTATTTGAGGGTTGTGTTTTGTATTTTTTTAATGATTGCAAGTGTCTTGTTTTATTTGAGGATTGAGAGTGTCTTTATTGAAGGATTGTAAGTGTCTATATAAAAAAATGTTAAAGTAATTAAACATGGATTAAAACTCATGTCTATATCCCGCGCTGCCACCCCCAGTAGTGTAGAAATTCAAAAAAGTTTATGGGAGATCACTACCGGTTTATTTTTCTAGACTGGGTCAAATGCGGACATGTTATCTTTCAGATAATATTCTCCTGAAGGTAATGCGCTTGAAATATTCTGAGCTGGAGAGGACAATCGTCTAAGTATTTAGTTTCAAGGGGAGGGGATGAAGTTAAAAATCACTTCTTCACAGCGAATACCTTTCATAAAAGATAAAAAGTATTCAACAAAGCATTGTGTCATACAGTATGATCACTATTTTTATAATTTGGGAAATGGATGAAAAAAATAAATAGCGCAGTCAAGCAATAAGAGACAACAAATTACAACAACCATGAGCCTTTTTAGACCTCTAGATTTTCTGATTCCCCCTATGGTTGTTAACTGTGTCTCAAAGAGAGACAACTCTCAGTGTAAATTGTGTTACAGATGTCACGTGCTTGCTTCCAGTTGCTGTCTGGTCCAAGCAGACGATACTGTGCTGAGAACATAGGACCATACCAGCATCTGTAGGCCAGAACTGGGTCAACGATGAGCAGTCTCCAGAAATAAGGCAACACGACGGCAGCGCTGAGGCTGGGAACACCGTCTTCAGAAGTACCTAACACTAAAATTCTAAAGACATATGCAAGTAATTTATTTTAATAATGCGTGTTTGCTACAAAAGTCCTATATCCTGAGGGTACATTCGCTTACCATATATCATACACTTTGGTAAACAGCTCAACGACAAAGGAAAATGCTTTTGTGTTAAATGTTCCAAAATTTACAAATTTATTAACAAGCAATGCCTCATGTGTACACTACTACCGGATGTTAAACATTGGCTATATAATTTATTCTGCCATAGTTCAATGAACTGGATAGTGTATTACATGTATGAAAAGTATATACCGCCACCATGTATTGTCAAAACGGACAGACAACTAAATGGCCCATACAAAAAGGCCTCTGCAAAATGACCTCGACAAAACAATCCTAGCAGTTCGTCTAAGTCAAAACGGCCAGCAAAAAATGCGGATCAAAAAAAAAAAATGATCCCAAAAAAAAAAAAACAACAGCGCTGAAATTTTAAGAACTAAGAAAAATATAAAAAAAGCTATGCATATTAAAAATACATAACTTTATTTCACAATAAAAAAAAAAAAACCTCTGACATTTCGTTGCAATTTTCATATAAATAAGTCCCCTCAGTCTATCGTTAAATCTGGGCTTAACTAACGAAATACAACTTCTGACCGGGGCATAACGCGACGACTGCTATTGCTTTGTTACTTTTTTACAAGCTTTTATTTAACTCACTTCCTCTGTCTGCCGTCAGTCGTTATTCAGCCTAACTTAAACTGTAATAAACAATTTTCATGATTAATCGGAAGACATGGCCAAAAAGATGGACCAATTTTGTTTACTCCTCCTACGATCTATCTTTTTAATTTCTGATTTTCTTCTTTTATGACTTTCGCTCCTGAGGAAGCATAGACTCAGAAACTTTGTCAATTAACTTGATTTGTTTTAACAGCTCTGGTGTCGACAACTCAACCTCACAATCTCTCTTGTCATGATCTCGTTTGGAAATTTTAGATCTTCCTTCTTTTTCCCCTGCGGATTCCAAACAATTAATTTCAACTACCAAGATTATACAGTGCAACATTAAAAATAATGTAATCCAACTACACGGTGTTATAGAAATTATAAACAATGTAAATATTGAATTCAGTAGTCAAGTCAACCCTCCTTCTTCATTATTAAGTAATCAAAGTTTAAAAAAAAACACAGGAATTCTCGATACGGTATACGAGTCAGACATGTCTATTTTTAGCATCGTATTGACAAATAGATTGCTAATCAATCGAAATACAATAGCCTATGATAACACGTGACCCTGAACACGCCGACCAAGCCAAATAATATTAACCATCTCGTATATGGCGGTTAAGTAACCAGCAAAAGTTTTTGAATATTGTAGTCACAACAATTTCCACATCTTTTAAATCATTAGCAAATGTAATTGGAGTAAAAAAAAAGTCACGTTATTCTTGTAGATTGTATTACGACCTTACCGCAAGAGTGCAGACGTTAATAGTTAAAAGCTAATTATTGTGAAGATGTGTGACAGTGGGAAGTGAAGGTAAAAATCGTCAAACAAACGTGACGTCATTTACGGATAACACCCCGAAACACACGGTTATTCAAGAATAACGGGTTGTCTAGTAACTAACAGTAAAGAAACTTAATGAACGCATCCAACCATCCTTGACCTCTTGAAAAATTAGAAAAACAAACAATATATTAAAACTATTTTAACTAAATGGAAACATTATGTACTTTGTTGAAATTTTTTAAATTGAAAAGTAAAATATGTCACTTGTAATGAGTTTGTTTTAGTCTAAGCTGTTTACTTTTTCTTTCCGTTGCCCAAATATCTATTTATGGCTAAAACAAGAGTTTGCTTACAAGTTTGAATATATTTTTTATCAGTTTGGTTACATGAGAGAATCTACACTGTGTGTACAGCTGTAAAATACGTATTTAGGTACAGAATAAAGTTCTCTCTGTTCCCAAGTTAGTACATTAAAAAAATATTCACTGTGACGAAGCACAGGTATGCAGCTAGTTAAAATATATTATGTATAACGAGCCCGTTATAAAACGCCCTGTATTTGTCACGTGGAAACAAACTATCTGTATTGAACCAAACATCTCGATCAGATGTTTAAAAGATTAGTGTCATGACCACATGACCTATGGCTGACTTATCACGAGAGCTTGGTGAAATTATTTGCTCTCTATTGCTGGATACGAACTAGCGTCTAACACTAAAAGACAGAATGGTAAGTTTTATTTTAAAATAGATACAGCTCAATCTTTTATCAGCAATGAGAGAAATATATACGTATTTTAATACAATAAGCTCACACAGAAATCAAGAGATATTAAATAAGCTACCAACGTGTTTTACAACAATACAAAACAGAATAGTGAATTTCTTTTTTGAAATAGACACAACTCAGGTTTCTTTTTCACCTACAGAAAAATATGGAATATTATAAAACAGTCAGCTCTTTATTACTGACTCGCAGACAAACTGTGAGATAAAAAGATATTTATACTACTTTGCATTACAGACTGAGAAGAGATGTGATTCCAGCAACACTATGAAAGTGATTGTTGTGGGAGACTCGGGTGTTGGGAAGACAACTTTACTGTTAAACTACACCCAAGACCGAGTTGCTTTTGACAGCACCTTTAAAACAACCCTTTCAGTGGATTTTAGGTAAACGTTTCATATTTTTTACAGGTCATTTGCTCAAATATGACCGAATTCTAGATACTAAAATTTTGTATATTTCAGCTCAAAGATAGTGGAGGTCTCAGGGGTAGAGGTCAAGCTACAACTATGGGATACGCACGGCCAAGAACGCTACCAAGCTATGGGAACGCATTATTACAGAAGCGCTATCGGTATTATTATAGTGTTTGACCTGTCGAGAAAGTCCAGCTTCGACAACATCCAACGGTGGTTGAACCAGGTTCACGAACATGCCCGAGAAAATGTTGACATTATACTGGTCGGCAACAAGGTTGACCTGGCCGAGAGCCGAGTCATAGACCACGAGACGGCCTCCTCCCTGGCCCAGACCATTGGGGCCATGTATGTTGAGTGTAGCGCTAAAACAGGGGCCAACGTCGACCTGGTGTTCACATCGTTGGCCAGCAAGTTGGCAAATCGCGAGCCTGTCCAACAGGAAGAGCTGGTACTGGTACGCTTAGAATCAGAACCATCTTACCAGGTTCCTTGCTTTGGAAAAAATACATGTTCGTCAATATAAGCCTCAAAGATGACGCAAAAAAAAACAACCTGAAGGCAATAAAATTGTAATTTGAAGAAAAATTATACATTTATTCTCCAGTGACTGAAGTGTGCATCTATCTCTTTGGTTTTATTATTATTATTATTATTATTATTATTATTATTATTATTATTAATACAATTATTTTGCTAGTTCACACTAAACGCAAATGTAGCATTCGGCTCCTGGTAAAGGACAGGTTTTTATGATTACAAAGTAGTCCGTTATTATAATGTTGGTATATATATGTTTTAACTATGTTTAGTTCTGTTTTGTGTGTGTGTGGTGTATACTTTTCTGATTATTATGTTTACTTTATTGGATGGTCGCACGTAATGCATTGTATCGTATTGTTGGTTAACATTATATGAGGAAGCATTTCTTGTGCGAGGTGTAAGTACCTTGGCTAACTGAGCCCAATTTGAATTTGTGGATGGGGAAGATAAAGGTTCTCAGAGTGTTAACTAAGATTCTCTAAGACACTTGGAAAAAATATGTTGTGTATTTTAGATATTTTTCATTACACGTTTATTTTGTATGACTTTCTGTGGCATTGTAGTAAGCCAGGGACATGTTGGGTCGCCTATCACATCCCCAGGGGAGCAATATTTCCAAATTTATTCATGCTACCCTTATTGTATATTGGGAAGTGTATTAATGTAGACAGTACCTTTTTGTTGACTGTCACTTCTATGGGGGATATCCTTGAGACCCCATGGGTAGATGTCGTTGGGTCTAATCAATTTTGATGTTTTGTGAATTTGTCTTGAGAGGACCACTTGTGGATATTGTAAAAAAAATGGTTGTAACACTTGCTTGACGGTCAAACTTAATTTGACATTGTGCATTCCTTAATTAGGTCTTGTATGTCCCATTTGTTTATATGATTCTAATGTTAATATTCTTTATATTGCCACTTTACTTCTTATACTCTTAATTTCTCACTTATCTGTTAATATTTTTTCAGGTTTGATTGTCTTCTGATTATGGTGTTTTGTCCTATTTTTCTTTTAGTTTCCTTAAATTTGTATTGCTAGGTTAAGAGTAAACCAAGCTGGGTTTAGTCAGATTTGCTCTGACGTCACATACTAATTAAAGTCCTAGGGATTAGGTTAGGTACCTCCCAAGTCAAGGCTTACTCATAATGCTCTAATGGCTAAGGTATAACACATTGTATTAGCATGTGTAATACTATAATTATCAAATCGTTTTAAAAATGAGCATCCAGCAAATAGCTTACTTTTCAATTTTTAAAAGTCTGTGCTCATTGTCTGTTTGTTAGTATTTAGAACATAATGCTTAAGTGAAGTGACTCGTACGTGTACTTTTATTTTAGTATAGCATTGTGAGTGTCGTGTCTTTAATTTAGTATTCAAAGTGTCTCGTCATTATTTAAGTATTGTGAGTGTCTTATGTTTAGTTTTGTTTTGTATCTTGTCTGTACTTTAGCATTGCGCGTGTCCTGACTTTAATTTAGTATTATACGTGTCTTGTACTTAGTTTAGCATTGTGAGTGTCTTGTCTGTAGTTTAGTACTAGCCGTCCAGGTTTTAAAGGACCCTGACTTGTGTATTTATTACGAAGCATATACCCGGCTTAGCACGGGTTTAGGAAAAATATTATTTTTTCATTTAAATATCCACACTGTGTTCGTCAAAACGGCACGTGAAAAAACTGCCGCTATCAAAGGGTCTTGACAAAAACAACCTCATCCACGTCAATAGAGCCAGTGACAAATGCACCCTGTCAATAATAGTCTTGTAACAGACTCTATTATTGGGTATGATTATTATATTGTATTTAACATGAAGTTGTATAAATGTAGAGTACATGGCCAACGGAAGTACTGTGTGAGCGACTGGTCACTTTTTTCCATGCTTTTTGTGAGATCACTCACTGACGTAAGGTGAGAGAATGTAATGTGTAAAAGGGAAGAGCAAGGTGAACGAAGCGTGCTTGCCTGTGTCTGTGTATTAAGATGTAAGATGTCACCACGTCACTTTGTTCTAGATTGTAATTTGATAGTTGTTTCTTCTTCAATGGATTATCGTCATTATTCTTGTGGATCTATGTAAATAAAGTTGAAAGTTAAAAAGCACTGTTCATCCTGTTCTTGGATGAAAGAACCCACAATAACGACCGAATTGTCATATCAATAAATACGAGTTGTTACAAGTCTCAACGAAAGTACAAATAGACTCCCGTGAATATGACTCCGGACAATTAAGCTCTCATTTGATTGGTTCCAGACAAAAGGTCGCCAGTCATCAGAACTCCAGAGAAAAGACTTCTATTTAATATGACCCATGTCAGTTTAACCCTTTCTTCTTCAGAGTTAGCAAATCCAGCACACTATTTTTACATTATTCTATCTAGTGTAAAATTTTATGTTTTTCAAATTGTAATGGTGATATAGTTTTATTACGTTTATCAAATAACTTGGTGGGCTGTTTCAAATCGATGTTCTAGAAGATAGGTCCAAGGTCTACATTAAATTTTATCTTCAGAATACTTGTAGTTTATCACAAAGAAGATTGTAACAGAGCTAAACATCAATTATTGGAGTTGACCTTATGTATTTGCTCAGTTCATTGACCTCAGGTATTTGCTCAGTTCATTGACCTCAGTTATTTGCTCAGTTCATTGACCTCATGTATTTGCTCAGTTCATTGACCTTATGTATTTGCTCAGTTCATTGACCTCAGCTATTTGCTTAGTTCATTGACCTCAGGTATTTGCTCAGTTCTTTTACCTCAGGTATTTGCTCAGTTCATTGACCTCAGGTAGTTGCTCAGTTCTTTGACCTCAGGTAGTTGCTCAGTTCATTGACCTCAGGTAGTTGCTCAGTTCATTGACCTCAGGTATTTGCTCAGTTCATTGACCTCATGTATTTGCTCAGTTCATTGACCTTATGTATTTGCTCAGTTCATTGACCTCAGGTATTTGCTCAGTTCATTGACCTCAGGTATTTGCTCAGTTCATTGACCTCAGGTAGTTGCTCAGTTCATTGACCTCAGGTAGTTGTTCAGTTCATTGACCTCATGTATTTGCTCAGTTCATTGACCTTATGTATTTGCTCAGTTCATTGACCTCAGGTATTTGCTCAGTTCATTGACCTCAGGTATTTGCTCAGTTCATTGACCTCAGGTATTTGCTCAGTTCATTGACCTCAGGTATTTGCTCAGTTCATTGACCTCAGGTATTTGCTCAGTTCATTGACCTCAGGTAGTTGCTCAGTTCATTGACCTCAGGTAGTTGCTCAGTTCATTGACCTCAGGTATTTGCTCAGTTCATTGACCTCAGGTATTTGCTCAGTTCATTGACCTCAGGTATTTGCTCAGTTCAGTAGTCGAATCACTATTCTTGTGGTGATCCTAATATACACGGGGTGATTCTACTGGTGTAAGCGGCTATAAATGTGTTGAAAGGGTGTTATATCACACTTTTAGATGTAATGATTATCTTGTCTAGTGTTTTTTTTTTGGGTTTATCCCCGCGAGGGGTTGGAAAGAATACTGCCTTCTCAAGAGTGCGACCACAGCCACCACCCCCTCCCTGCTTTCAGGACGTATTAAAAACAACATGACAATTAGGTACGATACGTTTCAATAGCCACATTTCGCAAGTTTTTCAAGTGACCTTTCTGATCTCTCCCCCCTCCCACCTTAAGAAAAAAATGCATAAACAAAATCCTGCTTGTGTAAGATAATAATAAGTGTATGTTGCACATTGTGGTTAAGGGTAAATAACTCCGAGATTCCATAAATGACGACAAGCTTATTTTGACGATTTTTACCCCCCCCCCCCTTCCCTCCGTCACACCATCACGAAAAACCACCCCCTAAAATGACGTCACACCTCAGTCTACAACACCCCTTAAAAATTGCAATTGATTTTTCTTAATTGAAATCTTTCCAAATTCTTGTCTGATCTCCATCGACCAAAAATTGTTTTCTAACATTGCTTTTTTATAATGCAAAAGTGTGATGTCATACCATCTGAACCCTTGCCCTAACTCCCCCTCACCACAAACCATCACAAAATTACGGACGCCCCCCCCCCCCCAGATAAAAAAGATTGACTGTAGCGTGGCCAAAAACAGATGACAATACAATGAATTTAGTGGTGTATAACCGACCCGGAACAAAACTCCCGCTGATAGTCTATGAAAACAAACTATCAACATTCACTCCACATCTCTATTGGATGTTTGAAAGATTAGTGTTATCATAACCACACATGATAACACAGGTGGGTGATTTAACCCGTTGGCTTGTGAAGTTCTATTATTGATGAGAACTAAAATTTACTGGCTATAAGACAGAATGGTAAGTTTTTATTTTTATTTTAAAAATAGATACAGATCCATTTTGTCAGTAAAAGAAATTATTCGTACTATTAAAAAAATAAGCTCAAAAGTAAAACTGGAACTATCAACGTGTTTTTAAATTTCTACATTGCAGAATCAGATGATGGGCTGTCCAAACAATAGAATGAGAGTGATCATGTTGGGGGACTATGGCGTAGGGAAGACATGTTTAATGAATCGCTATTTGTTTGACCAATTTGACCTCTATTATCGAAAATTCTACGTAGAATTCGGGTAACCTTTACATATATGATATTTCGCTCACAATATCTGCTTTTTTTGTTCAGTTGTGGCTCATGACATATTTTGTGCCTATATTTTAAGCTATTTGTAATGCACAGGTCTAATTTAAACATTCTAGATAAATGCGTCTTCGGTGTGAACGCCAGACTATTTCATTTTTTTCATTCATTCAATGTTATATAAGACATTAATAAAATAACTTTTAAAAGATTAAGAGATAAATTAAGTTGTAGCGATCGATCGATTAACTTGTTGATTTGACATGGGCGTTAAGAAAGGGCAGGTAATTATCTTTAAAAGATTGGAAGCTACTGATCGATGTCGTGACGACCTCATTAAAAACGCAGTATTAAAAAAAGGTGGAAAGTAAAGCAGAAATAAAATCTTTAAGCGTTTAATTACACTGAAAATAAACCAAACTGGCTTTTTAGTAAAAGTATTAATCGCTAAAATATTTTTTTCCAGAAATAGGACAGTTGACGTCTTCGGGGTAAAGGTGAAGCTTCAGATTTGGGATACGTTTGACCAAGAGCGCTTAGGCTGGGAGCTCTTCACCGCGATAACAAAGAGTTATTACAGAGATGTTGCTGGTATTGTTATGGTTTTTGACCTGACCAAAAAGTCCAGCTTCGACAACATCCAATATTGGTTGCAACAGGTCCACGAACATGCTGGAGAAAATGTTGACATTGTACTGGTCGGCAACAAGGTTGACCTGGCCGAGAGCCGAGCCATAGACCACGAGACGGCCTCCTCCCTGGCCCAGACCATTGGGGCCATGTATGTTGAGTGTAGCGCTAAAACAGGGGCCAACGTCAACCTGGTGTTCACATCCCTGGCCAGCAAGTTGGTCAATCGTGTGCCTGTCCAACAGGAAGAGCCGGTACGTTTACAATCAGGGACACTGGATGAGGTTCCTTGCTATGGCAAAGATACATGTTCGTTATTCTGAATCACAAAGATACAGCAGATAAAAAAGTTTAGAAGAATCAGAGACATTTTACTAGGCTCCTTGCTTTGGGAAAGATACATGTTCGAGATTCAAAGTCACAAAGATAGCGCAGTACGAACACTTGAATCAAAATCAAAACTGAGTAAAAACCGGGACATTCATAATTTATAATTATCAAAATATAAATAATTCACCGAGATATGTGGGAGACTTATATTCACTTGTTTGTACTTAAAATCATCTAAATCATTGCGCGAGAATACATCAAAAATATTAAATTTAAAAAAAAAACTGTGTTGAGTGTCTCTTTACTGAAAATTGAAAAATCGTGTTTATCAGTCGTAAAGAATATGTTTATATTGTGTTTAGTTTAGCATGGTGAGTGGTGGGTGTTCTGTCTTCATTTAAGGATTGTAATTGTCTTTTATTTATTTGATGATTGTGTCTTCTATTTATTTGATAATTGTAAGTGTATTCTATTTATTTGAGGATTGTGTTTTGTATTTTTTAATGATTGCAAGTGTCTTGTTTTATTTGAGGATTGAGAGTGTCTTCATTGAAGGATTGTAAGTGCCTATTTAAAAAAAAATGTTTAAGTAATTAAACATGGATTAAAAATCACGTCTATATCCCGCGCTGCCACCCCCAGTAGTGTAGAAATTCGAAAAAGTTTACAAGAGATCACTACCGGTTTATTTTTCTAGACCGGGTCAAATGCGAACATGTTATCTTTGAGATAATATTCTCCTGAAGGTAATGCGCTTGAAATATACTGAGCAGGTGAGGACAATCGTCTAAGTGTTTAGTTTCAATGGAGGGGATGAAGTTAAAAATCATTTCTTCACAGCGAATACCTTTCATAAAAGATAAAAAGTATTTAACAAGGCATTGTGTCATATGGTCATATTGTGTCATATATAGCCTTTTTGTCCTCTAGATTTTCTGATTCTCTCCCCTGGTTGTCAACCGTGTCTCAAAGAGAGACAACCCTCAGTGTAAGCTGTGTTACAGATGTCACGTGCTTGCTTCCAGTTGCTGTCTGATCCAAGCATCTGTAGGCCAGAACTGGGTCAACGATGAGCAGTCTCCAAAAATAAGGCAACACGACGGCAGCGCCAAGGCTAGAAACACCATCTTCAGAAGTACCTAACACTAAAATTCTAAAGACATATGCAAGTAATTGAAAATAATTATAGTTATTTTAATAATACATGTAAGCTACAATAGTTATCCAGAAAAGTTCTATATCCTGAGGGTACTTTCGCTTACCATATATCATAAATTTTGGTAAACAGCTCGACGATAAAAGGAAAATGCTTTTGTGTTAAATGTTCAAAAATTTACAAATTCAAGCAATGCCCCATGTGTACACTACTACCTGAAGTTAAACAATGGCTACAATTATTCTTGCATAGTTATATGAACTGGATAGTGTATTACATGTATGAAAAGTATATACCACCACCATGTATACCACCACCATGTATTGTCAAAACGGACAAAGACTAAATGGCCCATACAAAAAGGCCTCTGCAAAATGACCTCGACAAAATCCTGGCAGTTCGTCAAAGTCAAAACGGCCAGCAAAAAAAAAATGCGGACCAAAAAAAAAAGGATCCCAAAAAAAAAAAAAACAGCGCTGAAATTTTAAGAACTGAGAAAAATAAAAAAAAGCTATGTATATTAAAAATACATAACTTTATTTCACAATAAAAAAAAAAACCGCTGACATTTCGTTGCAATTTTCATATAAATAAGTCTCCTCAGTCTATCGTTAAATCTGGGCCTAACAAACGAAATACAACTTCTGACCGGGGCATAACGCGACGACTGCTATTGCTTTGTTACTTTTTTACAAGCTTTTATTTAACTCACTTCCTCTTTCTGTCGTCAGGCGTCATTCAGCATAAACTGCAATAAACAATTTTCATGATTAATCAGAAGACACGACCAAAAGATGAACCAATTATGTTTGGTCCTCCTACGATCTATCTTTTTAATTTCTGATTTTCTTCTTTTATGGCTTTGGCTCCTTAGGAAGCATAGACATAGAAACTTTGTCAATAAACTTGATTTGTTTTAACAGCTCTGGTGTCAACAACTCAACCTCTCTCTTGTCATGATCTCGTTTGGAAATTTTAGATCTTCCTTATTTTTCCCCTGCGGATTCCAAACAATTAATTTCAACTACGACTTAATCAAGATTATACAGTGCAACATTATAAATAATGTAATCCAACTACACGGTGTTATAGAAATTATAAATAATGTAAATATTGAATTCAGTAGTCAAGTCAACCGTCCTCCTTCATTATTAAATTATCAAAGTTTTAAAAAAACACAGGAATTCTCGATACGGTGTACGAGTCAGACATGTCTATTTTTAGCATCTTATTGACTAATAGATTGCTAATCAATCGAAATACAATAGCCTATGATAACACGTGACCCTGAACACGCTGACCAAGCCAAATAATATTAATCATCTCGTATATGGCGGTTATGTAGCCAGCAAAAGATTTTGAATATTGTAATCACAACAATTTCCACATCTTTTAAATCATTAGCAAATGTAATTAGAGTAAAAACCAAAGTCATGTTACTCTTGTAGATTGTATTACGACCTTACCGCAAGAGTGCAGACGTTAATAGTTAAAAGCTAATTATTGTGGCTTTTTTGTGAAGATGTGTGACAGTGGGAAGTGAAGGTAAAAATCGTCAAACAAACGTGACGTCATTTACGGATGACACCCCGAAACACACGGTTATTCAAGAATAACGGGTAGTCTAGTAACTAACAGTAAAGAAACTTAATGAGCGCATCCAACCATCCTTGACCTCTTGAAAAATTAGAAAAACAAGCAATATATTAAAACTATTTTAACTAAATGGAAACATTATGTACTTTGTTTAAATTTTTTAAATTGAAAAGTAAAATATGTCACTTGTAATGAGTTTGTTTTAGTCTCCGCTGTTTACTTTTTCTTTCCGTTGCCCAAATATCTATCTATTTACCACTAAAACAAGAGTTTGCTTACAAGTTTGAATATTTTTTTTATCAGTTTGGTTACATGAGAGAATCTACACTGTGTGTAGAGCTGTAAAAAACGTATTTAGGTACAGAATAATGTTCTCTCTGTTCCCAAGTTAGTACATTAAAAAAAGATTCACTCGTGACGAAGCACATGTATGCAGCTAGTTAAAATATATTATGTATAACGAGCCCGTTACAAAACGCCCTGTATTTGTCACGTGGAAACAAACTATGTGTATTGACCAAACATCTCGATCAGATGTTTAAAAGATTAGTGTCAATACCACATGACCTAAGGCAGACTTATCACGGATGCTTGATGAAATTATTTGCTCTCTATTGCTGGATACAAACTAGTGTCTACACACTAAAGACAGAATGGTAAGTTTTATTAAAAAATAGATAGAGCTCAATCTTTTGTCAGCAATGAGAAAAATATATACGTATTTTTAATACAATAAGCTCACAGAGAAATCAAGAGCTATTAAATAAGCTACCAACGTGTTTTACAACAATACAAAACAGAATAGTGAATTTCTTTTTTGAAATAGACACAACTCAGGTTTCTTTTTCACCTACAGAAAAATATGGAATATTATAAAACAGTCAGCTCTTTATTACTGACTCGCAGACAAACTGTGAGATAAAAAGATATTTATACTACTTTGCATTACAGACTGAGAAGAGATGTGATTCCAGCAACGCTATGAAAGTGATTGTTGTGGGAGACTCGGGTGTTGGGAAGACAACTTTACTGTTAAACTACACCCACGACAGAGTTGCTTTTGACAGCACTTTTAAAACAACCCTTGTGGTGGATTTTAGGTAATCGTTTCAAATTTTTTACAGGTCATTTGCTCAAATATGACCGAATTCTAGACATTATAATTTTGTATCTTTCAGCTCAAAGATAGTGGAGGTCTCAGGGGTAAAGGTCAAGCTACAACTATGGGATACGCACGGCCAAGAACGCTTCCAAGCTATGGGAACGCATTATTACAGAAGCGCTGTTGGTATTGTTATGGTTTTTGACCTGACCAGAAAGTCCAGCTTCGACAACATTCAAAGTTGGTTGAACCAGGTTCACGAACATGCTGGAGAAGATGTAGACATTGTACTGGTCGGCAACAAGGTTGACCTGGCCGAGAGCCGAGTCATAGACCACGAGACGGCCTCCTCCCTGGCCAAGACCATTGGGGCCATGTATGTCGAGTGTAGCGCTAAAACAGGGGCCAACGTCGACCTGGTGTTCACATCGTTGGCCAGCAAGTTGGCCAATCGCGAGCTTGTCCAGCAGGAAGAGCTGGTACTGGTACGCTTAGAATCAGAACCATCTTACCAGGTTCCTTGCTTTGGAAAAAATACATGTTCGTCAATCTAAGCCTCAAAGATAGCGCAGATAAAACAGAAGGCATTAAAATCGTAATTTGAAAAAAAATGATACATTTATTCTTGAGTGACTGGAGTGTGCATCTATATCTTTTGTTTTTTAGTTATTATTATTAATATTATTTTGCTAGTTCACCGCTAAACGCAAATGTAGCATTCGGCTTCTGGTAGAGGACAGCTTTTTTTTTATGATTACAAAGTAGTCCGGTATTATAATGTTGGAATATATGTTTTAACTATGTGTTACGGTCAATGGTAGTTACATAGAAATAGGCTAGAGTATTAGGGGAGAGTGCGTGTGTGAGTTGAGTTTACCCTAGAGTATTGTTAACCCGGTGTGTTTATGTATTGTTATCCCAAGGTCGAATGCGGTATAAAAGCTTGAGTGAATGATTGTCAGGGTTTAGTTGATAGCGGTTAGGGCGAGGGCCACGGAGGATCTATATATATATATAATCCTCTTCTTGGAGACCCTAGAAAACACGAAGCTGTAAGCACGCTCCCTACCTCCCCCACCCCTGCATGGTCTGGTGAGCTGTGGTTCACACTAAATGTTTACAATCGTAGAGCCGGGTTTAGTGACGGCAATTAGGGGCAGATAATTTAGTTTGAAACTTTTTTTAACTTAGGGGAGGTAACTAAGAGGAGGCTGCTTTCACGGGCGGGGGGGGGGGGGGTAGGTGTTGGGGAAAGGAGGGTGTGTATCTTCATTAACGAGCTACTGACAGTGTTTTAAAGCAAATATATTCAGTGGCAGCTGGGGCGTAGCGAGGGGGTGGGGGCGGAGGGTGCGGACCGCACCGGGTGACACCATTTAGGGGGGTGACACCAAGGCAAAAAATAGCAAAATATATAGAGAAAACCTCGAGGGGAGGGGGTGCAAATCGAAAGTTTGAGGGGGGGGGAGTGTAAATCGAAAATTTGAAAGTTTGTCCCTGGGAAGGTTCTCTATGTCTCTGGGGGGGGGGGGGTGACACCATTAATTGCCGCACCGGGTGACACCCGACCTCGCTACGCCAATGAGTGGCAGTATTTGTACTGTCGAATTCACAAATTATGAATTACTGAAAAGTAGAAAATAAAACAACTAAATAGCGGCGTTTGATACACCGCGGGTCGGCTCGTTGTATATATTTGAGACAGAATAAAAGCAGTGAACGTGGTAACGAAGTGTTGTTGTTTGTCAGAAACTAATCGGAACGTAACACTATGTTTAGTTATGTTTTGTGTCTATGTTTAGTTCTGTTTTGTGTATGTGTGGTGTATACTTTTCTGATTAATATGTTCACTTCATTGGATGGTCGTTACTATTGGACACGTTTATTTTGTAAGACTTTCTGTAGCATGGATTAATTCTGTCCATGTAAGGGACTTAAGTTTTAGACTTTGAGAAGTCACGACTGTTGTAGTTGAAAACTAGTTGAATATAGTCTGTTAGCTTGTCCAATCCATGTGTCACAAGTTTATTCTAATTCAGTTTTAAATTGTATGTGAGAATCAAATGTGTGATAATTCAAAATGTTTAATTATTTTTTCTAGTTGGATCCCTTACGCTAGTAATGACACAGAAAATAATCTAAACATAAACGTGTGCATAAATCATAAAACAGAAGCACCGTTGCAGCTATATTGATGATATTTCTTATATAAGTATTATATCAAATTTTTAGTTCTGTATCAACTTTTCATCGATTTCCGGTTAACGGATGTGGAACTTATTCTACTTTCAATTTTTCGAAAGCCTATAACTTGAGTACTGTTTCAGATACATGATCGAAATTTCACATATAAGTAAAAGAACTACTTTTCTGTCTTCTTTCTAATTTTGAGTAATTGTCGTTGAGCGGAAGTAGTTCTTCTTCTTCTTCGTTCTTAATTTTAGTTTTGGAAGGGATCCCCTCCAACACAATTAAGGATACGTGTCAACTGGTTATGCGCCATTGAGGGCATTGACTCCGATTTCAGCTTGCTTTTCTTGAATTTGCTTCCATAGCCTTTGTCTAACCAAGAACAAACTACACGGCAGCAGTTGTTTTATTTTGAAGTTTTCTTTCCTAGAAAGTCAAAGCCCCGCTGTGGTGAAAACCCCTATGTTAAAAGCCCCAATGGTCAAATCCCCTATGGTCACAGCACTCGTGGTCCGCGCACCACAAAAACAACCTCATCCACTTCAATAGAGCCATTAACAAATGCATCCTGTCAATTATAGTGTCAAAGAAACTACAAATATAGACTCACGTGAATACGACTCACGACAATTAAGCTCTCGTTAAATTATTTCCAGACAAGAGGTCGCCAGTCATCAGAACTCCGGACAAAAAGACTTCTATTTAATATGAACCATGTCAATTAAACCGCTTCATCTTCAGAGTTAGCATATCCAGCACTCTAAAATAATATCTTATAATAAGGCCTTATTTTTACATTATTTTATCTAGTGTTAAATTTTATGTTTTTAAAATTGTAATGGTGATATATTTTTATGACGTTTATGAAATACGTCGATGGGCTGTTTCAAATTAATGTTCTAGGAGATAGGTCTGAGGTCTACATTCAATTTTATCTTCAGAATATGTGTATGTTATCACAAAGAAAATTGTACCAGAGCTTAACATCAACGGTTGGAGTCAACCTCAGGTATTTGCTTAGTTCATTAGTCGAATCACTCTTTGGTGGTTATCCTAATATGCAAGGGGTGGTTCTATTAGTAAAATCGGGCTATTACCGTGTCATAAGGATGTTATATCACACTTTTAGATGTGATGATTATCTTGTCAGTGTTTGTTGCGGGCTCATCTCTTGAAGGTGGAGTGGGCTTGCAAAGAATACTGCATTCCAAATAATACGACCATAGTCCCTCCATCCCCCTCTTATAGGACGTAATAAAAACAACATTAGATTTATAAAGATATTAGGAACATCTATCTATCTATCTATCTATCGAGCTATATAATCACACAGACGACTGAATCTATGAAAAATATATATGGAGACAGAGAACGTTTCCACATCATCAGATAAATATTCAGGCCAAAGCACCACCAGGTAAACAAGATTGCCTATAGCGTACTAAAAGCAGGTGACAGTACACAGAACATTGTAATTTATAACCAACCCGGAACATAACTCCCGCTGATTTTCTATGAAGATAAATGATCAGTATTCACATCTTGATTGGATGTTTGGAAGATTAGTCTTATCATGACCACGTGATAACACAGATGGTTTACATACCCCGTAGGCTTGTGAAATGGTTTACTTTCTATTGTTGATGCGAACTGACGTTTACTGGCTGTAAGACATAATGGTAAGTTTTGTTTTAAATATTGATCAATTTTGTCAGTAAAGGAAGACATTCGTATCATTAAATTAATGAAATCAAAAAGAAAACTGGAGCTATCAACGTGTTTATACATTTTTTTTTTCATTGCAGAATGATATGGAGCGCTTTCCAAAAAACAGAATGAAGGTGACCATTTTGGGGGACAATCGCGTAGGGAAGACGTGTTTAATGTTGCGCTATATGTATGACTCCTTTGACATCGATCCTCGAATTTTGTACATAGATTTCAGGTAACCTTTCGATATTTGGCATGCCACCCCCTTAAAACTTTAGACAATTTTAGACTAATAATTTTTAATAATCTTCTATTTTGTTCACTATATCTTCTTTTTTTTTAGTACGTTTGTGGGTTGTAGCAAATTTTGTACCTCTATTTTCAACCAGTGAACGCAAAACAACTGTGTATAATAGTGCGGAATATTATTAGTACTTTATAAATTCACATGAGTTTTTCAAGAAATTGGAAATAGCGAAAATTACTACTTCCGGAAGGCAGAGAATTAGATCGTGTGAAATTTCATTATCTATCTGAAATAGTATTCAAGTTATAGGCTTTTGAAAAATTCAAAGTAGAAATAGTTCCACTTCTGGTTATCGGAAATCGCTCAAAAGTTGATACTGATCTACGATTTTGATATAATACTTATACATAAAATTTCATCAACCTATCTATAATGGTACGCAGGTTATAGTGTTTACAGATACACACACACACATACACACACACAGACATACGGACAAGATTGCAAAACTATGTTTTTTTTCGCCTCTGGGAGGTGTAAAACGTCGAGATTTGCAAAAATCTCGGTTTTCTTTTGTACGATTACAAGACTTTCTGTATACTTCGTATATACGAGAAAGTAAAAAGTAGAAAGTAAAACAAACATACAATATTTATAATAAGCTTTTAAATGCACTAAAAATAAACCAAACTTGCTTTTTAAAATAAAATTAGTGATCGCTAAAATATTTTTTCCTTTCCAGAAACAAGGCAGATATCAATAAGCATTTTCGACCACTAATAACGAGTTCTCTCAGAAACTTTGCCGGTATTATTATAGTTTTTGACCTGACCAGCAAGTCCAGCTTCGACGACAGCCAATATTGGTTGCAACAGGTTCACGAACATGCCCGAGAAAATGTTGACATTATACTGGTCGGCAACAAGGTTGACCTGGCCGAGAGCCGAGTCATAGACCACGAGACGGCCTCCTCCCTGGCCCAGACCATTGGGGCCATGTATGTCGAGTGTAGCGCTAAAACAAGGGCCAACGTCAACCTGGTGTTCAACTCGCTGGCAAGCAAGTGGGCCAAACACGTGCCTGTCCAACAGGAAGAGCCCATACGTTTAGAATCAGAGACATTTTACCAGGTTCCTTGTTATGGGAAAGATACATGTTCGTTATTCTAAATCACAAAGATAGCGCAGATTTGTAAAAGTTTAGAAGAATCAGAGACATTTTACCAGGTTTCTTGTTATGGGAAAGATACTATTTCGTCATTTCAATTCAATAAAGAGTGCAGATAAAAAAAATTAAAAAATCATCGAAATTTACCAGGTTCCTTGTTATGGAAAAGATACATGTCCGTTATTCTAAGCCACAAACGTAGCGCAGATTTTTAAAAAAAAGTTGTATCAAAATTGTAATAGATTGAAATAATTGTGAGGTCAAGGGAACTCACTCTTCTGTATTAGTTATATTTATAATATTGTTATCTTGAGTGATGTCCCTTGTGCATTGTACTTCCGTCCTTGCCGGTTAACAATTAAAGCTGTTTACATACTCATGGCTTCTGTCTCCGTTGTATTCATAATCTACCTCAACTGGCGACGAGGATAAACATCTACTAGAAAGAGCACCTAATTACGCAAAAAAGAGGTTTGCTAGAGCTTATTAGCTAATTATTTCTAGAATTATGGCGCTGTATGGCCAAATTAAAGAATTTGATGCGAATGATGAAATCATTCAAGATTACCTAGAGAGGTTAAGCTTTTACCTAGAAGCTAACAACGTGACGATAGAAGCCAAAAAGAGAGCTGTTTTGTTAACAGTCATAGGGCCTCAACAATTCAGGCTACTAAAAGACTTATGCGCACCAGCTAGTCTAAATACCAAGAGCTTTAACGAGCTGAGCAAATTGCTAACAGACCACCATGCGCCTACCCCATCAAAGTTTTTATGTAGAGCTAGATTTGACAGTAGGACTCGTCAACCAAACGAGTCAATATCAGAATATGTTGCTGCTTTACGTCATTTAAGTGAATTTTGTGAATTCGGAGACACGCTGTCTGACAGACTATGTGAAAAGTTTGTGACAGGTGTAAACAGCCCTGATATTCAAAGAAAGTTGCTGCTCGAGTCAGATCTAAAATTAGAAAAAGCAATACAACTCGCAACTTCAATCCAGCAGTCATCAGATGCGGCGAGATCTTTAGCACCTTCAGAGATCCATGCAGTAAACAGCAGGTTAGTCAATAAACATCAACCCCATCAGAGCATTCCAACTTATGCTAAACAGCCTGCTCGTTCAAATCCTAGATCTAAATCTAGTAATAATTATCAAAAATGTCATCGATGCAAAGGTCCCCATGCATATCATCAGTGCAAGTTCAAGTCTGCAACTTATTATAAGTGCAGTGAGCAAGGTCACATTGCTAAGGCCTGCTTTGCAAAGTCTTCGTCTGTTGCTAAATCTAGCCAGTCAAGACAGTACCGCAGCCAAAAGCAGCACTATGTTAACTCTCACCAAGACTACCTAACCCAACCAATGAACCACTCTACCTGTGAAAATGCTCAAACTGATTCGCAGCCGGATTTCAACCTGTTCTCTGTGAAATCAATAAGTCATGCTCCCATCAATGTACCAGTTTATATCAACGGTAAGAGCATCAGCTTCCAACTGGACACTGGAGCATCTCTAACAGTCATAACAAAGAAAGATTTTGACGCTGTCATAGGAGGATCAGTGTCTCTACAGCCATGTCACAAGTGTCTAACAACATACACTGGTGACAATGTTCCGGTAATAGGAGAGTGTATGGTTCATGTAAGTTATAATGGTCAAAGTGTTAAACTTCCTCTTCTTGTGGTTGAAGGAAATGGACCGCCATTACTAGGTAGGAACTGGTTAAGTGATCTTAAGTTAAATTGGGAGAGTATTTGTTCATTGAAGAATGTAAAAGAATCTAGTCTTACTTCACTAGATAAAGTTATATCTGAAAATAAATGTGTTTTTGGTAACTCTGGATTACTAAATGATAGAACAGTGAAGTTAAGCATTAAAGATACAAATCCAAGATACTGCAAAGCTAGAGTTCCACCTTATGCAATGAGGAATAAAATTGAAAATGAGCTAAGTAGATTGGAATCTAATGGCATTATAAAGAAGGTAGACTATTCCGATTGGGCGACACCCATTGTGCCAGTGTTAAAGAAGGATGGTTCTATAAGAATTTGTGGAGATTATAAAACTACACTGAATAAGCAAATAGAGCTAAATAGGTACCCTATACCTAACATTGAGGAAATTTCTTTGAATTTGGCAGGAGGAGACAAATTCACTGAATTAGACTTTAGTCATGCTTACACTCAACTAGAACTGCATCCAGATTCAAAAGTCTATACGACAATAAACACACATAAAGGACTCTACCAATATGAAAGACTATGTTTTGGCATATCATCTAGCCCTGGAATTTTCCAAGCTGTCATGGACAGTATTTTTAAGGATATTCCAAATGTTTGTGTGTACTTTGACAATGTGTACATAACTGGTAAGAATGACACTGAACATCTTAAAACACTTGATAAAGTCTTGAAAATTGTTGGTGAAAAAGGTTTAAAGATAAACAAAGATAAATGTCAATTCATGCTGACAGAAATTAGTTTTCTTGGTTATATATTGAGCAAACAAGGCATCAGACCTCAACCTGAGAAAACAAAAGCCATTAAAGAAGCACCCAAACCTGAAAATACCCAACAACTAAGAGCTTTTTTGGGCTTGATAAATTACTATGCAAAGTTCATAGGGAATCTGTCTGGTAAACTATCACCACTGTACAAGCTGCTACAGAAAAATGCAACTTGGCACTGGGGTAAACAACAAGAAGCTGCTTTTAATACAGCAAAAGAGGCTTTGTCTGCTGACACCTTACTAACTCACTATGACCCAGGGAAAAGACTTGTATTGACATGTGATGCTTCACCAGATGGTGTAGGAGCAGTCTTGTCCCACATGGATGAGAAGGGTGACAGACCCATTGCTTTTGCCAGTAGATCTTTGAACCAGGCTGAGAAAAATTATTCTCAGTTAGATAGGGAAGGCTTAGGCATCATTTTTGGTGTTAAGAAATTTCATAAGTTTCTGTTTGGTAGGAAGTTCACCATCTTTACAGATCATAAACCATTGCTAGGTTTATTTGGAGAAAACAAAACCCTACCTGAGCATGCCTCACCAAGAATTCAAAGATGGGCTATCACACTAACTGCATACAATTATGAATTGAAATACAAACCTGGATCTGAGAATAGTGCAGATAGTCTTAGTAGATTACCTTTAAAAAACCAAAGCCTGAGCTATGTACCAGAAGATGTTTTTGTTCTCTTCACTATCATGGATAACTCCAATATAAATGTGAATGATATTAAAAGAGAAACACAAAAAGATGAGTGCTTAATAAAAGTATATGAGTACTGTAAGAATGGTTGGCCTGAAGAGTCTGTGAATGAGGACTTAAAGCCATATAAAATAAGAAAAACAGAGTTAAGTCTAGAAGATGGATGTATACTATGGGGGTCAAGAGTAATTATCCCCAAAATGTTACAAGAAGAAGTTTTAAGAACTTTACATGATACTCATCTTGGTTCTTCCAAAATGAAGAGTCTAGCAAGATCATGGTTCTGGTGGCCACATATGGATGCTGATATTGAAAAATATGTAAAACTTTGTTCAAGCTGTGCACAACATTCAAATCAACCAGCTACAGCACCTTTGCAAAACTGGGACTGGCCAATTGAACCATGGAAACGTATACATATAGATTTCGCAGGACCTTTCATGAACAAAATGTTCTTAATTGTTATTGATTCACATTCTAAATGGTTAGAAGTTAAAATCATGAACACAATCACTGCAAATGATACCATTATAGAACTGAAGGAAATATTTTCAACTCATGGATTACCAGATCAAATTGTTTCAGATAATGGGCCTAGTTTCACAGCTCATGAGTTTAAACTGTTTTGTGTGGCAAATGGTATTGAGCATATAACCACATCCCCCTATCATCCTGCTGGGAATGGTTTAGCTGAAAGAGCGGTAGGCATATTCAAAACCGCTATGGTAAAAATGAATACCGGTAACAAGTTTTCTCTTAGAGAAAGAGTAAACAGGTTCTTAACCAAATACCGCACAACTCCTCATATAACAACAGGTGTTGCACCATGTGAATTGCTATGTGGTAGGAAAATTAAAACTCATCTTGACCTACTACATCCAACTGTTCAAAGGTCTGTTTCCCAACATCAACATACACAAAAAGTAAATCATGACAAATCATCCATTGAAAGAGAATTTGCAGTTAATGATAATGTGTATCTGAGAAATTATGGGAGAAAGGAAAAATGGATACCAGGTCAAATTGTTCAATGTACAGGACCTGTGTCTTATAAAGTAAAAACAAATGATGGACTTATTGTCCGTAGACATGCAGACCAGTTAAAAATAACTTGTGCAGATAATAAGTGTGAATCTGTCAATCCCACCAAGCCTGATCAGTTCACACCAACCCAGTTTGTTCCACAACCAAGTTCTGTTGATATGAGTGAACCAAGTTGTCTGGAGTCAGAAAATGTAAATTCTGGAGTTAATGATTTAAATCCTAGACCTCCTGAGATAGAGAATCCAGATGGTCAGAATCTTGAGTCACCAAATCAAAAGCCACTGAGAAGGTCAAGCAGGACAATCAAAGTCCCAAATAAGTTAGACCTATGATTTTAAAGGTCAAGAGGACTTTGACATTATTGTTTTGTATCTTGATTATGTTGTAGCATATTGTGCATTGTTTGTAAGGATGTAATCTACCATAGTGTTCATGTTACAATATAATTGGTGATTTTAGGATACTATCAATTGTTCTATTGAGAGATGTGTTATTGTGTTCTAAGGGTAAAGGGATGTAATAGATTGAAATAATTGTGAGGTCAAGGGAACTCACTCTTCTGTATTAGTTATATTTATAATATTGTTATCTTGAGTGATGTCCCTTGTGCATTGTACTTCCGTCCTTGCCGGTTAACAATTAAAGCTGTTTACATACTCATGGCTTCTGTCTCCGTTGTATTCATAATCTACCTCAAAAATATGTATTTGGATGAAAACATTCATATTTTTCTAATGTATAAGTTATAACCCATTAACTAAGAAAAGTGGAATGCTTATATTGGTTTGTCTAATACTAAAATAAAGTGATTTATTGATAATTAAGCATCCATAAAATAGCCTACATTCTAATTTTTTTTTTTAAATCTGTATTTAATGCGGTTACGTCGCTCGGTCGGGTGACACCCCGTAAGGCATGTTATGGTGTCACCCACTCCCGAAATACAC